ATTCTTAAATGTGAATTTGGAATTTTCCAAGATTTTCCAGGGTTGTATCAAAGGCGACTGTTTTATAACGGTAGAAAAAAATTGAGGATATTGCCAAATTGGTCCCGAATAAATTCGCTGAGTTGGTAGCTGTATATTTGAAATAATGTGACTAACATTATCTGCTGTTTATCTATAATAGGAACCAACAAAAGACACGGAATTTTCTTTTAATTTGGCCTGACAGTGGTTCTCGTCAATCGTTCTCGTTTTAGCGCGTCTTGGCAAATGTGGACAATTTTTCTCCATTGTCGTATGAAATACCGATATGACCATTAAAAAAATAGAAGAAATTGCCACGAAACTCCAAATTCCTCTCTATCAACGCTTGAATCCTTCGATGAGAATGTAAACCTGCACCAGTGCAATTTGATGAGGAGAGTCAGATTGTGCGAGCAAATTTCGACACTTTTGTTTTTGAAGTTCATTATTTTTTTTTTAAGGGTGTGCTGATGTATGTTCTGGTCACAATCTTGATGTCAAATTTATTAACTGCCCTGCGTTTTTCCAAGACCGGTAATTACCACGAATATAAAAACTACATGGACCACTATATTCATTGACCAGTGAAAGATGCATAGATATCAAAGATGTTTCAAGAAGTCAAACAGGCAAGGCACAATTACGCTAACGGCCACCTTAGCGGCCATTTTGAAGCAATATGGAAATAAAATGGATAAGACGGAGGGAAGTAAAAGCGGATCCACTGACCACTAACATAGCACATCACAGCCTTATTTTATGTGTCATTTTTGTTTAAAAATCTGGCATAAAACACTAGGGAATTTTTAATTACAAATCTGAAATAATTCATTGAAGTAGACTTGAATTAAGTAGTAATTTACTTGCTTTCCTTTCTCTTCCCAATATCCAAAAATGAAGATTTTACCTCACTTTCAATTCAATATGGCTGACTCGTGAATAAGGCCCATTCCATTCTTGGGGGGGGGGGTAGCCTGGTTCCCGCGCCACAATCAGTGTCGATATGGACACACGGACTGGGAACTGGTCTGCTCTCCGCAAAGTGGATCTGTTTGTGTCCAAAACAAAAACCTCCTTTTTTCAGAGGGCTGCAGACGTCCAAAAGACGGGGGAAAAGTTTTTTTTGTCAAGTTGTTTGTTTGAATAAAACATAGAAGTCGAAAATTTATTAATAAGACAAAAAAATCGAATTTGTTTAAGAGCAAGGGGAACACAAATTTAAGTTTAATCTTACAAATCAAATTTAATGACAAGTATTTTTACCAAAGAGTTTGACTTTATTAAATACGGTCAAGTATTAATTTCATTTTATTGAAAGAAAAAAAAATGGGCCAACCCCCATTGATAAAAAATAAGTGCCTTGGTTTGTTAAGACAAATTGTTGTCGAAATGTGATGCCAATACACGCAAAAAATCTCTAAACACAAAACAACATAATATCCGCATTGAAGTCTTACAAAAAGGGCGCCACACCAGAATGTTGACCTTTACGAATAACTAACATGTACTGACAGTTTTGTCCGTGCCAGGTATTTTTTATTGCTATATTAGTAACAATGATAATTTTAGCTTTGAATGAGAAATCAAAAGAATACACTTGCCCACGTTTGGTACAAATTTTGAATTATTTTCAGCCGGCCTGACAATATTTAAAGAGCCCATGAGATGAGTTATTGTATAGAACATTTTGTGCAACTTTCTACTCCTCTTAAATATATGAAAACTATATATCCTTTTTGGTTAATTTATTGAAAAGTGCACTTCTTTAAAGTACAGCTATGCTTTTCCGAATAACTGAACGCGCTATTGCTGTGATGTCATTTCAGGAAGATATTCAGTTTAGGGGTGTTCTGTTCATATTATGAACCCAAACATTTGTTCATTGAAAACGTCTGTGCGAAAAGTTTTCCCATTGGCTTTTACTGGTACTGACAGTAACTGACAGTGACTAGATCACTGTTCAATCAAACTACAAGTAGAGTAAAAAAAAACCTGTTATAATTCACAGTCATCATATTATCAAGGGTGGTGGAAAAACCAATACCAAGTGCCCTAAAATAATCTTGAGGACCAACCAACTTCATATGATTACATATACCTTTCTGTCGATCCTTATTACCACCAATCCACACCCCATTGGTTTTATCAATATTTACTTTAGTTTAAGACCAGAAATGCTAGCAAAATCGCCAAAAATCTTGAAGGCTCTATATATCAAAAGAACGCTCTGAGCCGTCTAAAAATAATACTGTATCATCAACATACTGAGAAAGTCTATATTCTCTGCCATCTACCTGAATTCCCCTTAAAATAATATCACAACGAACCATCATGCCCATAATTTCGTCGCACTGAAAGAAACAAGTAAGGGCTCAAACCATCATCTTGTCGACAGCCACGCCCTATTTTAAAAGATTCCGATAAGAATCCAATTACTAACACCGAAGCTGTCGCTCCACTGTAAAAAAAAAACGAAACCATTTCTGTATAGAAGGGCCAAAATTAAACTGGTTCAAAATTTTGACTACAAAATCATGCGAAACCGAATCAAAAGCTTTCTCAAAATCAATCAATAAAAACATACTAGCAACCTTATGTTTTCTGTATTTAATTAAGCAAATCATACATTAAACGAAAATTCTCACCAAAACAACGCCCTTGCAAGAAACCCTTTTGATTTTTATGAATAAGATAGGAGAGGCATGTTTTAAGTCTCGCTGCTATACAACCAGAAGCTGATTTGTACGAAGTGTTCAATAGTGAGATCGGTCTCCAGTTCTTTGAAAATTGACGAGGTTTATCCCCTTTAGGCTACAAAGTAATAATACCGTACTGCTGAGTAACAAAAAGTTCACCGGTTTCATAGCCAAAATTGAGGGACCGTAATAAATACCACGATAAATCGGAGAAAAACAAAACTTGTAAAATTCAAAACTAAAACCATCTGAGCCAGGGGACTTGTCATTTTTTGTGTTCTTCAAAACATTTAACATTTCTCGATGGGACAGAGGACCCTCTATGCTGTCACGTATCATATTTGAAAGAACTGGAGAGTCCGAATTCTCAAAAATAGATTGTAAATTAACTGTTGTTTCCCCTTCTGAAGGCGAGTAAAGTTTTTTATAAAAATAACGTGCCTCCTGTATAATATTCCTAGAGGACTTTAATTCGGTGTCATCATCCTTAATAACACGATTAAAAGTCTTGTTAATACAATTACGTTTCTCCATATTAAGGAAGTATTTGGATGGTTTTTCACCGTGTTCCATCCACCTTGTTCTAGATTTAATCATTTCACCATCCAATCTAGTCTTACGAAAATTAATAAGCCCAGTTTGTTTAGACTTCAATGTATCCAACAGACTATCATCACATTGAGCAACCTTATTAGACAAATCTTTAATTTCGCTTTCGAGACGAAATTCATCTCTGCAAGCACTCTTTTTCTTCCAGGCTGCAAAAGAAATTGTTTTAGATCTAATCGCCATTAATAGCATTACAAAAAAAAGTTGATCATTAATAATAAAATGATTATCTCTGGGGTGAATGGTGTGTATAAATTCGAGCGTAAATAAGGCAAAGCTGCGTAAGTTTCTACAACATCAGTAATAACTTTTTTCACCTGGTCAACATAAATTTTATCTGCAAGAAGCAATTATTACATTTCCAATAGCCCGGTCCCCTCTCGATCTGATTGAAATCGAAACAAATATCAATCAAGGAATGATCTGTCCGACAACCTGGCTCAATATCAGATGAAACAAAATTGGAACTAAGTCCAGAAGATATTAAAGGGAAAATACAACATTTGCAAACATCAAAAAACGAAATGATCAAATGATCGCGAAATACCTTACTAAATTGTTAGGGACTGACAGTCTAAAGCATCCTTTAAAATCGTGGCTCCTGGTGGGCTGACATTTTCAAGAAATAGTGGATTTTTCCAACGCTGGTCAGCCCGACCAGCGTTGGAGAAAACTGGCTTTTTTCAAAAACTGTTCTTAATTTTTCATATTTAGTTATTCTGACTTTTCTTTGCAATTGATCACACACCTGTGAAGGGGTACAAGCCTGCTAGACTGATTATCTGACCTTACAATTCCCCAAAGTATATTAATTGCTTCGTTTCATCTTAAGTGGGGTTAGGGAACCAGACTACAAGAACATGATAGGTTTTCTTGGTTTTTCCAGCATCTACAAGCCCAAAACATGAAACAAGTCAGTTAACAATATTTTATATAACATACTAATCCTCCAATCCATTTATTTCTGAAAATTGCAGCAAAAGCCAATGTTGTACATTCCCTTTAAAAAGTCCAGCCTGTTTCAGTGTAGAATGCTGTCGCCAAGTATATCTCCTGCAGGTCGGGTTTTGAATACACCACGGGTCCATAAGGTCGAGATCCCTATACATAAACCCAACACCCTGTTTCTTGCTAAAGAATTGTTGACATGAAGGTAATTATCACAATCTAAATTACTGTCTAAAACTATATTCCATTTGCCACAAATAATTGTGTGAGGGTTATCAAACTCAGAAATAAGTTTATTGATATTCTCGTAGAAATCTGGATCATCCCTGTTTGGACCGTATAAATTGATCAGCGTAATATTATGGTTATGTGTTTCCAAACTAAGACTAAGAGCCAAAACAAAAAAAATCCATTTATTGGAACCAAGAATTTTAAAATCGAACGTATTGTTAAAAAGAATAGCCACGCCTCTGGCATTACTTTTATAAGAACAGAAGTAACAGTCCAGCCCCCTCTCAGCCCTAAACCTGTCTTGCATGGAATCTGCACAGTGGATGTCTTGCAGACAATAGATGGAATACTGCTAAGACCTAAAAAAAAATGCAAGACATCTCTCCTTTTGGAGTGGTCAGCGAGGCCACGGCAATTCATTGAAGCAATGGACAAGTTACGTAAGCGAACTGTGTTAGAACTGTGGGAGCTAGACATCTTACATATTCAAAACAACTAAAAAAAAAAGGATGGGCGTTAGCCCGATGTATAACCCGGTACAAAATAGCGACTTAAATGAAGACTTTAATGTTTCACAATGACAAGGCTGGACATTAGTAAGCAATGAAAGGACATAAGCTAGCAAGCAATAGAAAACAATATTATAATAAAAATCGAACCATGGAAATAAATTCCTCTCCACACAAGAGAAGGTAAAACTTCACTACATGTCATTACATAAGTTCATGACCCTGAGTTTTACGCATAGTTCACAATGCAGTGCGCCATCGAGTGTTTGCCACCATCATTCATGGTCTAAACAGCAAGGCCATACGGCATCGTTATGTCGCAAGGAAAAGCTGAATTTTCTGGGCCGGGCTGGGTTGTGGTCCTCTGCCTGCATGTCAGCTGCATATTATGGTCTGGTGTCTTGAAAGCCCTCGGGGTCATGCTGCCTACCCTCGTGGAACAGTTCGCCACGAAAACCTGGCTAATTGGGTGGATGGTGGCCATCATCAACGGTGCTATTAATATCGTGGGTAAGTATTCCACTTTGTTTCCCGACTTGAAGGTTTAAATTAAAACCGATTATTTATAGTCAAAACAGTTATCAGTCTTTTGCTAAACTTAAGTTAAGCTTGGTAATAGTATTGAAGTCGACGTCCCCTTGTTTAGATAGGGTTTCTGGGTCTGTGTGTCAAGGACAGGTTCTGGTGAAGTTTCCGCAGTGGGCAACGAAACAAAAACAGAATTTCGATAACATTCAAATTTATGCCTTTTTGATATTATTGATTTGAAGGCCTAGCCTATAAATAAATTGTTCTCACCAGCAATTAATAAAATTGACGTCTTATTCAAGTTGAATAGTTCTTTTCACCGTCAAGATATGCCAGTGAAGGCCTGCCAGCTCTTGTCTTAAGTGGCACCAATGACTCCAATGTAGCACATGTGATGATTATAATCTACCGATGCCATGCTTTTTTCAGGTAGAGCTTTTGTGTGAGTTTCCCCCCCCCCAAAAAAAAACCCCGCCCACACAATCTGAGAATTTCAATTGCACAAAATAATCGATGGCCCGTAACCTCAAATAGGTCAAGTTAGTGACGCAGTATTAACAAAGAGAATCTGATCATGCATGTACAGAATACTTACGGTACAGTATTCATACAGGGCGAGTCAAAAAAAGCGCAACCCAAACCCAAAGAAATATATTTCATATTTAAACAAATATGTCGCACCAAGAATAATTGTGACTGGTAATAGGGAGTCCAGCGGTTTGGGGCCATATCTGTAACCATTCAAAATTAGTCAATTTCAAACTGTGCTTAAGTATCAAAATGACTCTAAAAAAGTATCCTGATACTAAGAGGAATGCTGACTCTATTATCAAAAACATTAATTCAGAACTTTGCATTCATTTGAATGGAAAAAAACACCGAATTCTTAACTCGCGCTTTCTATATCGACAGTCACGACAGATGCTTCAAACATTACCGCGTGAGCCGGCACTTTCATTTAAACCACCGTGTAAAATTAAAATCTACTTGATAAATCGAACTGTTTTTATCATAACTTTATAAATAAAAATGGCACGGACTGGCCCGCTCGTACCCAGAAAGTTCAGACTTTTATTAAAACAGTGGTATAAAAAGAAATGATTAAGAGCTTTCCGCACCTTTCCGCAAAGTATTGTTATAGGTCAGGGTACAGAGGCGAAACGAGAGAATTTTGTACAACGGCGAGACGCCATTGCAACCAGACTAGTCTACTACCGCATGTTATTGTATGCTCATGGTATTGGTGCCAGACTTACATGTACTGTGTAGTCTGGCACGCGGTAACGGTAATAACGCGTGCACGCATGTTCCATGTTCCCGTGTTGTGTGGAGCGGGATCAGCCATTGCCAGACTTTGTCTGGCACGCGGTATTTATAACAGGGATAATGCGTGGACACATAAATATGTATTCCGTGTGCTGTGTGATGGAGCGGAACCGGAACTATACTTTGCCCGTGCCTAACGGGTCCGTGTACATACCGTCCAATCACTCACCGTTTGAAAATTGTCAAAAGCAAAATGAAAAACGAACCCTTTACCGTTTACCCTATTACAATCTTGGTAAAGAAACAGAAAAAGGAAATCGTTTACCAGTTTCCGTTTATGCGTCTAAAAAACGAAAACAGAAAAACAAAAGTGTTGTACCTTTACCATTTTTGAAATTGTAAACAAAAAAATTAAAAAGCAAACCCTTTTCCAAGTTTTGGTTTTGAAATTTTGAACAGAAAAATGAAAAAGTAATCAGAGGTCCCGAGTACGATTCCCTGCTCTGCCCCCATTGGGTTTTGCTCTTTTTTTCAAACAGTCAAAGTTTTATCTTAGAAACGTTATTTTTCAGTAGGATACTACTTGTATAACAGGAATTTTCTTTTTCTTTTCTGATCCGAGGCTCTGTAGGATTTTTTTTAAAAAGGGAAATAAAGTCCGAAATCCGTACCAAATTGAAAAATAGTAGCCTCCACTCCAGCCTGTTTATAATACAAATGCCCCATAGGAAAGCGCACAAGGTACCCCAGATAGTTGTGTAATAAAAAATATCGCAGCCTGGCAGCACACGGCGCCGATGTATCGTTTTCCCTGTTTTTATGTCTTGACTAACAAAATTTCCCGAAGAATATCCGTGTCGGTCGAGATCGTATAATGGGCGCAGACTTCTCAAGTCATGGCCTTACTGAGGTAACCTTAAGTCCCACTCTGAAAGATGTTTTTGAGAGTTTTTAGGGGATCGAAACGTCATCTGCAACATTAGCCGACATTTGAAGAAGAAAAAAAGTGGGTTAAAAAAAATCCGTCGCCGTACCACTTTTCGGGCAAGTTTCATACCAGAAACCGGAGAATTTTTTGTCCTAACAAGCTGTTTATTTTACCAACCACCCTTCTTTGTATAGGACCCCTTTCCGGACCATTGGACTCCTTGCTTGGTACCCGCGTTGTTGTGATGGTCAGTGGTATCCTGATTGGGACGTCATTGATCGTTGCTTCACTGACTACCAGCGTTGTCGAAATGACCGTGACTTTGACATTGGGAGGTACGTATTCATTTAAAGATGCACTGTCCGTTCGCTTCAACGAACTTATACTGCAACGAATGTTTCATAACAAGTTAGGTGAAGATAACCCTCACAAAAGGCTTTGCGTTAATTTTTGTGCCTCTAATTACGTACAAACAGATCGGATTGATTTATTATCGTTAGTCTAAGTATCACCCATTATCCACAGAGCAAGTCTCCTGTATAACATCTGATATGTCTAGACATGCAGATATTATGCAAGCCGCACGCCAGCCAATCGGAGTCGGACTTATACTAAATCATGACTTCATTTCATTCCTAAATCAGGACTTTAAAATAGTTTGATTGGTAAATTCGAATGCAGTGTTTTGTAATACAACAGCCCGGGCCCGATATTGCGTAACATGATACAGAATGCGTGACACATTTTGTTTAATCCATTGTAGTCAGGTGGCATATGGTCGGAATCGTGACCGACTGGTCCAAAGCACCAAACTTGGCAGATAGATTCTTATATAGCCGTAGAGAAGATGTTTAGAAGGGGTGACACCTGAAATTATTTTGGGAAGGGTGCCCAATTTGCATAAATCATTAATCCCTGCCGTGTAATATATTTATTCCCATATATTTATTCCCATATTTGGGTACATTTTTATTTATTTATTTTTTTTGAAAAGTGTATTTTGGTGATTCTACTTACATATCTGTACTTCAATAACATTTTCTAAAGCATGTAAGTGACTGAATAATTACGAGGACATAGTAAATCATTGCCTCGAAGTCTGTCAAGCCAGTGAATCATATTTTTGAATATCCATGAGTCTACGTTTTTGGTCTTTATTGTTGAATTCTGATAACCATGGTAATGCCGAGCACAAATCTTTAGCTTTAAGATGAACAATGAAATGTCGGTTTTGTTTCATCAATTCGGCATCCTATCTCTCTAAAACTTTTTTAATAAAAGCCTAATTCAAAACGAAATTTGGGTAAACGGTGTTCTCCTCGAAATTATTTCCCAGGTAAATACTTCATCTATGACGACAAAAACTGCACAATACCATCTGTTATATCCTGAAGTATTTATTTTTGTTAAATAATTTGGAACAATTATATCTTAAATAAGAAGTAGTTTTACTTACAGTTTTATGAATATTTCCGGTTTAGATGTCGTGCAAAAACCCAACACAATGGCACATCTGGAAAATTCGCGATTACGCGCCAACGAGTATTAATGCTCGTTATCGCGTGTCTAACCAATTAAGGCAAGTCCACTGAGAGCATTTTGTTCTAGAGCTCTGCAGAACAGTCGTTTATCCTGGTTTCTAGGATCGTGGTCGAATGCAACAACGGTGGAAACTAAAAGCCCAGTTGCTCACTTTGAATGAGAGTAGTGCGGGAGTTTCAAAAGACGTACGAGGCCCTAGGACTACATTTATTTGCCACACAATGTTTAAAATTCTCAAAGAAAAGGTGCAGGAAGAACCTCCTTTTTTTGTGCAGTGACTGTCTTAGGGCACCGATGAACTCGTACAGAAATATGAGGGGTTACAGGGTTTATTGCGAGAATAAATTGACAAACTAGTCACCACTACATGTAGTTTTGAACCCAGTGCATAGGTTTTATATACTATGAACATAGTATATAAAGTGTTTCAATTTACAGGCAACGACAGCTGCAAAGAAATAAACCAAATCAATTAAAACGAAATAACCCATAACATTCTTGATAATTGTTTTTACCAGTCAAAGTAAATCTGAGGTGACAGTGTTTCTGCAAAAACGTCTTGCATGACAGAGGTTTCTTCCAAATTCTTTTCTTTCAGAATTCTAAACATTGTGCGGCATGTGCCTCCTGCCTCGCTTAAAATTTCTACACTAATCTTATACCGCGCGGTATGCGCCTCGCGCCTCTTTTGAAAGGGAAAAAAGAGGTGTGAAGTCATATTTGCTATATTAATTTAATACACATTCAACAAAAGGGCGTCTGCAGAGGTGCCAATGAGGTGGGGTGGGCAAATGTCCCCCGCCCACCCTAAACAAAATTATCAATTGAGAATATGCTAGAGAAAGTACAAGGATTTTGGGGAACAATTTGCTTTGCCCCCCCCCCCCCCCCCGCTAGAAAAAAATCCTGGCGACGCCCATGCATGGCCAGGGAGGGGGGGGGGGGGCGAAATAACAAAAGTTATTTTAGTCCATACACTTCTCTTTTTTCGCCTACTGATTGCACTAGAACCTCACCAGTTTTCATACCAAAATCCAGAAGTTTCAACAGTTCGTACAATGTAGCCACGAACCATTCCTTCGTTAGGTCGCTGAGCAAAATTTATAATGCCCTGCAAAAACAAGAAAGCCAATAATTAGCATATATGTTACTGAACTCCAAGGACTGCGGCTCCGTCAAACTCCAAATTGAAGTCTACCGACACTGTTTCTGTTTTTGAGTAGTCAATTATGTGAACCCCCCAAAAGTAGATCACGTCTCCAATATTAGAGAGTTTTTTTTCTGCTTCTCATACTTTGACTGAATGGCTGGCTTTGTTGGAAATGAGAGGGGTAAAATTATTGTCCATTTGTCTTTGATGAAAACTGTTCTTCCTCGTTTCTACTCATGAATATTAATTTGTGATGACAAATTTTGGTCAAAAGCCAGCCAAATTCAGTCAAAGTATGAGAAGCAGAAAAAAGCTGCCTAATATTGGAGACGTACATTTTTTTTTGGCTCGCATTATGACTACTCAAAAACAGAAACAGTGTCGGTAGGCTTCAATTTGGAGTTTGACGGAGCCTCAGTACTTGAGTTTATGTTCATGTAACATATGCTTATCATCTAAAAATACATGTTTTATGATATGGCTTTCTTGTTTTTGCAGGGCATAATAAATTATTGCTCTGAGCTAACGAAGGAATGGTTCGGGGCCACATTGTACGAACTGTTGAAACTTCCGCATTTAGGTATGAAAACTGGTGAGGTTCTAGTGCAATCAGTTATGGCGAAAAAAGAGAGTAGTGTATGGACTAGTTTTTGTTTTCTGGGCTAAATATCACAATGTTATCATTGTTCACTTGATTTTGCATAAGGTTTTAATAGGGTAACTGTACCAGTAAAGACCCTGTCACACTTTCGCGTATCCTAATTTCTTATGAGTTCCTTATCAAAAATTTTCAATTCGCAGCCATACGCTCAATTAACGTCGAAATGTTTTGATCACTTTGACTTATGTGCGACGCACATCTAGCGTACAAGTAACGAATTCAGCGCATCCATTGCGTATGAGATGCGTATGAGTTGCGTATGCAGTGCACAACATTATTTTTTGGGCTGCGAATAGGTCAGTATGCATTGCGCATGCCGAGCGTATTCCGGAAGCACCCGACTTATGCCGACCGCATGCTTGAGCGTATTCCCGCCGCATTTCCGCCGCTCGCCGTTCAGCGTGCGTTGCATCTGCGCTGCAAGTACGCTATGTATACGTACAATACAGGCGGCTCATATGTTGACGGGGTGCGTCACGAACACATAGCGTACTCGTAACGCACTCGACCGATGCGGGACAGATGCTCTGCGTATTTATAACTTATGACCTGCGTAACAGCGTACGCAGCGTAGTTTTTTGCATGCCCAAAACTATCCTGCGTACTGGGCCGTACCTTGCGTATATCTGCGTACATAAAACCTACACAAAACGATGCATATGAGGTGCGTATTGTGCGTACGACTGCGTATGAAAAAATGTCAATGCGCAACTCTTAAGGAATTAGGATACGCAGAAGTGTGACAGGGCCATAAGCAACTTGGTGAATTTGAAGTTCATCAATTAATGCTGATTTTTGGCAAGACTAATTGATGATATCTGGAGACAAGGTAAATGTGGGCAACTTTAGGGCATATTATAGTAGTCATTTTGGATCGTAACTATGTCCTCATAATTATTCAGTCACTAATATGCTTTGGAAAATGTTATTTAAGTAAAGATATGTAAGTAAAATCCCCCAAATACACTTTTCAACTTTTTTTTTTTTTTTTTTTTTTTAGATATACCCCCATATGGAAATAAATATATTGCACGCAGGTATTAACAAATTATACAAATTAGCCACCCATCCAAAAAGAATTTCACGTGTCACCCCCTCCAAATTTCTTCTCTAGGGCTATAAGAATCTATCTGCCAAGTTAGGTGCTTCAACCAGTCGGTCACGATCTTGTCAAAAATTAGATCTAAGCCACCTGGCTATTGTCTATGACGCCCAACGGGTGAATGACCGAAGACCCGATATAGAAAGCGCCCGCTGATTAGACAAAATCTATAGGAGGTCAAGAGGCGGGGTCTTGCCGTGTTCTACTACATATTAGCCCGTAAAATAATGTTCAAAATTGTGTGTGTTTTGCAGTTTCTTGTCTAAGTTACTCCAGTGTTCTCATGAGGGCGGCAGTCGCACGGTGTTTTCCTACCAACTATGCCACAGCCACCGGTCTGGCGATGTCAGGATTTCCCGTAGGTACACTCTTAATCGCGCCAATGACACAGCTTCTGCTAGACACGTACGGCTGGCGAGCCGCCATGATGCTTCTTGGTGCCATGAGTTTGCACCTTCCTGCCTGTGGCGCCCTCTTGAGGCAGAGATCAAGGGACAGCGAGAAGAGTAACCAGTATGAGACGCTTCGTGAAGACGATGATCTCGATGACTCATCTCGTAACAACATTGCCAAAGAGAAATCACGATTGCGCGCTTTCAAGGACGCCCTCACAGCACAGACTGAACATCTCGGTTTCTCGGTGTGCTTGAAGTTCTCCTTTTGGATCGCCACCCTACTGTACGTCTGTATTCGCTTTGTTTCCGACCAGTGGCTGGTGTATTTCGTCCCCCAGGCAGAGGCCAAGGGTTTCTCCCCCCAGGAAGCCGTTACGTTTGTCACCGCTGCCGGCATCGGCAACATCGTCTTCAAGCTCGTCCTCGGCGTTGTCGTGGACCGGGGTATGTTAAAACTGCGACCGGCAATGGCAGCGGTGATCGTCATGAGCTGTGTGAGTTTCGTCATCGTGCCGTGGGTGACGTCATACTGGATGACGTTAACAAATGCTGTTGTCTTCTATGGTTCGTGTGGCGCCATTAGTTCACTCATTGACATCTTCACAAGGGAACTTCTGGGCGTGGATCTCCTGATCAGCGCTTTCAGTTGGATGGAAGTTATGACGGCGCTTGTCAGCTTAGGTTTTGGATTCTTTCCAGGTAAGCTAAGCGGAGTTCATCAATGTTGTAGTCGAGTTTTCCGAGTACCGAGTACTGCCGAGAACATAGGTTACCGAGTACTCGTACTCGCCTCGGAGACCTGTACTTGTACTTCCGAGTGTACAGGTACAGGTCTCCAGTACGAGTACTTGTACTTCCACGACTCCTTTTCCTTTGTTTCTTCTTCTTTCCCCCCTTTTTTATTTATTATATTCCCGTGGTTTTGCCACTCATAACGGCCCGTCCCATTATGTTAATTGTTTTGATGAATTCGCTCCACAGGGTATGCAATTTGGACTTTTATCCCAATAGGCCTATTTCTACCCCCATGAAGCTATCAAAACAAAAAAATAACTGGTCTGCTCATTAGGCTTCTTGCGCAGATAAGTCAGCAATCCGTATTCTGTGCGCGCATATCATAGTCCATTGGAAGTTTTAAGCCATAACGCTAATTTTGGTTGTATGAATGGCAGTTACTACTGTATTTCTCGCTCTTTTTTTTAGGTTGGATTTACGACCAGACCGGAAGTTACGATTTAGCCTTTGTTTCATTGGGATGTGTGTGGGCCCTGTCGCTGGTGGCGCTCTTAATGGAACAGGTGAATGCGAGATGGAAAAAGAAGTAATCTGTGATGAGTTTGTTAGTTTTGCTATCAAAGATCAGTTCTGTTATGATCTAAATATTGAGAAACCGTGTATCAGTACACTGTAACACTGGGTGTTTAACTACTTAACACAATGTAAACCCTTGTTTGCAATAGTTTATAACGTTTTAAGGGGAGACGTAAAAGGCTCAAGCTAAATTTTGAGTCGGATAATTTGCTGGTGTCCATGTTCCAAAAACAAAAAATGGGGCTGTTGAGTGATATGATTGTGCACTTTGTGACTAAAGCATGAAACTTCGCACGTTGGTTCTTCATGCCATGAAGAAAAATTTCAGATGTGGAGACTTTTCATATTTGACCTCTGGTGACCTTTGAGAGGTCCATGACCTTTACATACACTATTTATAACAATTGTTCTTGAAAACACCACTTCTTATGACCCAAGTCTATGTCATAGGTCTTCAGGCCATGAAAATAAAGATCAGATGTGAAAGCCAAAAAAAAATATTTCACCTTTAGTGACTTTCCAGGGGTCAATGACCTTTGTATACATATTTATCGTTATTATGATTTACTCTTTAAACCCCAACTTTTTCAAGACCAAATCTAAATGTTAGGTGTTCATGCTATGATTATTTTTTTTCCATAATTATGTAGGGCATTTCATATCTGACCTCTGGTGACCTTCAAGAGGTCAATAAACTTTGTATGCCCTATTTATAGATATTTATAAGATTTATTATTCCAAACCCAACTATTTCATGACCCAAGTCTAAAAGTTGGCTCTTCGTGACGTGAACAGAATTTGCAGATGTGTGAACATTCATATTTGACCCCTTATGATCTAAGGTTTTAAAAGCTTTTGAAAAATCAAGAAATGTACCAAGGGTGTGTTCTGAATTGTCTAAACCTGTCACAACCTTATTAATGAGATGAAGAACGGCATAAGAAGTGGAATGTTTCGCACGAAACCCAAACTGGAAGTTTGATATGATATCGTATTTACGTAAGAAATCAAGAGTACGTACATCGACGACCCGCGATGCCGCTCCTTCTACCTCGTTGGGAGTACATGCCAACTCAACACAGCCCAGCGCTCTGACGTCAACTTCAGTCGAGAGACCTCAACCAACGACACTTGCGTTTATTACGAGGTCGACTAGATGTATGGTGATACTGTCCAAACATTTTGGAGAGAAATGACAAAGAAGTTCATCTTGAAAAACAACAAACTTTATTGTTTCAAATTGGAAAAGATAGGGTTTCAAATTGGATTGGATAGGAGCCAACGAAATGAAGGAAACCATTCGGACCTTTTTTTTAAATTCAATATGAACCTGTGAGACACTGAGAATAAAACTTTGCAAAAATGCGATAGTTGCGAGGCGATTGACCATTGTGGACTAAATTTCTGTTCCTTTTTTTTAAAGAAAGACAATTTACTTATTTGTGGACAAAGTAAATTTCAGCAAATCGATATCTATTTAATGATGTGTGTTCGCTAATAATTATTGTTATGTAAGACTCTAGAGGACAGCAGATTATTTTTGGCCTTGTTTTCTTGATCTGTATATAACTACTACATACGTGCCAAAGAAAACATGTCCTACTTTTGATCCTAATAACTATGTTGTTCAGCTATGGAATTAAACCAAAATTTTAGATCATGAAAACAAAATATGACACATTTTATGGAGCGAGTTTTATCAGCTTTGTGCAAGAGGGTCAGATTTAAACGCCATTCGAAAAAAAATACTCACTTTCAGAATCTGCCACTTTCGACTTGGCGTCCTCCAATGTCGATACAGCGCTGGAGACGGTGGCGGAAGGCGCGAGCTGCAGCCGAAAGCTTCTGAAGGAATGCAGGATCACCCCTGATGTCATTGCACACCTCCTCGATCCTTTGGCGCAACACACGATCGAGGAGGTGTGCAATGACATCAGGGGTGGTCCTGCATTCCTTCGGAAGCTTTTGGCCGCAGCACGCGCCTTCCGTCACCGTCTCCAGCGCTGTATCGACATTCTGAAAGTGAGTATTGGTTTCGTATGGCGTTTTTATCTCACCGTCTTGCACAAAGCTGATGAAACTCGCTCCATTTAATTTGTAATGCCTTGTTTACATGACCTGAAATGTTGGTATAATTCCATTGGTAAACAACAGAGTTATTAAGGATCAAAAGTAGGACACGTTTTATTTTACGCGTAGTACCTAGGCGAGTTCTGTGAATTGCAAACAGCCTTCAATTCATTGCAATCCTGAGTGCCTGGATCCTATTTTCAATTCGTACCTGTTTTGTGTAAAATATTGCGAGGGCGGTAATATAAAAAGCTGAATCGTCCCTCCTTGTGCAATAGGGCCTTCACTGCGCATATAGGTCGACTATAAAATAAAAGCTTAAATCAAGTATTATTAATTTTTAAAGATATCAAAAGCATCTGTTCAGAATTATTTAACACTGACGAGAGGATAAAGAAGCGAGGATTAATGGAATCGACCCTGATCAATAACCGATGACGCTTCCTAATGGCAAGAGAATAATAAAATACAATGTACTCAATACTTGGCTGCTGTATAAATCAGGCAGCGGAATGGGGGGGGGGGGGGGGGGGGGCACTGCCCCCCCCCCCCCCCCCCCCCCCCCCCCAGTTTCCCAGGCCAACAAAAGTGCCCCTCTCGCGGTTATTAATGTGCCCGTCCAGATGAAAACAAAACTGCCCCTCAACGCACACGTATGAAAGCATAATCGCGCTACAAATAAAATTGCCTCCTCTCTTTTAATGCAAAACTGTCCCTCAAATACACAAGTACCCATCTCGCATTAACAAGATTGTGCACCTTCTCTAGATGGAAAACTATACCCCTCTAGATGGAAAACTATACCCCTCGAAAGCACAAATGCCCCTCTCACAATAATAAACTTGTGCCCCTCTCGAGATGGAACATTGGCCATCAAAAGCAACAGTGCCCCTCTCACGATTAAAAGAAATGGTCTCTTTACAAAACTAGGAAAAAAAACCCACAAAGAGCAAGATGGAAACGTATTCATAACTTGTCCCTCGTCAAATAGGTTTATAGCGAAATGAACAGGACCATATTCTTTTCCTCCACTTTCACACCGACGGAAGGTGCCCCTTTTTCTGAGCAAGGGCCCACTTTTGGTGTTGCCCCTCAGTTTGAAAAGCGTTCCGCCGCGCCCTGGTGAAAATGTATCTGAATCTGTGTATTGCTCCTACCGACAACCTGTAGCACGTGCTTAAGCAGGGAATAACGCAGTATAACACACTTCTTACAAATCATGTGGCCCATGGGTGTATCCAATCCTCAGACCGTATGGGTATTTGCCGGTAGCCAGAAACGAGCTTCTGTTTTTTTTCAAAGACCACTTGGGGACTGGGTAACACTGCACCATGTGGCGCTGTTTATCAGTAAAAAGGGTCACTCGAGAGGGGTGCTTTAACGAGGCTCCCCCAACCCACCTTCCCCCACCCCACCCAACGGCTTCACAGATTAAAGTTACGAAATCCCTATTTGGGATTTTTTTTAAAACAAAACCCTCATACAATCCTTCTGGACACTTACCGCCACTTACCTGTGAGAACTGGGCAAATTCTGGATTAGCCAGCATGGGTACGTGGCAAAGCAGTTCATGGCAACAGTCACTGACAACATAATCATAAAAACAGAAACTTTACATCTGCAGAAACAAAATATAACCTAGAGGAACAAAATAACAATATCACGATACACATTTCACTGTATTTTTTGTTTACAGGTCTACAGCAATAGACATTTCGCAAACGGCGCCCCCATTGAGGACATGCATCAATTTCCCAAACAACATTAATTATATATGATAACGGTGAATAACTTTCAGTCAATGAATATAATTTAATGACATTTAGAAACCACACTGGTGGGTTTGGAACGGGGATCATGGTAAGCTAGAAAAAAAAACTAAGTGCAACACATGCAGATGCGGCACAAAAGTGCGTTGTGCGCGTGGTGATGATTGCGGTGATATACGCGCAGGTGGATGATTAAGCACCCATGCAGTTATTGAAAAGTTTGCACTTTGGTGATTTGTGTATTTATAATGAAACGAATGTCACTTTACCGAAGACGGAAACGTAACTGTCCACCGTGGTAGGCCTACCCTCGACTGTATCGGTAAACGTCGGTAACTATATTCTTTCGGTTTAACCGTCGATTTCGCAGATTGTTCCGTCTTTGAGAATGACCGGTCAAATATTTAACTATGAAATATCTAATGATGAGATTTTTTTGAAGCAGATAATTAAAAATTGATGAGTACTGGATTGTTTTACTGTGTTGGTGAAAGATGAATCATATCCGAGTTCAGCACTGCAGAAGTGCATCGATTTGTCCAAAGATACCGAGATGGAATCATATATGCAGTTACACAATCTGCAGGTCTCAAAGGCAAAACAACCACAACAATATTGCTTGAACTGTAAAATCTGGTTATCTGGTCCATGCCCACGTCGCGCCGCCGGACAAGCGGTGCTCCGTCCTTATATATGCGGCCATCTTGGATTTTTATATTGGGTGTCACATTGTTATTGTATTGTATTGCAAAAAATATAAATAAATTAAACAGTTGCAGTGGGAAGGAAATGGTAGAAATGGATTCACTGCGACTAAAATCCCTAGTTTTGCATTATATTACTTATCATAATATATAGTTGTACAGGATCTATGCTCAGTGCCATCTTGGCGGCCATCTTGGATATCTCAATTTCCCCCGGAACTTCCCGAGGTGGCATCAACCACATTCAGACTCAGCAGGTCTTAAAGGCTATAAACCATCATGAAAATTGTGTGAACGGTAAAACCGGGTAAGTGTGGTATTAGGCAACTGGACTGGGAAAGTGTATCCAGGAACTGACTTAGCCCAGAGTGGGCGGGGCGAGCAATATATGGCCGTGCCGAATTCCTGACACTACGTTTAAGTTTGATCATCCATTAAGTCAGAGAGGACTATACGGGAGTTTTCTTATACAGACAATGTATGGTGTATGGGTTTCAAGCCGTTTCCAACGCCTTCTAGTTGGGGGCGGGCTGCCGACGCGAGTCATCCGGATGACACTTCTATTCATCTGCAAACTAGTTTCCATCGGTTGCTATGTGTAAGTTACCATTCCGCACTCCAGACTCAAGAACCTATTGAGTTTCAAGAACAAATGTCTGGAAGCTAGATAAGCCAATGGAAAAAAAAATTCTAGGATGTCCGTGGCGGCCCTACCATGATAATTATAGGCTGCCGCTCCCTTCCTAGCGCTAGACCAAAGCTTTAGCATACTGCACTAGTATCTTGTACGCGCCGCGCGCAGCGCATGTAACAAAACCTTTCAATCTTTTGTCTACAGGGGGCGTGCTTCATATCTTGCGCGTCAAAAGAGATAAAGACAGGAACCAAGTAAGGTGAGTAGCGCTATGAAACAATAAACTGAAGAATACTCTTATAAATTACCTTATTCTCAAATATTATGACCTTTTTCTCAGTTGAATATGACATGGTACTTGATTTTTAAGAAAATAAATGTTGATATCCCTGAAGGTAGGCCTAATTCGAGTAGGCCTAGCTCTACTGAGTGTAGCCCCATAAATGTGGCCTATTTACTGGACTGCCTCTAGCTGGAGTTACCCAGCCCTGAGTTTTATCATTGGGTTGTCTATTAGGGCTGGAGCGCATTTTTCTCGTAACTTGTAGTATTTGCAAAAAAAATTTGGAAAATGTTCAATTTTGTCCCCGTTACACACTAATTGCATCTGCAACTCACCCCAAACTTGCCTGGAATAACCATTACACAGGTCCTTGAAGTAAAAAACGATCCACGATGAAGATTCAGCCTACAATTGCAGTGAAAACAGGAGGAATAACCGCTAACCTGACAACCTTTCAGGCATGGCCAGGACTGCTATTGGTTTGTGCACAAAAAAAATTGTGTACAATGAATGGCGGTCGATTAACAGGCACAGAGAGTGATCGCTGTCAACTACTCGTTTTTGCCGGCTGCGCTGGCGTTGGCGCGTGACGTCACGCAGAAGCGTAACACCCGATGACTGTTTCATGCACTATTGGTTGCGGTTCCAGTACCAAAGCTGTGATGCGAGTAGTAAACCTTTTACTAGTGCATGAAACAGTCATCGGGTGTTACGCTTCCGCGTGACGTCACGCGCCAACGCCAGCGCAGCCGGCAAAACCGAGTAGTTGACAGCGATCGCTCTCTGTGCCTGTTAATCGACCGCCATTCATTGTACACAATTTTTTTTGTGCACAAACCAATAGCAGTCCTGGCCATGCCTGAAAGGTTGTCAGGTTAGCGGTTATTCCTCCTGTTTTCACTGCAATTGTAGGCTGAATCTTCATCGTGGATCGTTTTTTACTTCAAGGACCTGTGTAATGGTTATTCCAGGCAAGTTTGGGGTGAGTTGCAGTTGCAATTAGTGTGTAACGGGGACAAAATTGAACATTTTCCAATTTTTTTTTGCAAATACTACAAGTTACGAGAAAAATGCGCTCCAGCCCTAATAGACAACCCAATGATAAAACTCAGGGCTGGGTAACTCCAGCTAGACTGCCTCCGTAAACATAGGCCACACGTCCACATGTACAAAAATCGTGTCGACTTTGCCAAATTTTGATTTTCACATTTAGGCTTAGTTTGTGGGATTTTTTTGCTTTAGAAGCATACTCACCCACTTTATAGGCTAATCAGAAAGTGCTGCCTTTTTCAGATGTATATTTTTCGTGAAATTTCCAGATTCATTTTTACACGTTTGCGTATCAAAATTTCAACATGAAATTTCACAAAAATTAGACATCTGAAAAAGGCAGCACTTTCTGACTAGTCTATAAAATGGGTGAGTATGCTTCTAAAGCAAAAAAATCCTACAAACTAAGCCTTAATGTGAAAATCAAAATTTGGCAAAGTCGACACGATTTTTGTACATGTGGACGTGTGGCCTATGTTTACGGAGGCAGTCCAGTAAATAGGCCACATTTATGGGGCTATACTGAGTGTAGCCCCACTAGTGAGTAGTGTGGCCGTCGGTATATGCTGCGCTGAACCTCTGGCCACACACCGTGGTCCGCGCACTACTGAGGACGTTTTCATAAAAATTGCAGGGAATTTCTTACATATGGTTGTATTCTACGATGTCCCATCTATCACTTCTGGGATGCTTAGGTGTAATGATGTTCAATTTTCCGAGATATTCTTGAATCTTTCTGGAGCCCATATACACTCGTGAAACGTCCGGTGATGGCAGCCATTTTGAATGTGACAAGAGATGACCTCAAGCTGTGATGTCGCGTTTATGCAAATTGCTTGTCGAGCGCGCGATCGCAAGGGCGCGAGTTGCAAATGCGACGGCTGTTTCCTGTACCATGCATTTATCGTCTGGGGGCCACGTGCACTGATCTCTATTCGATATTCAGGATCTAAGGCACAGGAAACAGCCGTCGCATTTGCAAATCGCCCTCGCTCGACAAGCAATTTGCATAAACGTGACGTCACAGCTTGAGGTCATCTCTTGTCACATTCAAAATGGCTGCCATCACCGGACGTTTCACGAGTGCATATGGGCTCCAGAAAGATTCAAGAATATCTCGGAAAATTGAACATCATTACACCTAAGCATCCCAGAAGTGATAGATGGGACATCGTAGAATACAACCATATGTAAGAAATTCCCTGCAATTTTTATGAAAACGTCCTCAGTAGTGCTCGGACCACGGTGTGTGGCCAGAGGTTCAGCGCAGCATACCGCGGCCACACTAGTGGGGCTATACTGAGTGGAGCGTTGAATTACGGGTACCCCTCCATACAAACGCTCCACCGATTTGCCATACTTTGGTGACACCGTCACAGTAGCATAGCCACAAACCCACGCGAGGACAAAAAGACCCCCAAAAACCGGTAAAGAGAATACAAATGAGAGAGACAGTTATCCTGGATTGATCTATACATTCTTGACATCCCATGAGACCCCTTATATTGTTCCCAAACAGCGAAAAATTTGAAAAAAAAACATTAAAAAGCAAAATACTAGTCTGAAAACTTAGAGCTCAATGTGTTTGCAGGGAGGCTCAGTTCTTGAATCGACTTGTCGAATGAGGGCGTCTGACGTGTCCTCATCATCGTTGCTCGATTGAAGAAAAACAAGTCACGCTTTATCCACGACTGTTTTGTGTAATGATACGTGCTCCTTGGGTGTGTTCAAAGCCCATACTGTCGTACGGCGCGGCGCAGATCGGAGCACGTATTATTACACGAAACAGTCGTTGATAAAGCGCGACTTGTTTTTCTTCGCGATCAAGCAACGACGGTGACGTCACGTCAGACGCCCTCATTCGACAAGTCGATTCAAGAACTGAGCCTCCCTGCAAACACATTGAGCTCTAAGTTTTCAGACTATTTTGCTGTTTTTTTTTTCGCTGTTTGGGAACAATATAAGGGGTCTCATGGAATGTCAAGAATGTATAGATCAATCCAGGATAACTGTCTATCTCATTTGTATTCTCTTTACCGTTTTTTGGGGGTCTTTTTGTCCTCGCGTGGGTTTGTGACTATGCTACTGTGACGGTGTCACCAAAGTATGGCAAATCGGTGGAGCGTTTGTATGGAGGGGTACCCGTAATTCAACGCTCCACTCAGTAGAGCTAGAGTAAGCCTAACCTCGATCCTCCAGATAAGCCTAAGGCTTTGGCAATGCTAGCCCCATAAATGTGGCCTATTTACTGGACTACCTCCGTAAACATAGGCCACACATCCACATGTACAAAAATGTGTCGTACTTTGCCAAATTTTGATTTTCACATTTAGGCTTAGTTTGTAGGATTTTTTTGCTTTAGAAGCATACTCACCCTCTTTATAGGCCAGTCAGAAAGTGCTGCCTTTTTCAGATGTCTAATTTTTTGTGAAATTTCATGTTGAAATTTTGATACGCAAACGTGTAAAAATGAATCTGGAAATTTCACGAGAAAGATACATCTGAAAAAGGCAGCACTTTCTGAATAGCCTATAAAGAGGGTGAGTATTGTTCTAAAGCAAAAAAACCCTACAAACTACACTGTAAGCCTAAATGCGAAAATCTAAATTTGGCAAAGTGCGACACGTTTTTGTACATGTGGATGTGTGGCCTATGTTTATGAAGGTAGTCCAGTAAATAGGCCACATTTATGGGGCTAAGGCTTTGCAACCAGTAACTATCGTCAGACCCCCTAAAGCTACGCGGTCCTTTTTCTACGCATTTACCTTCAATTTGTGTGTGACAACGCACGCGCATATGCAAGCGTTACCTGCGCAGATAATGGAGGGTCGAGGATACAGTAGCTTAAAAATAGCAAAGCAACCACTCTTTTCCTCAACAAAACTTATCATCCACCGTACTGATTAACAAAGCGAAATCTCTTTATTTGTGGCAGCAAGCGGGGAATTCCAAAGCGTGCAGTTTTGGCGTTGTAGAAAAGAATCCTGCCTAATTCTGCGTAGGGGACGCTTCATGAAAAATATGTGCTGTCCGGGCCATGTAACTCGATATAAACATTTTTTTTTTTTTTTTACTTACACTTGTTGGCTTTAGGAAAATATATTTCCTGAGCTTTTCAAACATATTTTCTTTCTTTTTCCTTTCTTTTTCAATTCCAGTACACTTTTTGTAATTTCACGATTATTTTTAATATCCAATTTTGGAGATTTATACAAAGGCCTATATTTACATATTTACATCAATAGATTTTATACATATTTACCTATTAAATTTGGATCCCAATGATATGGTTAATATTCTGATCATCCCAATCAACAGAGACAGTCTTTAAGATGTACAGTAGGATTTTAAAACGTATGACCAAAAAAATTCCAAAATAATATAAGAAATGTGTCTTTTTAGTTGCACTTTAAGTTTTGCACCCTTGAAAAAACTGCAAATTCTTATCTATGACATCTTAACTATAATACTGACGATATTGGGACACCACTGAGAAAGGTCACCTTTCGGTCATATTTTCGACTTCTGCAGGCCCAGGAGCATCTGCCTGCATTTGTACAAGTTTAGTAATTAGCTGTAAAGCCTTCAATTTCCAATTTTTTTTCGGCTGCTGCTTAAAGTTCGTGCATCAAAGGATACGATCCAAGTGAAATTGTGTCATTTTTTTAGGATGCATGCCTTGCAAAATATAACTTAAAGGTGAGTGCGCAGAAATAGGAGTGCGTAGCTTTAGGAGGTCTGACGATAATTGAGGTAAATGAAAAAAAAAACAACTTGTGTGGCCTCCGTATTCCTGCGCTGTACGTTTGGCCACGCGTCTGGTTTCCCAACCTACTGAGGAGTTTAGTCCGAAACTGGCACATATGGACTCCAGAAAGATGTCTAAATTTCTCGAAAAATTTGAAGACAGATCACCTAATCTACCCGAACTGCAAAAGATGAGAAATCAAAGAATACAACCATATACAGTAGTATGTAAAAAAAGTGCCAAAAAAGGGTGCGCCAGAGTTTGGACTAAACTCCTCAGTCATGTGTCAGTAGGTTGGAAAACCAGACGTGTGGCCTAATGTACAGCGCAGCAATACGGAGGCCACACAAGTGGGGCTAGAGAACTGTAGGCCTAGCCTTGGTCCCAACTGTTCATTTATGTGCACAATGAATGGGACTGATGTTCCTCTTAGTACAAAATTCTGATATAACAAACAATTTGGCTAGGTCCGAACGAGTTTGTTTTAACGAGACTCCACTGTATCATCTCAATGAAGGTTATTCATTGCAAAATTGATCATAAGACATGAATCTGGGACTGAGAAACATTTCCAATTTTGTTAGGAAATACTTAGAAATTGTCCTGACGCTCCAGACTTTGTACACAATTGCCGAAGTGGCGTCAGGTTACAACATTTTTCCCAACTCGGTCCTATGAAAAATGTGGGATAATTTTAAGGTCTCTTGTATTGTTGATGTCCCCTAAATCTACCCCTAGAACTATGGTGCTCCGCATAGCGGAGCCCCATAGACGAATCACCAACGAATTTGTTGACTACTACGAAACGACTTCTAAGTACAAAAATGTATATCAAAATGTTGTCTTTTGCCAGAAAACTGCTGCACAGTTTTCCCCTAAACTCGGTATGGTATTTCTTGACATTCTCACGTATAATGCACCAAAACATCGTGGGTGGAATCTGTCCTCGATTTTTGCAAAAATGATGAAAAAAATCTGCGTTTTGTACAGAGCAACATGGAGAAATTTATACATGTTCATGAAGATCGCTTGCGATTGACTTGTGCGTGTGCGTGCTGTGGGCAAAAAATCTTTGGAGAAACTTTATTATTGCTCAACCTAAGAAAAGTTCATTTCGTTTGCAATACAGTAACACCTAATCTTGAGTTTATACCACATTGTGGATAACTTTCTGTTTAGTACAGAAGGCATTAACCCTAACCCCCTAGTAGTTCCTCAGGACTTACCCTCCTAAATCCAACAGAGTCCAACCGGAGTTTCCTGTTCAATCCACTGTGCCTTACTTTCAGTTGTCTGCTGAATCCAATGGAGTCCAACATGGCGTTATCATGCGGTTCAGTTGCCTGCTGAATCCAACATTTTGCATGAGGAATGTACACAAGGGGTTTACTGTTCAATCCAACAGGCTCCATCGGGCATATGACATAGTTGGATCCTGTTGGATTCTGCAGGGTTAGGGATTCTCCGGTTCAGCATAATTGAGCTCAGGAAAACGGTAATGAACATTTATGCGTGCAACCGTCTTTTCATGTGTAACTAGCTAGGGCGATGTTCGTGTGTGCGTACTACACCCGTACGACAGTTCGGCAATTGCTTCATGAAGCGCATGCGTAATAGACTGTCGCACAGGTGATAACCCGTGCAACAGTCTACTACGCATGCATATTTACCCAGTGCATGAATACTCGTGCATGCGCTTATCAAACAGCAAAAATAGCATCCGGCATGTGATGGTGAATGGACCAGTGAGAATTCGGCTCTCGATCATGAATATGTATGAGGTATAGTAATAGGTAATTGCAAATGATCCTTCGTGGCTAAATAGACTTTACTCAGTCAACAGTAACACTGGGATCATACCAGCTGCAGTGTCTACAAATGTATTCCCATACTCTCTATGATTTTTTGTGTGTGCATCACCTAGATGGAGAGAAGAAAACCGCAGCAGAATCTGCAGTATGCTACAGGTTCTTCCAAGAATCGACTCAAGTGCAAAGTTTGTGACAAAACCTTCATGTTTCCATCGGTACTGATGCGCCATATGCGAAAGCATAACAGTGAAAAGGCAAACAAATGCAGGATTTGTAAAAGAGGGTGAGTATAATTCGATTATTCAATTCACAATGGTTTTCAACTTGTCTCTAGTCTCTGTTTTTGTATATATTTATTTGCTTATATAAATATATAAAGCAGCATTATTAACATTGGGTTTCCAGTGGTGAAACTTAATCGGCGTATTGTATGCTTTCGTAAAAAATACCCAGATGACTGCAATATTATGTCAGTAAAAGTACCCAGATGAGGACAATATTATTTTTCATATTGTCCTCATTCGGGCATTAAAACAAATTTCACTGGTTCCTGCACTGTGAAGAGCGTAGAAACTCACAATTGTCAACCAGTCAACAGAGCGCAGCTCACGTTGCCATCTCATGCGGACGCAGTGCCCAGCAGGGTACACACGCACTGTTGTCAATGACCACAATGGCAACTTCGAGCAGCGCATAAGTTGCTTCGGTAAGCGAAGAATATTTGACAAAATTGGAGAAATAAAGACAGTGTCCTGACATTTATTTCTTTTAGGCCATCAGCTGAAACTCAAAAACCGGCTGTAAAATGAGTTTCGTTCCAGCAACACTGGGTCTACTTTTTTAATGCATGTGGCGCTCAGTACATCATCAGAAAAGGACTGAGCAAATTTGGATTCAGATTCTGGGTCAATCTGACCCAGGAGATTTTAGAGTTAAAAAATATCTTTTAGGTACATTGGCAATTGGGTCACACAGAACATGACGTTTTGTTTTCTCATCTGGTAGACATCACCACAGTCCCTCTTCCAAAAAATATTTCACTGTAATCTAACTTATTTGGCAGCATACAACAATGCAATTATTTTGAAGGTTTATAATGCAGTGGTGGAACCAGCTCATCATTAATGAAAGTGAGGGGGTGCCCAAAATGGAGGTGTCTTTAGAGTAAATGAATACGGTACATGTAACCAGCAGAAGAAACAGGAAAGCAGACAAGACATGTCCCTTTAAACAAAGCAAACTAGCGCATATTAAAAAAGAAAAGAAAAAAGGGGTGCTATTCCCCCCCCCCCCCCAAACCCTCTGGATCTGCTGTGGTGAACCAGGTACGTCACTTAAAGAAACTTCTACTTGTAAGAAAGACCACCTTTTTTTGGAATGAAACAGGCTTTAAATACAATTATAAATCAAAGGACCATCAGATAGAAGTCAGTGTCTGGTTTAATAATTTCAAAAATCAACCATTGTACATTTATTTGCTATCTAATCAAAACAGCCATCTTGGTTTGGAGAAAAGCCTTAAGATCAGTCTTTTGTCAAAGAAAATTTCAGCTTTTTATTTATTGATACATTGATTAGCACCGAAAAATGTTTGCATGTATATCAATAAAAAAGAAAACAAAACCATAACTCATGCTATTTTGTATGCTTACACATTAAAGAGAGTGATTTGGCTTGTCATATGTGGCTAGTCTCACTGTTAAAACTCACAGACTTTGCCTTTCTACTGGAACTTATTTTTAATAATTGAGAAGAATTAAAATGAATGAAACCAACACTAATGAACAGAAGGATACAATTATGTAGTTTTGAAATCTAGAGTTACTCATTATTTTCATTATAATGTCAAATGCTAACTAGTCGTGCTGATACAACTTCAAGTAAATGTTATCACTACATCAAAGTTCTCATCAAATGTTGTGCAGTAACGGCATAACAACAGGATGGAGCGTATGTCTTGCTTTCTAAGCCAAAATTTCAGTTTTGAATCCTCCTCTGAAGTCCCCAGAGATTCAACCACACCTCCAGCAGATAAAGTAGCGGTGTAGATGATGTCGCATATATCAAGGAAAGAGACCTTTGGATATTCTCTTCTAAGCCGATATGTCAACTAATCAGTTCTGTAAAAAAAAAAAATAGTAAAATATAGACAGGTTTAGTATCTGATGATCAAAAACAATGATTACTGTGGATGTGCTTTAGAAGAAAGAAAACAACTTGTTCAATCTAGAGTTAAATTACTAGGAAGATCACGTGCCCGATCGTTTTGCCTTCCACTGTAAATATGTAAACATTGGTAGCTATTGAGAACCAACCTTTTCAGCTTCCAAAGCAATATCAAGAAGTTTTCATTTTGAATATTCTATTAAAGTTTATTTCTGTTTGCCCTCTGAATAACAATCAAAACATCTTACCGATATAAAGATCCAAGGCCAGTTCCTTCGGCTTTTAAATCATTTCATGATTCCAACAGTTCAGCAAACTGGGACATTCTCATTAAACTAAGTTGTTGATCGGGGTTGAACAGTCAGTTGCAGAACATCTCCCTTTTCCTGACGTTCATCCTTTAGGCCTATATATATAGAATCAAATAGTAAATTCTATAAAAAGCTATTTTGCTATTTTATACAAAGGGAAAGACTACCCTCACACCTCCATAAAAAGTATCCTTCAACAATGGAGAAAGAGACTGCACAACATTTTATTATGGGATTATGTGCAGTACCCGTTGTACTTTGGCATCTTAACGTTAGACATTTATTTGCAATGCCAGAGGTACTCAGTTTGAATCATCGAACTAAAAAAAACCACCCTTTTTTACTGGGTTTTTCAAATAAGATCTATTTGTCATTGAAGACATTTTTCTTCATTGACTTAAGAGAATTTTTGTAAAAGGAAAGTAAGTCCAAGAACCATTCAGTAAACAAGTGACGTACCCAACAGTCCAATGCCGTAGAGAAAGAAAAGGTGTTTTTTTTTATAACCAGGAATCTGTTATCATTTTGAATGGTATCTTTTGCAAGAAAATAAAATTTTCCTATGCATTTTCAGTTGACGCCATCCAAATCGATGGGGTTCTGTGCATTCACGGTGCATCGTGGTGACCACCAGCTTTGTTTTCGCATTGCGTTTTTATCGTTGTGTCACCCCAGTTTCCCTCAAAGAAATTAAAACCTAACCTTACCCTTAGGCCTTAATTCAAGACAATTAAACCCAAAGTTTTTTATTGGTTCTTTTTTGGGGCACATAAATACACAATCGCCTTCATTCATTATAATGACATGTAGGCCTACCTCGAACGGAAGTTCTGCTTGTTGTACTGTTGCAGCTTGTCCTTGAATTGAGGTTTTCATCGAAATCAAAATCCTGGTTGAGTTTGTGTGCAGCATGACACAGTTATCTGGTTATGTAGATAGGCAACTAAAAGAAACTTGAACTTTGCCGGGAGCTTTTTCAGTGAAGAAATCTGGGTCTCAGCTGAAGTGTCTGATTTGCGTTTTCTTGCAGCACAGAGACGTTTACTATCTATAAAAACCGCCATGGGTGAGATCGGCCGGCCGGACTGCCTTGTTTACATGCGCCAGATCCACTGCCCACACATCGTGGGTATATTCGGCGATGCCATTGTGAAATTCAGCCACTCTTTGGCACAGGAAATGAACTTACTATCACCGGACATCAGATCCTTCGCATTTCCCCCCTCAAACGTGACAGGTTATGAGTGCAAACACTTCTTTTTTGCACCGGTCGATGTTTACGTTGACGCACTTTTGCCAATGGACGCCGCCATGTTTGTTAAATGTCATGACCTGCGACCTCATATCTGGTGTCTAATTGGACAGTTCACGTCACGTGGTACGATGCGTCATACGCGGCGGAGTTTTTTAACGTAGGCGCGGTACGTTTTTGAACGTCCACAATGGACAAATAGTTCGCTTTTTCGAGTCAAATTATCAAAAAACTGCTGTACGAAATGTGGAGAACTTTTGTAGTATCATTCTTTGGTAGTGTATTTCGGTACAACTGTTAAAAAAATTTAGAACCGCGATTGCTGGAGCGAAACGAACGAATTTTCCAGTCCAGCTGATGGCCTATTTGCAGATCAAGTCAGCCTGAATATAATAAAATTATTGGATGGCTTTTTTCAGGGTATACAAGAATACAATGTATATTGCATGAGCTATAACAATATTGCACTCGTCTTTGACTCGTGCAATATTGTTATATATTCTTGCGTCCTCCTCAGAGCCATCCAGTACTATAACTCGTCGGGAACCTGGAAGAAGGTCGTAAGGGACGAAAAATGGGTCAAAAGGTCAATTCAGATTTTTCAGGTAATCAATAGAGCTTGGAAATATCATTCATTTGATATACATTTTGTCTCAAGAGGCTACGTCATTCTGACGTAATTAACAGTAAACAATAGGCGGAAGGAGGTTTAAGTGTACGTTTAGGCTTGGTAAGTTCTCGGTAAAAGGTCGTTAGCATAACAATTGAAAAAACTTCACAATCAAGTCATATTTTGACATAAAAATACACAATACTATATTATCTATTAACACATTTCATCAGTCAAAATTTCAGCCTTATGTGATTTTTAATTTAGAAATGGGAGCACAAAACCTTTCAACTTGATTATCTCCTAAAGTGCTTTTTGTGTGCCTGGGCTGCGTACGACCTTTTCCTTGTCTAGATTAGATTAGATTAGATTAGATTGAACTTTGTTATCCCGCTCGAGGGAAATTAAAATGGCCTTGACAAAGAACGGGTTATAAACCATACAATCATTAATTGAAAAGATGTAAAGGTGCAATATCACAAACTTATAAATCCAGTAATTACATGTAAAAAACAAACTACTACATATAATACACATATTGCATTACGTTAATGAGGGATCAGAGTCAGCCACACGACAGTTCATCGTTCCAGTTGCTCATTGTACTATTTGATAGCTGCTGGAATGAATGAACTGCCGTATCGCCGTGTACTGATCCTTCGTTGTAAAAAGCGATTACTTCTGGAGTTGGTTTGGAAGTGGGCATGTAATGGGTGATCTGAGTCGGAAAGAACTGTCTTAATTTTATTGCACATAAGAGACCTGTATAATGCCTCTGGAGACTCTTGTTGTAAACCAATAGCTTTACTGGCTTGCTTAACTATTCTGTCTAGCTTAATCCGATCCTGGCACCTCATATTTCCGTCAAAACAAACAAGACAAAAAGTGAGAATACTCTGTACAATGGACTGGTAAAACAGTTGTAAAATAGTTTAATGAACGTGAAAAGACTTGAGTTTGTGCAGAAAAAAACAAATGTTGTTGCATCAGTCACAAGAGGAATTAGTCTTTGCTGATGTTTGTTTTTCTGTTTACATCAACCCTGCTATTTTCTGACATCTGATGAGGCTGCTGTTGGTATCACTTTGGTGATTGGCACTTACTGTATGGGTAGGGCTGTCTGGAATATACCCAATATTCCAGTATTCAATCATCCAACGAATATTTAAGGAGCAATTTTCCAACTTGAATATTAAAAAAAGTGAACAGTCTTGAGAAGATGAGAAAAACGTCCATGGTGTTATTTTAATCATTGCGTGGTTTTATTGTTTGTCAAATGGCTCATTTCTTTTGTGGACAGTCACTTTATATGCATGATATGAGAGCTGATGATGCAAGGACCATTGGTTCTAAATTGAACCTGTAAAAATTCTCAAGTATCAGCCTGTCAGCTATATCTTGATACATGCATACACATGTTTCTATTTGTTAAGGTCCTTGTCAAATTCGACAAGTGCGCATGTAAAACTTGGTCAGTGCATTGTAATTATTCAAATGCTTGAGTAAAACGAACGCTGAATTAGGCCAAAAAAATCAATAGTTCTGCTTCCTTCCAGTTGCCCTACCGGTACCTACACTTTTTTGACAGCCCCTACCCAATGTTTTTTTTTGGGGGGGGGGAGAGGAATGTGGGAAAGAACCCACTCTTGTAGTAGAAAGTAAAAAACAAATGATAACATGCGTGTGTGTATACATTTACTATCTCAGGGTACACAGTGTTATTGTCTTGTGCATTCAGCACTACCAAAGCCATGTAAATGGTCCCAGCTGTCCACAGTTCAACAGTTAACCATACCTGACATAGATAATGTAGTATTGTACCCTGTGTGCAGCTCTACATGTACATATATGTAATTGCAGAGGTGATAACATTGATTTTTTCCACCATGCTGTAATAATGTGCAAATTGTGCACGCCTCGGAAAGTCATCATACTTATTACTTAGTGCATTTATCTTGATAAAAAAAGGGATGTTGTGGGAAACTGAAGTTTGCTTCCTTTGTTGTTCTTTTTTATTTAATAGACATTAGGCCCATGTGTTGTAAGTGCATCAAGAAGGAATTTTCATTAAGAAACAATGAAAGCATAAAAAGGGCATATTCATGCCTATTTCCAAGCAATACAAAACCATTAGTTTCGCCTTAACACACAGTGTCAATATCTTGGCAAATTATTGCATCATCGGTAAGTGTACCTGGAAGTTTATCTATATCAAGATACCATAGTGAGTTAATATTCCAAGTACGCCAAATGTTTTGAATGCCACTGAAACTTTGTGTGCAAAAAAACCCATTTAAGATCTGTTTTTGTTTTTATTTTCAGATTTCCGGACAAATCCAGCCTTTCTAGTCATATGCAGTCCCACGAGAGTAGTACTCAGCCTGTAGAAAGTGATAGTGGTGAGCTGGCAGAAAACTTGCACATGCAGAACCCTCTGAAGTGGATCTCGCCTTTAGAAGACAATGATCAATCATCAGATGAAGTGGGGTACGAAACAGAGCCACTAAAAAGACCTGAGGATATGGCGACATCAGACCGTACCAGCACAGGCTCAAGTATGTTGCCCAACCGCAATCAACCTGTGATTGATTTGACTTCAACCTCAGGGGCAATGGGGATGGAGAGACCAGGACTCTTCCAACAGGAGTCTGTTAATAGAATCCTGAGTCCAACCTTTCGACAGAGAAAGGAGACTCTAAATACAGGAGAACGTGCTGGGTCTGTGTCAGACACTCAAGCTGTTAATACTCCAAAGGGCCATTTCACCCTGTGTACGGATGGAAGAGCCCTGAAGTGCAACTACTGCTCATTCATTTGTCGCCGGACATGCGGCCGGATGATCAAGCACCTACGAGTACACGGAATACGGTCCAGGAACCAGTGCAAGTCATGTGGGCTGGGATTCTTCTCTAGGTCCGAGTTACAGAGCCACCAAAATGTCTGCAGTCAGTCGTCTCTGGCACCTCGGTGCCCAGAGTGTGGGAAAACCTTCTCCTTCCGCTCCCTTCTGCGCCAGCACATGAACACCCACGTCAACAAGAAGCTGTTCAAGTGTGGTGAGTGCACTATGAGTTTCATGTCAGCTTCGCTGTTCCAACTCCACATGAGTGAACAACATCCAAGCCCAGTGGTGATTGGGGATGGCAAAAAGCACCAGTGTAGCATCTGCCCTGAGCACTTTGAGAGCAGAGAAGATTTGGACAGGCATCTCAGGGTGCATGTTGTTGATAAGCCCTTCCAGTGCACCATTTGTAGCAAGAGGTTTTCTTCATCAACTGCTTGGTAAGACTGCCGTGTTTGTGCGTTACTTTTTTTCAGAGGGTAATGGACCATTCAATAAACCTTTTTGTACGGTATATATGCTTATCAGAGTTGTAACAATATTTTGTGACTCGAGTCGTGTGGAGTCAATGTAAGAAAGTGACTCGAGTCAAGTCATTAGGTCAAGAAGGTCGAGTCGAGTTGAGTCGAGTCCCAGTGTGTGGTCGAGTTGAGTCAAATTTATGCTTGAGTCAATTCGAGTCACTGATATTTGAACACCATGTAATAAATTACAGAATTGAAGAAGGAACACAAGGCACCAGTGTATTATGAAGATCCAAAGATTGAAAACATGCTGCATAGTACCCATTATATAGATAGCTTCTTCTCTACCAAAGATCTGCGTAACAGTTAACAAGCATTGAAACTTCGGTTTTATATATGGTTTGGCTTCGAACAGTTCTTGAAATTTCTTTCTGGAGTACCTAATTATGTTCCTTTTTAAGGAATGTTCTTTAAGGCCAAAAAAAAAAGTCTCCGGTTTCTGGTATGCACGCGCGTCGCCGTAGCCATGCGCGTCGGCAAAATGAAAAAGTTTTTTTGTCAATAAAAGATGATGTCTCAAAACAGCCAAACTTACTGGTTTGACTGGAATCCTGCTGCTGCACAATTTTAACGTGTTTTTAGATGGGGTTATGATCGAGAATAAGCTTTATATGGCCTCTCCGGACTCCCATATATTTGCACTAAGTTTAGTTGGGCACCATTTGCAGTCATCAGCCGACATTTGAAGCAAAAAAGACAGATAAAAAAAAAAAAAGCCGCGTCGCCGCACCACTTTTTGGGCAAGCTCCATACCAGAAACCGGAGACTTTTTTTTTTGGCCTAAATGTTCCTATTTTCATTTTTTATTTATTGTGTCTTTTTTTTAAAATAAGGTTCAACCACATCCGCATTGTACACAGAGTGAACCCAAGGACAAATGAAAAAGATGAGACCTTGCTACAATCTCACCAGGTAAGACCCACAGCTACATCTGCCATTCCTGTTTCAAGCCCGGTGATGACCATGCCCATTGTGGTATCAGTTAGCAGCCAGAGCAAGGTGATACATTCCACTTACACCAAGGCAGTTGATAAGCCTTCCTTGACCCATTCCAAGTCAGTTAACGAGCCTTCTGAACTGACAGCTGGGTCACCGGAGATGATTGATGATACCCTGCATGCAGGGACAAGTGGACTTGTTTTCATGAGGAAAGAGTTGAATCCTGAGGCAACTGATAGTGACAGCAGTGTTAGGGGGCCCTCTGTGGTTCGCTCTTGGTCTGTCAGTGATTCATCTGACCCAATGGCTTCTACAGAGTCAGCAGGTGTTCAGGTTGGGGACAGCTCCAGATTCTCTTCGGGCAGTCACCTCCTTTATCTGAAGAAAGAGGTCACTAAAGATGAAATTGTGCATCCTAGCACCTTGGGCATCAGTAGATTGGCAGTTGAACCTGGTAGCACAAATCAAGGTGAAGAGGGCTTGCCTGCCCACAGGTCCCATCAGCAGCTTGAGCCAACCTCAACTGCTGCAGACAGAGAGGTCATGAGTCCTAGAGAGGTATTTCCAGTCCATATTCAACACTGCAATAGCCAATTTACAGCCAGGAGCAGTGACAATCCCCAACGATTTCTGGATGTTGGCAATGTCATGGGCAGTCCATCGCCAGAGGGAAGCTATGGGAAAAGCACAGATGACATAACAAATCCAGAGTCTCCATGTCGAGCAACAAGCACTAGGAGGTCACTGGATGTCTCAGACACCATCCCTGGTTCTCATCACTGTAACTTCTGTGACATAGCATTTGGGGACCCCATCATGCACTATCTACATATGGGATGGCATGTTACTGGGGATCCCTGGAAATGCAATGGCTGTGGTCAGGAGTGCGGGGGAAAAGTGGACTTTTTCCTCCATCTCTATAAAGCTGGACATAATTAATTGTTATACCTCTGTCTTGAATACTGGATTTTCATTGGCCTAGAACGATCACATGTTCAGTTTATAAAAAGTCATAGCACACTCCCTGTGACCTGATATCCAACAGGGAGTGTGCTATGACTTTGTGCTTACGGTACGTACGTGTACGCGTATGCGTACATACGCGTTTCACACGTAAAGCGCAGCGAAATTGCAGACTATCAGCTTTTTGAGCACGCGACATGCATGTGAGTTGATGTTCGATTGTCATGATTGTTGTATTTACTGCTGTCTGTTTTCGTAACTTTTACATCAAAATCCAAAAAATACAAGACATATGTATAACAAAACAATTGTTGACTGGTGTGATGTGGGATATGATGTTTTGAACACCCTCGGGGCGCATAACACCCTCCCCGCTATGTGCCCCTCGGGTGTTCAAAACGTCATATCCCACATCACACCAGTCAACAATTGTTAAATGTGACTTACACTGTGTTTTATTTGTAGGCATGCCTTTGACCCGATTACTGTGGGTTGGTTGTCACATGTAAAGTTCTTCATGAAGCTCTAAGTGATGAAGGGATACATCCAGAATTCCAGAGTACATGTATGTTTACTCTTAAACTTTGTGTAAATTTAGAACTTCTTGAGTTTCTTGTACTTTAAGATGACTCATGAGACATCAAGACCTGTGTAAGATCATGGCCGCTGGTCCTACAAACCTGAATTCAGCCAATAACACTGAAGTCTTGGAGTAGATTTTAGCAGATTCAGACTTCAGATACAAAGGGTAATATAATCAGTGATGGACTCGCCTGGAAATCATGAGGTCATATGCAAAACATGAAAGAAATAATCCATTCTATCGTGAACACCCCCTTCAATGGCAAAAGCATTGTGCAAGCTGGGCAGTTGCTTTGTTCAAAAGCAAGCATTTAACAATTGTTGACTGCTATGATGTGGGATATGACGTTTTGAACACCCAAGGGGTGGGCCGATGTGCCCCTGAGGGTGTTCAAAACGTCATATCCCACATCACAGCCGTCAATATTTTTTTGTTGTACCTCTGTCTTGGATTCTTTGGACTTTGATGTAAAATCGAGAAAAACAAACAGCAGTTAACTAAACAGTCATGACAATCAAACATCAATTCCCATGCATGTCCCATGCTCAAACAGCTGATTGTCTGCTAGTTCGCTGCTCCCACTCATGCGTGAAAACATGGTGAAAATAGCATGGGTACCAACGATACAAGCGTTTCACACCGTAGGTACATTGTACCGTACGTACCACGTACAAATTCATAGCACACTCCCTGTGCCATGACTTTTTATGAACTTAACACGTGATCATTCTAGGCCAATGAAAATACAGTATTCAAGACAGAGGTATAACAAAATAGTTTCTCTATTAAAGGGGGCCTAATGAAGGTACAGTGTTCGCTTGCCCGGATTCTGCTATAGCACTCAGGTGATTTATGTCAACAAAGTGGACATTTTACTAATTGGTGGAGGTTTGATGAAGTGCCAGTAGTTTATTGAGATTTCTGGTCCAAAGAGGTGGCGGGGGTTCAAATGCATAATGATTTTTTTAACGGGGCAAAATGTAACGGGGGAGGAGTGGGGGTCGGGTGAACAATGTAGTCAATGGAATAAGTTCCCTGCCCCTGAGCACTACTGCCGTGTGCCATGAGAACAATAGCAAACAAACTATTTCTCTCTCACAAACTTGAAATACTGTATCCCAACTTCAAAAATTGTTTTGAAAGGGAGCAGGGAAATATGGTTGCTCTATCTTCCAAAGTGACTTCATACCCAAACTCAGAGATGCCACTTTTCAGGTTTTAAACTGAATTCAGGGTGGTTTTTTTTCCAAATAATGTGACACATTAAAAGTGCTGGATTTGGTCTGAAACATCCAGAAACACATTCTTGAAAGGGGTAAGGGTAGTTTCAGGGATTTTATTGATATATTGGTGGCATCTCTGCAAACTCAATTCAGTTCAATTTGTGGAAAACAGTTTGAGACCATTTATATGTAACAATTTTTTTTAAGGCCTCTTGTATGTATTTTTTCCCAAGCATCTCTGATTAAGAATTTTTTAAATGTATTTCTAACAGTTGTATACTGTATACCTTATCTACATGTATATAAATATTATGAAATGTAAAATAAGTAACAAAGTAGCTTGCCTTAGTACGTTTTGAATTACTTATTAACAAAACAGTATTCTTTATGTTTTTAATTGTATCATAAATCAGTAGTTTTTGCATTTTAACATCTTTATACAGTAGATTTGTTTGTAGACTTTTGTGATAAAAAAGATACTGCATGTAATTGTCTTAAAATGCATGATAACTTGTTACATTTAATATCCTGATCAAGAGGTTTATCAATGTCAAACCAACCTGCAACTCTTTACGGGGAAGCATCTCAAGAAAGATGAAATTAGTCTTTGTATTAACCTAACCACTCCAACCCTTCAAAATCCAACTGCATGTTGTCATGGTTGTGTTGGAATCTATTGTGAGAGAGTACTGCACTAGTAAACTGATTATGCTTTACATGGGGTCAGGCATACCACCATAATCAGAGTCCAACAGTTTGGGTGTTGAGTTATCATGTGGTGTTGGATTTTGCAAGAGTGAGGATGGTTTCTAGTAATAAGGGGATTGGGGTCAGGAAATGTACATGTATGCATGTCTCATGTATACATGTATTAGCTGATTATATACAAATAATGAATGTTTGTCAGTGTAATGGTAAGAATAATTTCATGAGGTGACAGATGAATGTTCCATTCCACGAGGTGAACACAAATGTGAAACATTCATTATTTGTTTTATATATAACACCTGAATAAATCTTTGTCATCTGACTTGTTGACTTGTGAACTGGTACTTAATCAGTGTTCTACTTTTTCAGATATGGCAATAACTGGTGGTTTTCAATATCCGATTTATTCAAAACTGTACGACAAGTTCAGAACTAGCCAGCATATTCAATTTATCTCAGTCTAGAACTATTCCAGAGCTACCATATTCAAATTCGCCTAATCGTTTGGCAGCAAATCTTACTTGCTTATTTGTCTTAGCAGCGTCAGCATTTTCACAGAGTTCCGATATTTTTTCGGAGAGCAAACGGACATTCTTGCGTATCGTCTGCCACTTTGACATTCTGTGAATCAGATTTGTGTTACAGCGTCACCATCGGCAGTAATGAAACCGTGCAATGGAAGTTCTATTCACCGTGTAATAGAACTTCTATTTTTGTGGTGTGGCTGCGCCACGCGTTGGGACAAAGAATTCAATGACGTGACCAACAATGCACCAATCAGATGACGGGGATTTATTCAGGTGTTGTACAATATGAAATATTTAATATTGCATTATGTATAGACCAATCCGGACACTCTATCACTTTTATCACAAAGGCTCCCTTCAATGGCAAAAGCATTGTGCAAGTTGTTGTTCAGACACTAATGGGCCCAACAGTGTGACATTCGAGAAGACCTATTGAGTTTCGATAATAAAACTAGGATCTTGGTCTCTCAATTTTTGCTGTAAACATTGCAAGCTGTGAACAAATATCCTCACCTGCAAAGGATATAACTGGTTTTGTATTTGAGAAAATACAGTGAATATTGTTTTTAGAAGTGTTACGTACGTAACGAAGGAGAGTACAGTTTAGATAAAGTCACAAAGTAAGCATAACATTTAATGATCCCCTTATGTTGTCTGATTTAAGAAGATGTACCCTGGAGGAATGCCATCAGTCAAAACCTAAAAAACTCAAGAGTCAACGTGAAGAATAATGTGATATTTTATAATAAGGGAAGGAAATGTGTGTTTGGGAGGTATTATAACACTCTGTTTAAGACCGGTTTGAGTCTGGATGGGTGATAATTACCCAAGGCGAAATAAATACCTTTTCGGTCCAAAAATCACAACAAGTCAAAAACTAGACGTTGCCAACCATTTTGTTCAACAATTTTACTGCATGTTTTATGAAACACCCCTCTACAACTTCTTACCTCATAAGGAGATTGGCGCTTGTACTGTGCGATGTTGCGCAGAATGCACATGGGGCGTTGTGTTGTGAATTTAGGACTATAAAATAAAGTGTCCTAGTCACTTTCAACTTAGCAAGGTAAAGGAAAAAAACTAAAGAAGACACTAGCTCATCTTTTACCCTTTATATGCAACATCCATAAACGTATCTAACTGGCCCATTAGTGTGGCATTGCCTACAGGTAGTCTGTCATGCATGGGAAAGTAGCATTGCATATTACACACGTAGGTTGCACAATGTTTAAAAGGGGGCCTCGTGATCGATATGCCCAAGTTCGGAAGTACACTTTGGAAAGAAAGTGAGCTGGTCAGTTTTCTTGCACGTTTCAAGATGATGTCATTTGCTGCTAGCACATAGGCCTACATGTAATACTGGCTTTGAGTTTGTTGGGTGAAAAGTGCAGAATACATGTAATCTGCCGTTTTCTTGTTACACATTGGATGACTTGACAGATCATCCTTGGTAGTGTAGGGCAGGGGCGTAACAATATGTGGGAAGCACATGCTCATATTTTGGCTATTTATTGTGAAAAGTTAGGGGAGGGGTGGGTAAACTTTATCTCACTTTTTTCTATGCTATTAAAAGCAATTTTGATATTACCAGATGCTGGAATGGTTTGGATAAGTTTGTTGGGGTGCTTGTTTGTTTGTTTGTTTGATTGTTTTTATTTGACCATGTCCACAGATATTTTTACAAAAACAATACCACAGACATGAAATTACAAATCAAATAAAAAAACAACAACTATGAACTCTCGCTGCCTGTATTCAAATGTCTCCTTAAGCCTGCATTCTTGTTCCAAGTCCAATCATGATCGTATTGTGTCTGTTTCTCTTTCTGTTTTTTTTATGTGGATGTGTGTTGCTTTGTTCTTCGTAAAGCGCTATATAAATCCTTTGTATTATTTTTATTCTTATTATAATACAATGTAGTATCTGAGGCGTTGTTGAGGATAAGACAAAAATAAGCAGCTTGTTTCCATTGTGGTCCTCCTTGAGTCCTATAAATACAGTGGCTAAAAATTACACATGGGGGCGCTGTTCATGATACAGATCGAGGTACATCCTATGTTCATTTGCTTGCTTACATCCCTTAACCTTACATCAAAATCCGGCATTTAAAGCTTCATTCCCCTTTTTTCAGTACTATTTGATACATTCTGTTTGCTGGGATGTCTGCAAAATGCCTCAAAATCAGCATTTTTTTTACGAAAAAGTGGGGGGGGGGGCGGGATGATCCAAATAGCCGACCCCCAGGTCATCCCCCCCCCCCAGATTTCCACCCATGAACAAAGTGCACTTGAATGGAAAAGGGCAGTCATTACAAATATTGTGAAGGTAAATACCCCCCTTAACACGCCCCCCCCCCCCGGCTCCCAGCTGGCAACGCCTCTGCTTATTTAAGAGCAATAATGATTACATGTATGGCTATGGCTCGCATACACGCATGTACTGAAGCTACATGTACATGCATATGCATAGATCTGTTCTTGTCAGCAGCCGGCCGTAGCCAATAAATATTATACACGGTGGACTTCCACCTTGCGGGTATACGTGGTTCCCTGCATACCTGGTGATGTGTGACCTTTATATGTAGCGGAACCAGTGACAATCGTTTACCGTAACTATCCACCATTATAAAGCGTTGTCAACACCAAGGGCGCTCCTTTTTTATAAGGGGGAAAATCAATCTTCCCTCCTAATTATATGATGCATTTTTCTCTTAAATTACGGAACGTAATGGCAATTATTTCTCTCTGTTTCAAACAGTCAATTGCAAAGGTTCCCAAAAGTGATTTTATGATAACATGAATGTTGTGAAAGTGCGATTTTTAAATTTTGCTTTCCGATTTTGCAAAGAACAACCCCAAAGATTAATGGTTTATTCCAGGAACTGACAGGCGACAGGTACAAACTACAGGTGCATGTGGTTTGTTTATGGGCGCAGATAGAGGTAGTTCTCGGCTGAAACAGAAGACAAAACTGTTACAATATCCTCAATAACTGTGTTATCATGGTGTGAATTACACAATTCAAAGAAGACAAATTGAAAACACGGGAATTGGTGAGTACTTTTGGAAATTACTGCTTATACGTTAGGCTAATGTGTTCAGAGTTGATGGACATTTTTGTTTTGCAATGGGCCTGGCATTTTACTTAAATTTTACAAAATAATGAGGTACAGAACTTCCTTTTAAATTTTGTTTTACAGCTGCATGCTACAACTAAGGGAAATAATGGGAAAGAGTTCCATATACGTACGCCGCTAGTTTTTCTCTGCAAAAAAAGTGCAATGACATATTTGCCATCAGAAAGCGGTAACATATCCTAAAAAGTGAAATTTAGCAAGGAAAATATTGAAGCCTTGAAGGCTTTACGAACCTTTAGTGAGAAAAAACATCATTTTTCGGACCAGTCTCATAGGGTTTGTACACGGGGTGTCAAGTGACGTCCGTTTATGGAATTCTTTCCAATATGTAGTATCCAGATGCCACTTCAGTGGTTTAGTGCAACCGGTGAAGAACATTTTCGAAGTATTTCCTAACAAAATTGGAAATGTTTTTCAGTCCCAGATTCATGACTTTTCAACATTTTTGCAATGACCATGCTCTATGCAATGACTGACCTTCACTGACTTGAGATGATATATGGTGGTGTTCCCTAACGTGACGCACTTCCATAGTTTCCCTGACTTCAGTGTTGCCAAACTTCTTGGTTGAAAAACTTCAAATTAATTCAGTTAAATACTGGTACTTTTACCTTAATAATGCTTGCTGTTGAACCTTTGTGAGAACCATTTCAGTGTCATGAAATTTAGTCCAAAATCCAAAAACCGTCTGGAAATTTCAGGCTTTGGAGGATTTTTTTCAAAGGGAAATACAGTCCGAATTTCATTTCTTTAGAATTCATTTCTTTTTCTAATTTTATATTTTTTAGACCAATGAATGGAATTTTGTTGTCTTATACATGTAGAAGCAGTATATTCCAAAGCACAGTAACAGTTATCTTGATGTGTGATTACTTCTTAACTGAGGTTGGCTTCTAAATGCTTTATCGCAGAAGATCGGAGTCACAGCAGACTGGAGATGGAGCAACCAGTGCAAATTCTTCATCCACACCATGGAGAGGGGGACTGTTTGGCACCCCATCAAGGTGATGTCTCATCAGGCCCCATCATTGGGGCATCTCTGATGGGTCAGTGGCATGCATTCAAAGGCAGGCCGATCGAGAATGAGTTGGACATGGAGTTCCATCGCCAGTTGGATCACGTAGCTGTGTGGATAGACAGATGGGGTCACCAACAGGTTGGTTAGCCAATGAGTGCTGATGATTCTAGCCCTGTAATTATAAGCCTTGACCAAGGCTTTGGTTTATCACCCATTCCCTTTGTTAGAGGTGGGATGACAAAAATTGGAGTATGTGATGCGATTGAGTGCCACTGGCAAATTTGAGAGGGGTCCGGGTGGGGGTTCTCACAAAATGAGACTTGAATAACCACTTGGGCCACTTTTTTTTATTTACTTGTATCAAGTTTACAGATCGAAGCCGGTAGAAATAAGTCACACGTTACTCTTGAACAAAGTATATACATGTAGATCCTTTGTGTGCTTCTCTAACTGCACTTTCTCACTTTCTAGGAAAGTGGCCCATGACGATTTTTCAAAAAAAATAAAATTGAGGTGTGCAGGTATTTTGGCGAGTCTGCTAATACAAGCTTTGAGTTAGTGCTTGGGACCTGCAAGATGGCTTGATGTCGTCAAATAATGTGCTGGATTCATCTTTTGCTTTGATGAAGAATTGCATAAAACATTATCCAAGTTTAAATGAAAGGTTCATATTATCTCAAAATGTTTACTTTGGCGAATTTTCCCGCCGGCCTGTAACAGTGAACTGAAATGTTCTCTTGTTTTCTGCACAGGTTTCAGCAGACTTCATACCATTGTACATGTATACTTCAGAACGTAAACTTTTTGCTTGTATCAAATTAAAAAAAAAATAAAGGTTTCAGCAGACTTCATACCATTGTACATGTATACTTCAGAACGTAAACTTTTTGCTTGTATCAAATTAAAAAAAAATACAGAATGCATTGAGTACAGGTTGTCATTCATGGAATGTTTAAGTAGGTAACTGAATAACTTCCTAATGATGTAGCAAGTGGTTTTCAACCACTTTGATTAAAATAAATGACATTGATAACCATTCCATTGCAGAAATGTCTGATTTTGGAGGGCATTCTAACCAGGAGTAACTACAGCCAGTTTGGGTTTCTATGGACGTGCCTGCAGCCTGCTCTCCACAGGGACTTTATGTACACCTCACAACAGCTGTACCCAGAGCACAGATTCACACCCATAAGTACCTTTGTCAGTAGGGAGACGCGGGCCAGGAGAGCTGTCCGTAATTACTATCACGTTGGAAGGTATGGTCACTGCTGTGAATTTTTTTATTAAAGAATGTCTTACTAATTAACAGCATTAATTTTCACACTGAAATAGACCCTTTGCATAGAGCGCCCTCACTGAGGATAGGTTATACTCATTCATTTCACAAAGAAACAGTTTCAATCTTACTTTAATCCTTTAGTCACTGTGCCACCCCACAACGACCCTCCCTATTAATCTCATGTAGCACCCAAATCCGTCCGAGGGCCGTTCTTTGGTCACTGTGTTTCATAGCCTTTCACCAAGGCCATCGTGGCTTAACTTGCCCGCAATTAAAGGCGAAGCCACGTGGGCCTTTTCTAACTTGTCGAGAAATTCTTATGTTTTTCTTTATAATCTCGATTTTTGCTACCCCAAAAGGGTAGCAAAATTCCAACCAATCATCAGCCTTTAGTGCATGCGTGGCTACTACCCGGCCACGTCGACGCGCCCGGATGCTTGCACAAAATTTAAAAACAAAAAATGCGAGTCTAGTTTTCCACGAGATCGTGACCGCGTAATTGTTCTTACATTATCTTATTTTAATTTTACTTATAAAAGTATTTCAAGAAATTATTTGAGTGTATGAACTTATTTTTCGTTTGAACTTACAGTTATTTGCTCATACGTTTTCCTTACCACCCTTTTTTTAAAAAATGGAAGCGACTAGGCAAAATCCGCGTTGTGATTGGTTAACCTTCAGCACTCTTCTTATTTGCATAAAAACTATGAATAATTCAACAAAATCAAGTTGGGAAGGGCCTTGTGGCTTTGCCACTCATGCACTCATCTTAATCTTTGCTCCAGTTGCTTCATGTCTTCGCAACTTCGCCGCTCTAAGCCACGATGGCCTGGGCGAAAGGCTATGTGTTTCATGAAATTGGGCTGATTTTTGAAGCTTTATCCCTTGTTAACTACATCTGACATATTACTTTCACCGATTCATCAGGTTAGTACTTTTTACTCCCTACCTCAGAGTATAGTTTCTACTTTCACAAATTGTGTCTTAAAATGTTAGGAGAGGTCATCAAAGATTGGTCACATGTGTGACATCAGACATGTCAGACAAAAAAAATGTATCCGGCCAATTCACGCTTTTCTCCAAAGTTCTAAGAACACACACATCCCATACTTATTTTGGAGTAAGACTAGCCTGTTGCATTTACAAAAGCATTTATCAATGTACACCCTCTGCTTTAGTTTGGAATTGTTTTGTGGTCATGTGTGTGACATTTTGATTGGTCACGTGTGTGACATTTTGTAATTTAACTTACAGTAATTTATGTGGGGAAAGACCAACTTATGACAGTTCTTAAGAAATTTGCATCTTTATTTTTAATACTAGCAACACTTCAGGGAACAATAACCATTTGTTTTACATCACATAAAAAAAAACATTCTCCCAAAAATTAATTTAGGTTCAATTTGTAAAAAGAATTGCCCCCAAGCACTTTATGGTTTATGGATTCATCAGTTAATAAACACAGTGTAAATGTAACAATGTACAGATGCTAATGGATTAAGCTCTGTTACTTAATATTTTTCCTTCTACCATAATATGTATAAATTGTAATCATGTAAATAAATAGTTTTTAAAACTTGTTCACTACAAAATTCTTGTCGTCAGATTTTTACAGCAAAAGTTGTCCACTTTCAACATCATGGCACGGCATGTCTGTTTTTATTTCAGCGCCCATCTTCAGAGGCGTTCAGATGTCATACGGTGTAACACAGACACTGGTCCTGTACACAGTGAGGATATGCCAGTTACCCGGCAGGGTAGACAAAGGTCAGTTTGGAAACTAATATTGGACTCAAATTTATTGAATGATATTTAAAGTTTCTGAATGTTTTTTTCAATATTAGGAAGTGACCTGTGGAAAAAAAACCTAAATTTAAAAAGTACATTAAACAAGAAAACAAGCTCGGTCACTAGTCAAAATGCTGTTATGTTTGCTACTTCGTTTCTTAATAAAGATGTAGTAAACAAACTTGTTTTAGAACTGGAAGTCTAAAAGGTAAAGCAAAAACTTTTAACCACAGTTTATGTCAGATGACATGTATACATGCAAAGGTTTTACGGTATTCGGAACGGATAACGGATAAACACGCAACCAGCAAGGCCGGAAATATCTGTCAGCGACCTGCTCGCAGCGAGCGAGGCCGGAAATATCAGGGTGTGCTACCTGCAGATGACGGCCTGAACCTGGCTGGCATCAAGGTTTGCAAAAAAACAATTCCGCACCCGGGTCTGGTCAGTGTCAAAATAATCCCTGCGTGAACTGGTTAATCAAAAAATTGCCTTGTTTTGGCATGGGTTCTCAAAACTATACTAGAGCTTTTAATGAATGCTAAAAGTTGAACTACTTGACTTTAAGATACAAAACAAATACATGATCTGTAAAACGTCATCAAAAATGTATTTCACTTAAAATATTTATGTCAGGTTTAATATAAAAAAACCCATATAGGGCACTGTAGCTTACAAGTCAGCAAAAGAAAATCTAGGAAGAGAAAGTGAACAAGTAATAAAAATATCTGTTCAGTGATTTAGTTTGGATAAAACCCCTAAGTAACATTTAGAGGGAACCGACAGACTCAAGTCGCAGAATCCCAGCTACATGATGCACCTGTGGGGATTGGAACCCTTGTAAAAAAAACCAACAACAACAACAAGGTACAGATAAAAGGACCAATACATAATATCGGTCTGCATGCCCACATGGACAGTTTTTGTACTGTTATGAAAGATTGTTCATTTTCTACTCCCATTGTTTTGTGTGGTTTGTAATTAGCGAAAAGACCACTCTGTCTGGAGGCCCTCAGCTTTCCCGAAGTACAGCCAACATCAAGTTGCCCAGCATCCACTCCACTCGTTACCATAGCAGCAGGAATGCAAATCCACTCAGCAGATCAGCACCTGCCAGTCTCAAGTGAGTTGTTGACCTTTGAACTGTGTTGCATTGTGGGAGGATGGGGGATGATATTTGGACATGTACATAGTGCTCATTTTTGTCAAATTTGTGTTCCATCACACTTTGCTGGATCTACCTATGTACAGTAGTGGGTTGCTATTGCTCTGAATAATGGAACAGCCCAGATCGGTCTCATCCATTTGAAAAAAAGGTTGTTATACTAGACTGACAGGTCAGGAGGGGCAACAATTGACTCACTGGGTAGAATCGTGTTAGAATCGAGTCGCCACAGCTTGTGAAATATTGTCCAATTACATACACAAATGGACGTGGAACGCGCAACATCTGAGACAAACAAAACTTAGTGTACAAAAATTCCATAGGGTTGTCTAAGGGGTGTGGCTAACTCACAAATGGCGAAAGGTCAATTGTGACAAAACTTTACTGGAAAGGTTAACAGTATTGAAACAATTCATGAAATTTTAATACCAAAGGATGGAAAAAAATGAATTCCCCTCGAGTGTAACATTTTTCAATGAGCCTTTAAACAATTTTTTATTATAGTCTTTATTTCTCATGTTGTCCGGTGATAGTTTGACAAATAATTTTCATGACTAGTGCCCAATTTCATTGCTGTACTAACCAGATAATTCTGCGCTTGTGAATATCGTTCTAGACTTAGAGTGCTAGCGAAGATATTCTGCACTTACACACTGTAAGCACAATCTTTAGTTGACATGTTGTATGCATTTACGCTAGCCACATTTCCTTGCTAACTTACAAAATATGGTAGATGTTCATGCACAATACTCTACTGCAGTTAGCAGTGTTTCTTTGCCTGTGGTAAGAGCCATGAAAGTTGGCCCAGTAGCTTGTGCAGGATGGTAAGTGGTCTTTGTTGAGTTAATGTAACTTAAAAAAAAATTGACTGAATAAATTGTGATCCTTGAGCTGTGGTGAAACAAGAAAATGCTGATGTGAGCAAAAATAATTCCCTCAGATTTTTGAATGGTGACCTTTTTACTAAAAAAAAATCCATTTATGTTTACAGGAGAATCACAGACGAAGCCCCAGCTGTTCGCCGACACATGCAAGACAGGCCTCGGCCCAATGCACCCAGTGCAATCCCCAAAGACTATAGTCCGGTCACCGCCCAAAACCTGCCTCACCTAACCAAGTCCCTCACACAAATACAAATCAGCCGGACCAGACCAACTATGGTGAGAATTAGTGGTGTGCATTTACGGGTAGTCGGTATTGGAACCGGGTACCCTATTGGAGTAAGAGACGGGTACCTGTAAAAGAAAGCATCCATCCATCTGTTTATAGTCCGTCTGTCCCCGAACTCGAGGGTTGGACTCAATGGTGATCATGTCCTTGTGGTCGGATAGTTTTACTGCACTCCACTTGGTACTGGCATTGATCTGCAGGCACCTCAGGTCATTGTTGATGTTGTCGCTCTACCTCTTCTTTGGAAAGCCACGTGGATAGTCCAAGTTGCCAGGGATCTGGTAATTGAGGATCTTCCTTGGCCAACTGTCCTCGTTCATACGCTGGAGGTGACCAAACCAATGAAGGCGTCTCTGACGAACCACCTCGACAACAGCAGACAGACTAAGTTGGCACCTTAGCTCAGCCATGGACTTCCTGTCCGACAGCTTTGCTAACCAAACCCCAAAAATAAATCCCAGAAGATGCTTTTCAGATTGTTTATGAAGGTGCTCACGATAACACTCTCACATGGGTGCGTCAATACAGCATGATACAAGTGTGTACAGTGTGAGCGTCATCTGTCGCTCATTACATTAATGCATATAAACATGAAATCTGTTTTGATCTTCCATGTAGCTTGGATTTCATTTTGAAAATTCCCCACAAATGGCATTCAAAACCTTGCTTTTTCATTGTCTAAGAAGTTACTAAGTAATGTGTAAGGTGGACCGATCCCATAATCGGGAACCGGTTCCTGACATCAGCAGTCGGGTACTAGCGTACTTGGTTCCGTTGCACACACCTAGTGAGTATGTCCTGGAGCAGTAACACACAGCATTATGGATCCTAGCTGTACATGAACAGAAGATGGTGGTTTGTGGCCTCTTGTGAGAGCTAGTAGTTCAAGCAGATGGCGCAAAGTGGGCACAAATATTTCTATTCTGAAATCACAAACTAATAGCATCTATAAGAACCAAGCATCTGGCAGCAATGGGTTTCACTTTGTTTTTGCATTCAGTAGGGGACGTTGAACAATAGAGGACAATAGGGTCCCCAATTCCCAAAGGTCCATAATTGACGACCGTGTACAAAACATGTGGGAGGTCTTCCCAAAAAGTACAAACAAAAAAGAGGAATAATAGGGGGTCCAGGATTGAAGGTGTTTACACACTTGTATGGCGTTCACAAGTCCTACCTAACTCTGTCTTTGTAACCAGTTGTAGTGCTACTTGTGCATGGCGTCCATATACAATTTTTTTCAAGCTTGGATCACTGAAAAGCAGTCTTTTAATTTCTTGCTAGCAGTGTGATACAACATCTTATGATTTTGAAAAACCCATGCAACAGTGCACCGAAGTGAACCACGTATTCTGGTTCACACGCATAGTGTGTGAAGACATCAGCACGGTGTTCTGTATAGTTACTTTTTAAATGCAGTCGTTGAAATGCACGCTGTGTCCCATTGAAGTTCATTTGCAGTATTTGTGTTGCCATTTTTATGGATGTTGCATGGGTATTTGCAAGAAAGTAGTTTCAGTATAAAGTTCATTTTTTGTCCCCCTTTAAGAATATGTCTTGAAGTCATGTCCTTTATGTTATATACCGGTAGTCTGGTACCTCTCCAAGGAATCTTCCACCTGTTCCCATTGTACCTGATGAAGCCTGGCAGCTGTACCACTGGTATGAGGAATGCTGGAATGGTAAGAGATTTTAATATGTTTCGATTGTTTGACGTCAAAGTACCTCTTGACCATCCGGTTTCCTCTTAGATCAGCAACCATTGCAGTAGGCAAGCAACCTTCCAGTTTTGACTGTACAATACCTGTTTTGCTGAAGAGTTCTGTCACACAAAGCCAGTGCTATTTTATATCAACATTTAATCAAAAGCAGATTAACTAAATTTTTGCTGACAAAATTACTGAATTATACAATTCGATAAGTAATGTAAAGATTCAATAGCAATTTGATCAGTATATATGTAGTGCATTTTAATTTTGTGGCGTACATCCAACTTGTTACTAGAATGTGTTCCATATCTCAACAGATGTCCAACGAAACGAATTCCTGCACAAGCTACTAAAGAGACTGGATTCCAGACAGTTGTACTTCCTCTGCAGTTCACTAGCTGTAAGTCTGCCTCCTCTTTTTTCTGTGTTAAAACAAACTGTTCTTTTCTATTCCCTTGTAGAAAGAGATACAAATAATAAAGTGAATAAAACTGGTATCAAAGTAAATTTATGTAAGGGAGCCAGTGAGCACTTGTAGTTGCTCATGTGTGAGATTAGTCGGTATTCAGCAGTCTCTGCATTTAAAATTTAAACAATGACTTTTATTTTAAAAAAAACCCCAAAATAATTAAAGCATGATATGAAATGGTTGCATGAAAGCATCCAAAATATGTTTGTTTATTTGGATTAATACTTGAATATTGCGCAAAAATAAGCAACAAAACCTTCCTTATTTTGAAGGCATTAATAATAAAATTGATAAAGCGCCTTTTGCATACTAATGATCAAAAGTGCATTACAGTATCGACGTTGAAAGCAACTACGTTTAAAGTAAAAGAAAAAGACACAGAGGGATTAATAAAACGTCATGTCACTACACCAGTGCCAGAACCGCATTATGGGGATACGTCTGTCCCGCCAACAGGGAGTATAAAGCCTTACCCTGCTGACATCTATGATGTCTCGATATAAGAAAGTGGCCAGAATTCTCCACCTTAAAATTTTGTTCAATTGATCTCTCTCTTGTCAATTTCTTTGGTTAGTCCAACAGAAACTGGCCAGTCTCCCTTTGTGGTTGGAATATTGGGACATTTTCTGACTGATTTAGTTCATTATTTTTTACAGGTACTTAAAAAGAGTTGCTTTATGTGCTTTTTTTGCTTTTGAAGCAACAAAACTGCTCAAAATCTTAAGAAGGGTGCATAACAACTAAAAAGTTGAACTTTCAGCTCAGTGGGAACTTTCCTTTTTTGAGAAAACAGAAAACATCTCACTTTTTCGGGTCTCGTAACTGGATTCCATGCTAAAGCAAGTAAAAACGCGTGCCTTGACTGTCCTCAGTTATTGTTTTCCTCCAAACGATACCATTTCAGGCGGAGTAATTTCACAGGGTATTTGGTACCATCCCTCTCTCTGAGAAAAATTTTGCTCATTAAACTGGTAGGTCCGTTTCTGCATATTTACCATTGATCCTATGTGCCTTAAAATATTAAAATGTTCAGGTTCTGCTCAGATGAAATTGTAACAATGCATTTTTTTGTATCAGTCCACTCATTCATGCCAATATGTAATCTCCATTTCAGCTGAAGCAGTCCCGTGACTTCATTGCCCTTCTGCCAGAATCCCTGGCGCTGCGTATCTTACAATACCTCTCCCCAAAGAGCCTCTTGGTGGCAGCTTTGGTCAGTCGCACATGGTGTCGGTTGGCTAGTCATGATAGCATATGGAAGGCCAAATGTGACCAAGTTGACATCGGTAAGTGAACTGAGATATTTTCTTTCCGATTTTTTTCACTTTCAACTGTATTTTTAAATCTTGTAAAACATCATGAGTTATTCAACAAGTGGGATTGGAACACAGATTAATGTAGTGCATCTGTGTCCCATATGCCATGAGGCCGAAAATAGAGTGGCATATCTGACACAGACTAACTACATTTTCCGTGTTCCCATGAGAGGGATGGGGAGACCAATTGTATTTTATTGACCCACAGTAAAGATGGAACGCACACGCTGTAGTCACTTGTCAGTGATTTCCTGTGACACGTGTGTGCAATAGGAAAAGTGTGCCCATCTTAGAATTGTGCGATGGTATACAAATAAGGAAAGTTTTTTAAGTGCAATGGTGAGAATATTTTCATGAGTTGAAAGATGGAATGTCCCATTCAATGAGGCGAAGCCGAGCTGAATGGAACATTCCATCTTTCACCAAATGAACATATTCTCACCATTGCACGAATGCAAAACGTTCATTATTTCGTCACTGTTTTCACGAAGAGGCGAATTTAGTATTGCACTGTCTGAACAAACATTCCAGATAATCGCGTTTAAAGTTGGTCATTTTTTGATTTGACAATTTGAAACTTAAAGATGAATAGAATATGCAAGATTTAGGTATCAGAGGAAAGAAGAGATTCTAATCTTCCTAAATGTAGCAAACTTTAAGAAAAATAGGTGATTAGTTTTGCAGAATTAATCAAATAAGAAATTAAAGTGGCTGTTCGTGAAAACAAAAAAGTGACCAATGAGCAAATTCGCCCCTCCGTGAAAACGCTAAATTGAGTATGCGCAGACTTCGCCCTACTGCAGTCTGAGTCAAAGCATTTTTTGTACATTATGCGCAGATTCTGCCCCACTGCGGGTGCGCCCAGAAATTTACCCCTCCGTGAAAACGTTTTATTGCGCGCGCCTGAAATTTGCCCCTTCGTGATAACGCGTCATTGTATTACAATGTATTTATTTACTGAAAATTTATTAATACCATAGAGTGCGGAAATTCGCCCCTTCGTGAAAACGCGTCATTGTATTACAATGTATTTATTTACTGAAAATTTATTAATACCATAGAGTGCGGAAATTCGCCCCTTCGTGAAAACGCAAAATGGCACTTGTGGCAAATTCGTCCATTCGTTAATTAGGTTAATTAAGGTTTTAATTAATTTTTTGAAAGTATAGCCTCACCAGGTTGTAGATATTCATATATTTATTCATCTTCACCAAAAAAACAAATTTTGAAAAACAGACGATTTTCATGAAATTCACCCCTTCGTGAAAATGGTGACAATTTGTTTTATATAACACCCAAGTAGATCATTGTCATTCAATTGGAGGATAAAGTTTTAAGAACTAACAAACTTTACAAATTGTATTATATCCACTACTTTTTGTTCAGCTTGTTCAAGGCTAACAATGGTTTAAAAGTCAAACCGTTAACGATATGAAAGTTAATATTGTAAGTTCTTAAAACAATGCAAAAATATAAATCAGCAAGGCAAGTTCAGTTCGAAACTGCATCCATTTCAAAGGCAAGTTTTTTACTGCTGTATGAAACGCATGATGTGGTCTAAATAGCGCAAAGGATGGAACAAAACTGCACGGTGAATGGAACCAAAAATGCACAGTGTATGACGTAGGCCATGCAATGGTTTGATTAATGAATGCCGCATGACCTACAATCCTCCAATCAAATGACAAGGATTTACTTGAGTGTTATAGGACTGTGCTATATGGGATTTGTTATAACGTGTGCTTGGATACTGTTATTTTATTGGTTGAGAACGTCCCTGGTTCAGTGTGTAAAAATGCATATACAGTGGTCCACATCATAAATGCCCATATACAGTGGTCCACATCATAAATGACCATTGCACTCGCGTGTAGAACTTGCAAGCGCGCTCGTGGCTGAGAACTCATGCAATGCACAACCACTCAGTCTCAGGTCCGGCAGGAAAGCCTGCAGTTATCAAAGGTTACACCGCACTGATTTCATTTCTTTCTTGCATGGTAATTTACAGCCATTTATCGTTTTGACGTATTGGCACGATATAAACAACAATTGTTGACTGCTTTGATGTGGGATATATGCTGTGTTTTACCTCCTCTGGGCGCATAGCACCTGATGTGAATATGGCGCCCCTAGGGTGTTGAAAACAGCACATCCCACGCCACATCAGTCAACAATAGTTAAATATCACACTGTTGTTGCCATGGATCGACCAATCAGAATCAAGGATTCAAATTTGCTCGAAGATTAAAACTAGGAACTGGTTTAAATGTCACATGCATGAAAGTGAATTTGACATGTGTTCAACATTTGCAACTTTGCAATGCAAATTCACAGTCCTTTATGTATAGAGGTAAACTGGCTCTAACACATTTGTACAAATAGCCAATACATTGGCTAGATTTGTACCTGTTGAGGTACTAATGTCTTCAACAAAAGTCAACAAATTAAAGGGGGAAAAGTTCATCTTTAGAAAGTAAAGCCTCGCAGAGTTTTTGTTTCGTATATTAATTTTTTTTTTTCGTTTGGTTTCATGTTTTTCTTGTGCAGAAATTCCTTTGCCGAGTGGACATTTCCTGTGGAAGACTGTGTACAGGGACAACGTTTTCCTGAGACAGAATTGGGAGTCGGGTAAATGCAAGCAAATTGATGTCAGAGGTCATACAGCCAAGTGAGTAAGATGAGCAGCTGTGTGCTGTAAACTGATTTAGTGATAGCTTTTAAACTATGAGCAACATATGAAAATCTTGCAGACGTTTGCTCAACAGCCCTCACGACACTGTGCTAAACACAGTAAATTCACCACGAAAACAAACACCTCTTTCGAACCTTCGCCCGTTAAATGATACATATCTAACCATATCGCTCAGCATTTGAAATTATAAACCATACTCTTCAAGATGATCACATTTTTAATGTACAGCATGTTTGGGAACAAAGGGCCTTTTTGCGTTGAAAAATGCTAATAAACATGAACAAGTTTTTGTCACAATGCACTTATGTTCAGATTTTGCAAAAAATATTAAAATAGTGAAGCAAAGGCCACCCAATGAATTGATGTCAAAGGTCATGAATCCAAGTAAGAATAGCCGTCTTCGAAATGAGCTTTAGCCTTGGTCTAGGCGTTGGACAATAGTGTCCGATGATCGATGGTCAGTCGCTAACATAAACAGCAGCCATGCACTATGCACTCAAATCGCACGTACATGTACAAGTACTGTACGAAGCGCGAACAGCGACCTCACACGGCTAGGCGACAATATGCAAATCAGTTGGTGCTGAACGAACGCCTTGGAACAAGCGTGAGCCATGGCGTATGTTTTTCTTTATTTTGTCGCTGGATTTCCAGCGATGACCTCGTATGCTAATAAAGATGAGATTATTATTCAGTACTTGGTTGTGGAGGCTCATATTTTACATGGATAGTGTGGCTACATTCTCCAACAAGTTGGAGTCCGTAGACCAAATTTAACTCTATACATCTAGCGACAAAATAACAAAACTTGCCCTAAAATGATATGCCATCACGACCATTGTTCCAAGGCATTCGACCAGCACCAACCGATTTGCATACATCTATATTGTAGACTAGCTGCGGGGGATCACTGTTTGTGCTTTGTACAGAATGTGTACATCACAGTACCTGTGAGTGGCATAGTGCGCGGCTACTGTTTATGTTAGCAGCTGACCATCGATCATCGGATCATCTAAAGCCTTGACCAAGGCTACCAGAGTTATGGTTTCATGTATGGTCAGCATGTTCCCATGTTGTTGAAGTTGTCGATGATCTAGACAACAGCTCTTGGAAAGAGATGTGGAAACAGCCTAACAATGGCCAAGATGAATTTTTTGTGTAAACATCAACAATATGATTTATTGAAAGCTTTACATTTTAAAGGTAGCCTTTATGAAATTTCAATCTGTTTGTGGAATGTTATCTTGATTAGGGTGCTGTGTGTCACGTTTGACGGCAAGACAAGATTGGCCAGTGGCAGTAAGGATTCTAGCATTAAGATATGGGACATCCACACTGGTAACCTGATACAGACATTGAAAGGACACACGGTGAGTAACACGGATATCAGGCAAGTGTTATAAAGTAACCCAGCTCAGGGTTTAGCTAAGAAATCTTAGCTAAAATGATAGTTGTTTAATACTGATTACATGCATATATTGGCAATTCCAGTGTTATGAAAGGAAGTGTTATGTCTGTGACAGAGCCAATGGTTAAACGATGTTATCTAATTAATGATTCAGAGAAATGATCCAAACTCCTAGTCTTTAACACCCTCCTGTGACATCACACTATTGTTTTTTCTCGCCACTATTTTGCATGAATGGAGCATGGCGCGCCATTCGGTATCTTACAAATGACGTGCTGCGCGCACATTTTTTTCCTGAATTTGGGTGAAGCCAATTATAAATAATTCAGTAATTTCATAGAATCACAGCAAGACAAATCAAATCAAAATCTAATCAAATCAAAAAAAAAAATTAACTAAAAAAATAACAATGATGTGACGTCATTGTTCTGTTCTCATATGATGATAAACATAATTTTCCCATTTTAACAAATTCAACAATAAAGATGTTCAAAGGCCTTCGTTCAAGCAATAATGAAAAATTCTTGGAGGGTGTTAAGTAGGTTAATACACTTCGTAGCGCGCCGTTTGTGGGTGATGAATGGTGATGAATTTTCAGGTTTATTCACTGAGCTCTTAGAGGCCTGTCACAGACATTACATAACACTTAAATTGCCCATATATATATATATTGTACTCGAAAATGAATCACCATTTTGCACTTTATCATTCGGAGCGTTCATTTCATATATGTTCTCTGGATGTTGAAAGTAGTTTAAATTGAAAGTTGCTGACTGAAAACAAACATTATGTCTCAGAATTTTAGAATGAGCCTACATTCGGTGCCTGCTTAAAGGCATGTAGGATCATTTGCATTTATCCCGAACGTAACCGACTGCATTTTTATCAAAAAGCTTACTTGGATTGTACTGGTACTAACTACCCCTTGAAACTATTTTGTCTGGTGTGCTGTCATTTTGGAAATCAAGAAATGTAGGTGATTTTCCACAATCAGTCAATTAACTGATTTGTTTTACTTAAAAAGTGCTCTAGACAAAATGGTGTTTAGTGATCAAAAAGGTTTTTGTTTAAAGTGTCATGTCCACTAAGCTGAAACTTCTCCAGGTTAGGTTTTGAACTTTCTTCTTGAATTTTTTAATTTGAGACAAAGGTTTACTAGACTACAGGGCAAGTTGTTCCAAAATGTTGAAATTTGACTTTATAACACCTCATCCACAGATTCTGTGTCTTGATTGGCCAAGAGCGAGTCACATGTTACTTTCTAATTTTGCTATCTTTCTGTGCACTATACCCGTAGCAACCAAAGTACTATACCATTAGCAACCAAAGTACTATTTCCACGGCGCGGTATTTGTGTGCAAATGGATGCTGGTGTGCGCGTTGCGCGTAGCGCGTATTGTTCCAAAGAGAGCGCGCCGCAGACTTGGGTTCAAACATTTCGTGAAGGGGTAGTTTGGAAGAGAGAAATACATTTTCCACCAATTTTGTATTGAAATTGAAGTTTATTTCAACTGTGTTCAGATTTAGATAATTTAAAATATTAAAATCAAGCAGAATCTGTGGGTGAAGTGTTATAAAACAAATATTGAATGCTTTATCTCGTGGTGAAGTAAAACTAGCCTCCCTCGGTGATCCATGGAGCATTCTATTTTCCCTTGGCTTCGCCTCGGGAAAATAGAGTGTCCATGGATCACCTCGGGAGGCTAGTTTTACTACACCACTCGAAGCATTCAATATTTGTATAATGTAAGCCAGGACATCGATTTGAACATTTGAATTGTAAATAATTATCAGTCACATAAAAGTTACCGGTAGATCATCTACATGGGCTATAGAAAGCGCTTGACAGGCACCAACATCCCTTGATACGGCTAGTGAGCCCTTAGTAAATTCATGTTTTGTTATCAACCTCACAGAAAGGAGTCTGGTGCCTAAGCTTCTTCACCCGTTACCTGCTAGTCAGTTCCTCCTTTGATGGCACCGTGAAAGTCTGGAACCTACGCAGTGGCGTCTGTACACGCACCATGTTTGGCCACGATGGACCCATCTGGGCAATGGCACAGAAGGGCCACTTTCTGGTCACTGCTTCACAGGATAGGACAGTAAGTGTCCCACTGTCTGTCCGTGGTTAAGTTTTGACAGTCATAGTAATAGCCGGAGGAAGAGGCCAATTTCTTGATGGTATACAAATAATGAGTGTTTATGAGTGCAATGGTGAGAATATTTTCATGAGTTGAAAGATGGAATGCTCGAATGGAACATTCCATCTTTCAACGAATGAATATATTCTCACCATTGCACGAATGCAAAACATTCATTATTTGTTTTATATAACATCCAAGTAGATCCTTGTCGAGTCATTCGATTGGAGGATAAAACTTAAGGAACAAACAAAACTCACAAAATTGTATCATATCCACTACTTTTTTCAGCTTGTTCAAGGCTAACAAAGTTTAAATGTCAAATCATTGACAATAATGAAAATTAACATTGTAAGTTCTTAAAACAATGCGAAATTATCATCAAGTCAACTGCATCAACTTCAAAGGCAAGTCTAACAAGCGCAAAGATCGAATAGCGCCGGGCCGCTGCACGTCTTAGCGTGCGCGCAGCATGCAATAGATCGAAAGGGATGGGATGAAAATGCACGGTGAATGGAACTTAATGGAACGTTCTATTGTCATGACGAATCTTTGACTCTGTAAATAGTGAAAGAGCGCCCTCTTAAAAGGACGAATACAAGTAAAAACTTTTTTGACAATTCAAAGGCATAGATATTTACACAAAATTGGTTTCAATATGAAGTTCACTTCATGGGCGATCACCGTTATACTATAGAGTGCAAAGGGTGTGTATGTGTGTAGATACATGCATACACATTCAAATAATGGACCTTTAACAACAGAGGACAATAGGGTCAACTATTTGACGGTCCAGTTTTGAGGTGTGTGTACAAAACGTATCGGGGGTCTTCCTAAAAGTTAAAAGTATAAACAAAAGAGGGACAAAAGGGGTTCAAGAAATTTGTTTAAAAGTATGTGTGTTTACGAGATAATTGTTTAACTACGTAGGCCAGAGGCGGCAAAGCCGCTGCCTCTGTGTTTCAGGGGCGAGGCGAAGTCTCGTTAAAGATAATAACTTAACGAAGATTGAGAATCAAAAAAATGTAGGTCACATGGTCACATAGCTGTTGAGCTTGAGAACTTTTTATGGATTTATATGTATTTTCAAGAACTAGACTGCTGTGATGGTAATGCACAGTTTTATAAGGTTTCTGTACTTTTTCACAGTTTATTTTAAACTACTAGTACTCCTATTCTTGAGAAATCATATTAATTGAGAAACTGCAACTGCATGCCATTCAATAACTGCACTGTAATCAAATTGAGAGACAAGGGTCGTAAACCTTAATCATCACAAAACTACATTCTTTGACAATTTTAGCTATTTGTTTGTTTTTCTCCCAGCTGAAGTTGTGGGACATGAGAACTTGTCTTCTGGAGCATACGCTGGTGGGCCACACTCAGGCTGTCTTCTGTGTGGACATGGATGACAATTGCACAATGGTCATCTCTGGATCTGCTGATAGGGTATGTCCTGCTGAACTTTTCTTTATGAAATGGTATACAAATAATAAATGTTTATGAGTGCAATGGTGAGAATATTTTCAATAGTTGAAAGATTGAATGGAACATTCCATCTTTCAACGAATGAAAATATTCTCACCATTGCACGAATGCAAAACATTCATTATTTGTTTTATATAACATTCAAGTAGATCTTTGTCATTCGATTGGAGGATAAAACTTCAAGAACAGACAAAATAAGTAAGATTTGAGGCTTTGCATGGTGGAGATACTAAATAATGAAAGGTTTGCGGAAACACCATGTGCGAATAATTTCTCAACTAAGAGAATTGTTCTGAAAAGAACCAGAGGTATAAACTCTTCAGAAGTTCAGAAATTATTCGCACATGGTGTTTCTGCAAACCTTTCATTATTTAACAAACAAAATCATAAATTTGTATCATATCCACTTCTTTTTTTCAGCTTGACAAGACTAACAAAGGTTTAAAAGTCACATCATTGATAATAATGAAAAATTAACATTGGAAGTTCTTAAAATAATACAAAAATATCATCAAGGCAACTGTATCAACTTCAAAGGCAAGTTTTGTACTGCTATAACGCATGATAAAGTATAAATAGGGCAAGGATCATATAGCGCTGGGCCGCTGCGCGTCTTAGCGTGCGCGCGGCGTGCAATATATCAAAGGGATTGTACGAAAATGCACGGTGAATGGAACCAAAAATGCACGGTTATGACGTAGGCCGTGCAATGGTTCCATTAATGAATGCCGCAATGGTTCAATTAATGAATACCTACAATCCTCCAATCAAAAGACAAGGATTTACTTGGGTGTTATATAAATTGGTCTAATGAAGCAATTTGCTAGAAAGTAGTGTGCTGTATGCACATGACACAGTTTATAATAAAGCAATATTTTTTGTGTGCATTAGCATCATTTGCAGTATTAGCAAGATATGACGAATGACAATTTCAGGACAGCAGCAACGTCATAAACATTGACAACAATTCTGGCTAAAAGGAGCAAACCCTAAAATGTCTTGTAAATCCACTGGTCTCTTTTTACTAAAATGTACTGTACAGGCCTACAGGGTGGCTGGTGAGTAAAATAAAAAAGGAAACCCAAATGTCGGGACCATTGTTTTAGTGAAGTTCTGCATGTAGCACTTTCAAAATCTAGGATATGAAAGCCCAATTCATAAGCTTCTTTGAGTACAAGAACCATTCAAATCACTCATGTTATTTTCAAGTTATAGAATTGTAAACCACCGTTTTAAAGTTCTGTCCACGGATCACAAAAAAGTAAGTGTTCTTTCAGCAAAACAAGAACAAACCACATAGGGATGTGTGTGAATTGTTTTCGTTTTGCTGAAAGCACGCACACCTTTTTTTATGATCCAAGGACAGAACTTTAAAATGGTGTTTGTGTTTAAAATTCCGTAACTTGAAAAGTACATGAGTGGTTTGAATGATTCTTATACTTAATGAAAGCTTATGAATTGGGCTTTCATATACTATATTTTGAAAGTGCTACATGCAGAACGTCACTAAACAATAGTCCCGACATTGGTTTTTTTTTGTTTTACTCAACCTGTACATCAACTGATGCTTGAACTGATACACCCTCATGCACGAAGTAAAAGCTGCTCGCTAGGTAATTTTTAAGACCTCCAATAATCACCACCACATGCATTAACAGCAAACAGTACAGCATGCTACCCATATATCAAGAGGTAATGCACAGATTTATACATTTAAGGTCTCCTCAAGATGGCAACCAAGTGATGTCGGTTTGGCAACCTGGTGACTCAATTCTCAATATGTTATCCAGTCAGTGTGATGAAGATCAGTGTGTACATCACATCTCCTTGTTACTCAAAGTACAGTATTTATGCATTTCCAAAGCAATTTCTCCTGCTGGATGTATTTGTTTTTAGATATATAGAGTGTGTCCAGACAGGTCTGTTTCGTATCAAAGGAGAACAAATTTGATAAAACCCCACCATTTTCAAGCTTTTCAATGTTTGTTGTTTGTCTTGTCAGAGTATTCGTGTTTGGAGCGTGGAGACGGGCCGCTATACAAAAGTCATCTGGGCCAGCCAGAGTACCTCCATCATGGCGCTCAGTTATCACCGTGGTTACTTCACATGTGCTGTTGGCGAGACAGTCTCCCTCTGGAGGCTAGAAACGGCCAGCTGTATCAAAACATTCGATGAACACGAAAAACGGTGAGAGCATGAACCCAACCAGCCAAAAACACAGAAAAAAATTGAAAATATACAGACTAATCCGGCAACAGCCATTTTCTGAGGTGACACCAGGCTGACGCGCTAGTCGCGTTCAGGTGGTACGGTACGCATTCACTCAGAGTTCCTTCGACCAATAAGCTTACTAAAGTGCACATTAAAGGGCCCATGCTTTGTAATTTTATTAATGTTATCCTTGAAAGTGCACCTTTGTGTCCCATTTAACTTATATATTTTAAATTTTTGTTTTTCGATTTCGAAGGGTATTTTGGTGCCTTTTTTGGTTTTTAAACTATAAACATTTCCATATTCATGAGCAAAACTGTGTTGTCATTCTGGGCAGAAACCTCAATGCCGCAGCTATTGCAGCACAAAAAGTAACCAAAAAGTACATAAAATTAGCCAAAATGGGATGTCAAATAGTTTTCATCGCATGGACCCTAAACCAGTTCACGCCGGAGGCCATGTATACTGACACGCAAAAGTTTTGCGGTGTTCGGCACGGATGACAGATAAACATGCAGGAAGCGTTCCGTTCATGTCAAAATAATCCCGGCGCAAACTTGTTAAAGAACAGGTGCAGCGTGTGTGCCACCTCAAAAAGGGCTTGTCAATTTGTTCGATGATTTTCGGACTAATATGAAACAATGTGTTAAGGATGTATAGACATTGTAATAAACCTAGATTGGGTATATGCCTATCCCTGCTAGCCCCAGCCTGAACACACCTTCTCAATATTAGTTACACAGTTATCGGAAAAAAAATGCATTATTTCTCCTCCTGATATAATATGCAAATTGTGGTTTAACCTATTAGCCGCCTACTGACCAATACCGCCCTGTCTATTGCTCCCTGGCCCAAAACTGCCCGAAACTGCCTGAAACTGCCCGAAACGGCCTAAAACTGCCCGAAACGGCCTAAAACTGCCCAAGCACTCGATAATTTTTAAATACTATGTAATACAAAACAGTACAGGTTCTTATGGCTCATTTCTTTGGTCTCTATACTTTCAATACTTCAGCCTCTCCTTTGGAAAGCTTCTAGATCTGCCAGTGTAGCCTGGGCCTGACATGCATTACTGGGCCTGACATGCATTTCATGTGGCAGTTGCTGGCTACATGGCAAATTATATGCAGAAAATTGAATCACTTGTATATTCCTGCAATGTATATGTTTAACCAGTTTGCCCTGGAGGCCGTGTATACACGCACAAATTTGCGGTATTCAGAACGGATGACATAAACATGCAGAGAGAGAGGCTGGAAATATCTGTAAGTGGCCCGCTCGCAGCGAGCGAGGCCGAAAATATGATTGTGCTGCCGGAGGGTGATGGCTTCAAAAGTTTTGCGGTGTTCGGAACGGATGACAAATAAACATGCAGGAAGTGAGGCCGGAAATATCTGTCAGCGTCCCGCTTGTAGTGTGCGAGGCCAGAAATATGAGTGTGCTGCCCGAGGGTGATGGCTTCAACCTGCCTGGCTTGAGGTCAAGTGAAAAGTAATCCTGCGCCTCATTTTGTTCTTGTCAAAGGTAATCCCAGCGTGAACTAAAGAAAGTAAATAGTGCGATTCTTGTATTTTGATTTGTATTGTCAGGGTGGAGAGTGTTGGTCTGAGAGTGGACAATGCAAAGGATCCTGATAGTCCGAGGGGATTACTAGTCACTGCTGGACAGGATGGAATGGTCAAGTACTGGAACCTTGATAGGTATACACATGTTTTAACGTTACTGCTTTTATTTTTTTTAAATGGGTTTTCAAGTAAACCACAACTTTGTAATAAAAGCTGTATCCTCACTGAGTGTTCCCCATTTGCTATTTCCCATATTCCCAGCATTGCTATAATGTTGCTAGCCTCATGACTTTGGGCGTGATCTCTGGCCACATGGCATATACAGGTTGGTGACTTCTAACTAGCACCCCTTGGACAAAGACACTGACATAATGGGGAACTGCCAACAGAGGGCTGGATAGCTCACTTGGTAGAGCCCCGGAACGGCAATCAGGAGGTTGCAGGTTTAGACCCCACTCCAATCAAGTTCTTTGTTCAGCGTTTTAAGAAATACATATAATGCTCCTAGTCAGTTTCCCGTTGTGGTGTATTTGAAAATATGTAAGCATATGTTTGCAGCATTGCTAACGTATGCTGCACGCATCCTGACTTTGGGTGTGATCCCTGGTTACATGGCATATACGGGTTTACAGTTTCAACTAGCGCCTCTTGAATAAGGACATTAACATGGGTACTAACCTTAATTCAAAATATGGCTAAGGACCTCCAGCTAGGTTATACACTTGTTTGAAATTTACATCCCTTTCAGACGGCATTCCTGAGTGCCACGTTTGAAACAATAAGGACTAATTACACACAAAAGATCAACTGTTGCATTTAATAGTTAGGAATGACTCCAGAGGCTAGTCAATGCAAAAATTAACACATAAAGTTTGCCTGTCTGAAACTAAAATCTATTTGGGTTGACCTGAGTCACTCCTGATGATCGTTTGGTTTGGTGCGATTCTTGAAGATTTGTCTGAAATAGGTGTTATAGCTACATGAAATCTTGTGACTCATAAAGCATTTCCTTGCCCCCAAAACTTAAATTATTTACATGTACAAGGGTTAGCTCTGCTAGCTGTTTCACTGAATAACCCAGAATTATCTGGGTCATCACAAAAGGCTCACAGACTGATAGCCATATGTTTTTTTTAGGAATGAAGAGTATTGAGCTAAGTGTCCTGCTTTCTAGGACGCAAGCAACAAGTTTGATTAGGTTCTCCAAGTGGTGTTACGAATGTTTCAAATTCCTCAAGACACAACTTTTGACAATGCTACCACTAGTTAGACAAAAGAATAAGCGTAGTTCCCTCAGTGATATAATAGAGTCTATATTTGTTTGGTTTCCATTCACAACACAGCAATAAGAGTAACCACACTTTGCAGAGCAGCAGCCAAATCAACAGCCTCTTCTTTGATGAAACCAAGATAATCGGAGCGTGCTCCGACTACAAGCTCAAGATCTGGGACTTCAACACGTCTTTGTGAGGGAGGTTTGTCAATGGATGATCCCTGCATTCCAGGTGTTGATACCATCAAGATGTACTGCCACAAACCTTATCGTTTACTGTCAGAGTGAAGGTCATGATTATATCAAAATCCACACTTCATTGTGCAGTTGTTATTAAGTCAGTACATACATACTGTGATGTCCAGTCATTATGAGATTACAATAGGACTCGATGTTCAGGGTTTGTTAAAGTACAAAGAAAGTGCTATGGACCATTTCATAATGGAGGAGGATTGTGGCCGATTCAAAATGTGGAAAATGCTTGTACAAGCCATTAGTTCACTATAAGCGGGAGTGTGGCCTACTTGTTAAGTATAGTCTGTGGAATAGCCGCTTGCACAGCGTCTACGATATGCGTGCAGATTCGGTGACAAATTATGCAAAACAAGACTGCGTCTTGACCTCCAGATTCTGAATATTCAGCGGGCGCCTTCTATCGGGTCTTCGGAAATTGGTTGCTGTATTACAAAAACAAGGCAGCCAATTGACCAATCAACGGCTTAGACCGAATTTCTCCTTAAAATGATGTCACAATTTCTAAAGTCGACTCTGATTTGCTGGCACACGGGGATTGCATAAAATTTGTATGGACGCATAAACATGTATCAGGTTGTTTGCCTCATTGAGGAACGGTTGATACTCGGACCATGGCCATGGACCATCAGGGGCAATGCCTCACCCCCCCCCCCCCCCAAAAAAAAAACCGAACGCAACTTGTAAAATTGTTATATGCAGAATGTTGCCATTTTAAGTATTTTTTCATTAAAAAGTACTGGAAAAAATTAGTACTGTTTGTATATTATCTTACATTACAATAGTTTCATGTAAATAATAGATGTTAAAGTATCATTTAAACTGTAATGAAAGCAAAGTTGTGCATGTAAATACAATCGGTAAATAAGAAACTTACACGTAAAAAGATACACAATTGGTTATTAAACTGGCCTCAAATATGTGTGTGTTAAATCCAAATATAGGACATGCTGAATTTGTTATGTAGGACGTGTTGAAATGTTGGATCTTAGATGCTCTGTGGTGCGATCTCAGGCAATATCTGACCACTTTAACCCCTGTTTTTTTTCAGCAAAAGATCATAATTTAAACGCCGGTTTCGAGTTCCAAGTCATTGAATCAGCTATCCGGAGCTATAAAATCAAACTGTAGGCTACAGTATTTATTCGGGATGAAAAAGGTGGGGGGGGGGGACAAAACGATATGATACCCCCTCCCACTTTAAAAAGTGTGGGGGGGGGAATGCCCCCCCCCCCCCCCCCCCAGTGGCGTAGCCAGAAATTTTTCATTGGGGGGGGGGGGGCTGGAACATTTCATGGGGGGTGTCATGTAGATCAATGATAATTTTTTTAGAAACTCAAAATCTCAGTGGGGGGCCGACTGGGGGGGGGGCGACAAGGTTTCATGGGGGGGTGGTCCCCCCCCCTCTCCCCCACCGATTGACGCCCATACCAAAGGCATGCCTGTCCGCCCTGGTAGAGGAGCCTGGGTGCATTTTCTGGTAATATACAGCATATTTTACAGCATATGGCTCCTCTCGCCCTCCACAGCCCTTTTTTGTCTCGTAGAGCGCGCGCTGTCTCATCGTAGTTCTTGGTCCCGTCGCTTTTTAATTTTAGTAAACGTATGACAGACCACCAATAATGCTTGTTGTCTTATGTGCAACTAATCCTAGCAGGCTACGGTCTGACGTGAACTGCCCTTTTAATTTTGTCTCCCCCCTATTTTTCCTTCTCTTTTTCAGTCTATTTCCCTCTCTATATCTTGCTTCTTTTTTTAAACAAAAGGGGGCGTGCGCCCCCATGCCCCCTAGATCCGCCCCTACTCTCGAATTCAACAGAGGAGGTTGGCCACAGAGCTTGTCAATATGTAGTTTGCTTAGTTCTAAGTTATTGAATGATCTGGCATCTACATCCATCTACATCCACATGTAATAAAGAAGAGGCTTTCATATGTAACAACATGAGACCCGTGTACATGTATTTCTTTCATATTGTGATAATGCAATCAAATTCCCTTTCTGCACATAAACAGCTCCACCACCACTCGGTGGCGGTTTCCCAATTCTTTTGTACACCAAAAGTACATCGATCCCACTTTCCCAGATCACTGATTTTCATGGTGAACTGAGAAGCGGGCTTGCCTGACGGGTCGGTGGAAGTGCTCAGAATCGATCACCTATACAAATCAGCACTGAATTGAAGGTCAAGTTTTGCAATCAAACTTTAGAACCAATTTTCATGGACATGTAAGCACAGATAATTTGCTATGAACAAAAACCTATTTGCAAAATTGGTAAACATCCCAAATTACACGTGATGCATACCATTTTTTTACAGGTTCACTGAAACCTGACCGAAGTGGAAGTTCATACAGGGAGGTAGACAGACCATTGAAATACAAAAATTGCAGCAGTATTTCGCAAAAGTAGACTAATGGGTTATAAATTTGGCACGATCGGGCTTTCGTAGAAGACTGCCTTTTAACCTATTATCTTTTGTCTCACAGCACGTATCTTTATTTGGAAAATGGAATTTGCTTTCGTACCATTCTTTAAAATAAAGAATAAAGAATAATTCAGACAAATACATTGTTCTATTTTGTTGGGTATACTCATTTATTATCCTATAGTACTGTTTGGGAGTGGGACATGGTATGTTATTTCTTGTAAGCAACTGTCGCTTTCAATTTAAAGTGACAGATTTTTAAAATTAGATGTTTGGTTGGTGGTTCTTCGGGTTTTTTTGAAAGTGGACCAGAAGTTTCACTGAAAAGTATTTTACGATAAATTTGCCGAAACTGCTAGAAATCTAAATGTGTGCACGAGGCAAGCTCTAAGCCAATGTTCGACAGTTTATTTGATATTGACGATTAGGTATTAACAAACTTATGGACACATGTCGAATATGGGGATGGTCGTCCCTACTGGGGTTGGTCCGCCTCCCCCCCCCCCCCCCCCCCCCCGTCCCTCGGACACCGTCACACACCCGACAATGTGCCTTAAGTAATATCCTTTAACATGGGCAATTTTATCGTTTGATGTCTCATTCAAAAGTGACTTAACATTTGTGTTGATGAAGAATCATTTTAAGTACAATCTATTTCTCGTGGTGAAACTCAAACACAGCATGGGAAAGTATAGCTTTATTAATCATACGTTTTTTGGACTATTTGGATGCGTTCATAATCGAACAACTGTTTTCAAATAGAAGCAAAGATTCCATAGTTTAGAAAAATTCCTGGGGGACCATAAACTAAAGTATATTTGAATATATTTACTACAACATATTTAAGCAACAGATATCCCTTTCTTCAAGCATAACTAATGATTGGTCGTTCCGCAAACTGATTTACTGAACGGGTAGAGCGGCGCTGCATTGGCCGATGAGGTGGGTGATAATATCGGCCAGCTTATGACAAGCTCCGTACGGGTCAAACACCGGCATCTTGCACACGGACGATTGCTTGGTTTGGCACCCAAGATCGTTCCATATCCCGGGCTGTTCAAAGTTGATCTCAGTGCAGTCCTCGTTCTGTTAAAAAAATAACAAATGTTTGTGACTAAAGAAATATCAGCCAATTCACTTCCCCATTGTGTTGCATGTTGAAGTCGGGGACCAAAAAGTCATGGTATCTTGAATAATGCCATACCAAATATCGCGATCGGAGACAAAGGTGTATCATGAACCGAACCAATTTTCCGGGGGTGGGGTGGGAGGACTGGACCTCATTTGACACTAGGGGCGCTCTTTACCACTTTCTCTCTTTTCAATATTTCATAAATCCAGGGGGAAAGGGGATGAGCAGCATTACTTAAAAAACAGTCCTCTGCACTTCTTTCTGGTTGAATTCTTACTGTTAAAAAATGACACTTGTTTGGGGGTCATGACCCCCGTTAGTCCCCTGGATCCATCAATAATCGGAAAGATGAAAGAGAAATGTTGATGAGTTAACTTTGACTGTTATTTACATTATTGGAGTCATTAGGCTCGCCAGATTTCCAGTTAGTGTATTCCTCCGCCAAGTGATCCGTCCATTCAAAGTTTCCTTCGTGATCAATGTCGTTGAATCCTATCCAAGTTCTGCGTGAATATCAAACAAGATCAGAAAGGTCTTTAAACGGTACTTGTACGAGCCTTTGGCAGATTTTTAAGAAGTCAAACCCATGGGCTAATTATACATTTTTCAAAATCCAGTGATATACTGTTCCATATGAAAAACTAGATCAGCAACTATGTTTAAAAACGGTTCAGTTCTTCATCATTAAAGCAAAACTATTTGATTGGCCGCAATAAAAATTAAAATCATTTCATAAACCGAAGACCGACAACAACAAACAAAACAAACCAAACACTCGAAATCTTCAAAACAAACTACAGGAGATCGACGACTTTGCTGTGAATTTGATGTGTAATTAAAAATAAAAAACGATTTACTCCAAGACTCAGTGATTCGGTGACCATTTCCCTGCAGGCTCGCAGAATATTACTTTCAACATTATGACTTTGGATATGGTTCCTGCGCACTGGCTCACATGGGCTTGTAATGACTAGCCCCATGAACAAACATAATAGGGACACTAAGAAATTGTACGCGTATACGGTGTACGAATGTGGTTCGGAGAAATTTGCTTTTTCACAGCCGAATGCATTCCGTATCTGCATCGTTTCTGATGGTCCTTTGTGACAACAGCGCTGGGTATGGTTTTTTGTCGACAATATTATTTCTTGCTCAACCTCTATCACCTCTATGTAATTTAATTAAACAGAAATAAGAAAGCAACCTGTCGTAATTCCTACTCGTATAGGCCTACCTCCTAAGTCCCTGGCCTGGCCAGGACTGAGCGATGAAGTTCGTGATAAAGTCATTCTCGGCCTGACAGCTCACAGAGGCCAGGTGGGCCGGCTGCCCATGAGCGTTGTGGTAGCTCTGGCAGTTGGCCTCGCCGTCTTCAAATGATCGCGGCAGGCCGAAGAACCGGTAGCAGTCTCCATCGTGCTCATGCCAAAGTGCTGGACAGCGACAGCTCAGGTCTGTCGGAGAGATTGAGAGGAATGCAGACGGGAAAAAATAAATAGTTATAGAAATCAACTACTGGGCATTTTTTTGGGAGTCAGGGGACGTGTGGTGGTCTTGGATTTGTTATAACTGAAGAAGAGCAGTGCTAGTGGCGTATTTGGCTCATTGTGCTGGGGGCATCAATTTCTGGAGGAAAGGCACCTTATGGGTTTTAGGGAATAACAAGTTCATATTTCCCTCCCCCAAATTCTGAGCAGGAGACGGGGACACACATTATGGAGGGGGAGGGACACAGGCCTCGAGCTGGGTGGTGGAGATGCCTACCCCCCCCCCCCCCCCCCCATCTTTCAAGGAACAATTCCCGAATGTTTCGGCGGGGTCCGCTCACAGGTCAAGGGCGGATCCAGGGGGGCCAAAGGGGGCCATGCCCCAGTGACGTCGCAAGAAAGAGTACACCACCATATTTTCATCAAAACACATTGGTTAAAGTGGTCAGATCTCAGATCGCACCACAGAGCATCTAGAATCCAATTTTTTTTGGGGGGGGGGGGGGCGCTGGAGCGGGCCCCGAACCCAACGCCGTCATTTTTTGACCCACTTTTTGGAGGACCAATTTTTTTTGGCCCCCCCCCAAAAAAAAAATTGTGTTCTGTATCCGCCCTTGTCATAGGTCCGACGCCTCATAAAGTCCGATGCCTCTTTAAGTTGGAAACACCGTTTGTCCGTTGTCGGACTTATGAGGCGTCGGAGCTAATAGGCCGAATCCCAATGCTTTATAAATCCGACGTCTAATAATTCCGAAATTTCGGACTTACGAGGCGTCGGACTTACGATACGGCCCCAACTGTTTTGTTGTCTTAATTCGTTAGTAAATGCATTACCTTGAGAGCAGGCAGAGCAGACGAAGCCTATCTCCCTGTGGCATCCCAAGTCATTCATGAGGCCGCTGTTTCTATACAACTGCAGACAATGCTCCCCACCGCAGCAGTTGTTGGGCTCTCCGTTGGACCATGTCGGATGGGTCAGAACCTTGCCACTACCATCCGTGAACGTGCCCTCGTACGTCTCGTCCTTATAGCCCAGCCACAGTAAGTCGGGAACGGCAGTGGTCTGACCGACCAGGTCCATGATTGAATCGATTTCCTCCTGACTGTTTGGACTTGCCAGGGTACCACCTGTGCTCTGTACCAAGCGAAAGGATACAATATTTATAGGCATGGGCGTCAATCGGTGGGGGACGGGGGGGGGGACAATGCCCCCCACACTTTTAAAAGTGGGGGTCATCCTATCGTTTGTCCCCCACTTTATTCGTCCCCGAATAAAAATTGTAGCCTACTATGATTACATAGCTCAAAACAATCCGAACTCGAAAGCGATGTTTAAACGATGAACCTTTTGCTTTTAAACAAAGGGTTAAAGTGGAGAAATTGCCACAGATCGCACCACAGAGCGTCTTTCCAACATTTTCCGGGGCCTATAAGTGGACCCGAACCCCACGCCGTTAGGGCTTGCTCGCATTAGTTGTGATCAACTTATGGTTCCCCCCCCCCCCCCCCCACACACACACACACAACACTTTTGAGAAGCGATTGACGCCCTTGTTTATAGGGTTTCTTCTGTACAGGGTATACAATATTATCGGATCCTATGAAAGAATCTTATTTATGACAATTCTAACTATTGCGTTTTTCACGTGCAAAAGGAAGCGCTTAGTGTGTTCTTTAACTGCACTAATGGCAGTTTGACATCTTATTATACATAATTTTGTGGGGAAAGATTAGGCTAACTACATGTTCCTGTTGATTTCAACTGTGTATTAAAGAGGAAGGTAAGTTACTTCAATGCATCTCTGGCGACTTGCGACTCATTTTGTTGGGTTTGGTCACAACAAAATAATATGCAGGTATGTTAAAATCATGAATATGACGATGTGAATGTGTTTGCATCTTGAGGAGTGGTTATCAGCTTTCCATAAATACTTACACTGTGCCACATGGATGATTGAGCGCTCACTGATTCGGCTGTCCTATACAGCGGGTCCCAAAATACACACAGCAGGTCCCAAATACCCGCAACTTTTTTTTGCGAGGCTCTATCCCAAAATATCGTTTTAAAGCTGGAATCCGAACGTTATCTCTGGCGAGTATTGGTTTGATATTTAAAAGATTTTTAAAATTAATCGTGTTCAAATAAAGGCAATTCGTAAACAAACTCCGATTTCAAGAAAATTGATCATGCGGTATCCCCCGATGGAAATCGAGTCACACTTTGAGCGCGCTTTTTGACATACTTGCACGTGAATTTTAAAATTGAACTTGAAACGAAGAGCAAATGAATATGTTGAAGGTGTAGTCTACGTGGACCGAAAAGAATAGGAAACACAGAAAGTAAAAGGCAACGAGATCGTCACATCATGAACATGATGAACCATTTCAACATTAGAAAAATGATTGATTTAATCGGTTGAGTTTGTTTTTGACATGCCTTTACTTGAACACCAATCATTTCAAAACCCTTTCGAAAATCAAACCAATACTAGCTAGGGATAAAGTATAAGATTCCAAGCTTGAAGATGATATAAAAAATAATGGTGGTACGTGTTTCCTCGGCGACGCTAGAGCCTCGCAAAAAATGTTGCGGGTATTTTCAATATTTGGGACGCGCTGTAATGCGAGATCGCTTTGGACTTTGTGTCAAAAGGAGACGTTTTGGCTTCCCCGTAGAGGCAGGCCCAAAAGAGCAATTAAAACAAACAACTTTGACTGTACCAAGAATCGATACAATCTGCACAATTGCCTCGATACATGTAAATAAAACTTCCCTAAACAAGTCCCCTGACTTGCTCTGAATTAGGGAATAACGTCTACTTTTTACACGGACAGGAAAAGTTCTTGTGGCACACAGACCATCCTTTTTGAAAAATAACAAAACCTCAAATGTAATTCTCAAAATAAACATTTTAAATCCACGCGCTTTTCGCAGCTTTCTTTAACTGAAAAAAAAAAAACATTTTGGGGAGATTTGTTTTTGCAAAAAAAGTTAAAAATTTGAACATAAATTTAGACATCTTTCATACAAAAAGTTCTCTTTAATTAGTAAAGCTGATCAGGCTTTGAAGCTGTCAATAAGGACCTTTCATGTCAGGTTGAGAATGACTTATCACAACAAATTTGACGGAGTCACGGAGTATCATGTACGAACAATTACCAATTTTTAAAATGATCATCTGCGGTTTCATTCAATAGGTTATCGTTTGGTCGTTTCGTGAAAAGTGTCAAAAACATCCAGCATCTGAAAATAGTATGGTATGCAATTATGCGATGTCAGATTTAGCTTTTGTGTATACCTTCAATCCGTCCACATGAGTTAGAAATAATCGAAGTAAAGGCCTACATGCATGTACTTACCTCACAGTGCGCCTGAGCCGCTGCGTGGTCCTTGGCAACCGTCACCACCTTGTAGCATTTGCCGCTGTAAAACTGGTACCCATGCGGGCACCTGTAGGAGTTGGGGTCGGGAGAAGCAATCAGCGATGCGCTGACTTGAACCGCAGCTAAAAACACGGCACCGAGTACAAACGAGTACATGTTTACGGTTTATCTCGCCTTTTTAAAACTCCCGTCTGTCGAGACACCTTTACGAGTCGTGTATAAAGACTAGTGTTCCTTTCCCTTCCATCCGTCGGGTTTTTATATCCATGTGGTGATTGATGTGTGATCCATTTTGAAGACAACAGGTGACTTTGACAGGTGACTTTGACATTGGAGATGCTTGCCTGAAACAACTTGCTTGAAATTCAGTCACTTAGCAGAATTCCGCTGGCAGCCAGTCAAGCAATGAAAATCATATGACATTTTGGCTGGTTACCAGCCTTCTTGCTAAGCAAAACGTTTCATGTCAAGAACACTGAATCTGTTTGCTCGACAACTTCTAGAAATTTGATCCAGGTGTCCCTTTTTTGCGCAAATATTTGCTGTCAATGGTGCAATGATTATCGAGTGTAGAAAGTGTTTTAATTGAAATTGGTTGAGTCACGTACGCGCCTCAGCTGCAGTGCATTGTGTTCGTCCAATGTACCTTGCATTTCCCGTTGCAATAAACGTTGTTGTAGAGGGGCTTGTACACATCTCTGTTGTGTCAGACGAAAGTGGTCCAGCAAGTGGGGCGTTAGGTCCATTATTTTGATTTTTCAAAAAGATTAGGAGATTGTTAAAACACAACGTCCAACCACTAAAGCGCATTTCCTTCTAGCTATAGGTGCACAAAAATGAAACTTTATTTGTGCAACTAGGAATTGTTTACATTATAATGGTAAACATGGGCGTCGCCAGGATTTTTTCTAAAGGGGGGCAAAAAAAAATTTTGCCAAAAAATGCTTGTATTTCTCAACACATTCTTGATTTATCAGTTTTAGAGGGGGGGGGATGCAGGGACATTTTGCCCCCCCCCCCCCACTCATTAAATTTAGACCACTTTGTCTTCGCGCCTCTTTTTCTTTTCTTTTTTTTTCTTTTTTTTTCTTCCTTTTTTTCTTTCTTTTCCGGGGGGGGGGGGGGAAGTGCCCCCCCTTGCCCCCCCCCCCTCGCGACGCCCATGATGGTAAACTTAATATTCTGAACTGACGTAGTTTGACAATCGATACGCCTAAGTCAAACGTAACGCGAAATTTAATTTGCGATAAGTCAACTGGCCATTAAAAAAATATTTGCAGAACGAATTGCACTTTACAATGACGGACTGTCGTAAGACAATAAATCAATACTACAACCAACATCGGTCTGCGTCTATCAATCAAAAGTCATTCATTGTATGGGCCTATACTGTCAGATGAGGCTACATAAAATGTTAACTATAAAGTATTGAGCGTGATATCAAAAAGTTCATCATTTGGGTTTGAAAACTTCTTGAAAATGTTTAATGAAATAACAAATTGTCGCTGTCAATCACCATGCTGACGCAACAATTCATTAGAGGCTTGGGCCGATTTCATCACATTGGCTCATTGTAATGTAGTTTTTTATGCAATCCTTGAAAAAACACCTTTTTGTACCATTTTACGCTATTTGAAATTGTCGCTTTGCCATTTTCAGGGGTATTTTGGTGCCATTTTAGTTCCATTTTCGTGAGCAAAATTGTGATGTAAGTTCAGGCAGAAGCTATCATTGTTACAGCTATTTCTGCACCAAAAGTTGCCAGAATTTTACTGTTGCAGGCTGTCCTTACTTTGGTGGTTTGTTAGTACAAGGCAGTAAGCCAATAAGCAAACTTTTCATACAAATGTTTTTCAACGAGCAAACTTGTGGGTTCACAATATTGTAACAGAATAGTGTCTTCATGAAATGACATCATAGCAAAGAGAAGCGCCTCAAAAGTATTTGTCGACTTCTCTAAGGCTTTCGATAGTGTCGATCGAAAAGTCTTGCTTCATATTCTGATGAACTACGGTATTCCAGAAGAGACTGTCGGGCAATTGCTACTATGTACGAGGACCCCACTTGATTTATCCAAAGCATGGATGGAGCAACCAAAGAGTTTCTCACCACAACAGGCATTTTGCAAGGAGACCCACTTGCCCCGTTCCTATTTGTCATCTTAGTTGACTATATCCTACGGCAGTCTCTGAACGCCAGCAATTCCAAAGGTCTCACCGTCACACCTAAGCAACCCAGGCGAGTACTATATAGTCCTCTTTGTCACAGACCTTGATTACGCAGATGACCTTGCTTTCACTGCTGATCTACTAGATGATGCTCAGAGTCTGCTGTACTCCCTTCAGGACGCTGCTTCCAAAGTCGGTCTTTTCTTGAACACCAAGAAACCGAGCTGATGACCATTAATGAGGCACCAAACCACCCTCCTGTCCTCTCCACAGATGGCACCCAACTCAAAGAGGTGTCAGGCTTCAAATATCTGGGTTCCTACATAGCTGACAGCAAGAAGGACTTTCTCACACGCAAGGGTCAAGCATGGAATGCATGCAACAAACTCCACTCTATCTGGAAATCCGACATATCTCAACAAACCAAGTTTACTTTCTACCGATCCTCTGTCGAAAGTATCCTGCTATACGGTGCCGAGACATGGTCTATGAAAGAGCAACTCAAACAGAGACTAGATGGCACCTACACTCGCCTCCTCAAGAGAGCGCAAAATATTTCCTGGAAGGAACATAAGACAAAGGCGGAAATGTGCGGCAGCATCCCACTTATCTCAACTACAGTTGCACAACGCAGAGCACGCCTTGCCGGCCACTGCTATATAGAGCCAAAGAGCAAGTTGTCTCCGACCTCATCTGCTGGAGATTGCCTTGCCCGAACAAAGGGAGGAGACCCCTCAACTACGTTGACACTGTATGCAATGATGTGAGCCAGCACGTCGATGACATCACCACGGCCATGGCAGACGAGACAGTCTGCAGGGGAAGAGTTTGGTTGCATCCATCTCGGCTGCGGCCGCCCAATGATGATGATGATGTCAAACATTTTAAATGGAATTTTTAAGTTCCTGAAATTCATTCTCAAATTGCCTTTATTGGCCTACAGGACAAAGCATCGTAGATTGAAAAAGTTTTCCAGAGGGCATGCCCTGGACCCCCCTAGTAGGGCATGATAAAACGGCACGCCACCATTCACCCCTCGCCCTTCATATCAACCCCCCTCCCCGTTTGCTGAAAGCTAGATTCGCCCATGGATAACTTAGGTCTATAGAAAGTTTGTATACAACATGTATCTTGGCAGGCGAGTAGGCGACATCTCACTACCACATGTTTGGTTCGTTAATTAGAGCATTCAATACATTTCTGCTGGATTAGGGCATAGATAACACTATTTTGAGACCTGCCGAGAGTGGGATGGGGGGGGGGGGAATGCCCGCCCAGTGAAAAGATGGGCGGGGGCAATGGCCCCCTGCCCCTCCCCCGGTTCCGCCGGTGACAACGGTCAAATAGCAAGACGGGGAGATGGAGTACCCTCTCCCGCGCGAGGCCTATGTCTCCTCAGAGCGCCGTGGGCGGACATGAAACTTCACGTCGAAGATTTACTTTATTTCTTTGAAAGTAAGTTAGGCCTACATCCTTTGTAAAGTGTATTTTTTTAACTGACTAGCACGATATGAAGTGATGAATAAAGACACGTTCTTTACCTACTAGAACTGCCAATGCCAGGGCTATGTGAATGGTGCTTGATGAAAGAGGAACCAAAAGCAAGCCTACGCTGAATACCACACTACCGACAATTAACAAAGGGCGATAGTTGAATCTTTGTGCCAGGGGCACGGTCAGAAGAGCAGAAGTCATAGAAGATAGATCAAACGTACAATTGTGTATTGCCTTATGAATTAATCAATGATAGCTGCATTAATTATTTATTTATTTATTAAATTCTTCTAACGTACCTCCGATATCAGACGTGATCGATGCGATTATTCCAATAATCCAAGTGTGCGTTTTGTCCGATCCAATTGGTCCGTCAGCGTGGCAACAAAATGCCTAGACTTCGGCACCCCCACATCAGACTGGAGGTAAACGACAACAGAACTAGGAAACAACCAGAAGTATCGAATTCCATGATGGTCCAAGTGAATTCGAATTTTGCTATCATTTAAAACAGTATTCTACAGTTCGGGGACAAATGACGTAAAACTATGTGTAGTGGATCAAAACAACGTCACCAGCAAAATCACCGTGGTAAGCTCTGAAGACAATGCAGGGACTATTAGTACCATAACCGTTAAATGCCAAAAGGAAAATCGTCAGCAATAATTGTGCAAAATACATAGAACCCCCCCCCCCATCTCCCTATACCCTATACACACCCTAGACTAACCTAGCACGATATGTGACAGATGGGAAACCCCCCCCCATCTCCCTATACCCTATACACACCCTAGACTAGTGTTACAAAGCACATCTCCCTGTAGATATCTCAAAAGAATTCCTGAGATTCTGGTAACACAGTGATCAACACAAAAGAGGGGGGGGGTTCCTCTGTCACATATCGTGCTACATATGCCGAAAATCATCAAGCAATAACGTTGTATGAATTGAGGACTTTTCCTTTTTTGTAATCCTGTCTCAGACCTCCCTCCTTCAATAAATATGGAACTTTACCGTTATGTATATTCTGCCAATTGCTCTTTTTGCTTTTGTCTTGACCATCACGGAATTTTCCTACTACCCCAAATCATATGAAAGTTGGTGTAGGTCTACTTCCGACCCAAAGTCAACGTTCGCTATGATTAACTCACACCAGGGGCGTAAATCCTGGGGGGATGGGGTATATTCCCCCACTTTTTGACCAGGGGTGAGTATACATATTGTGTACATCTATATCCTGAAGAGCGCCCACTATTGTAATGTGGTGTCCAGCCCCCCCCCCCCCCCCCCCCCCCCCCCCCCCCCCGCGCCTGGCTAGAGGGAAAGCTACCACGCGTTCGGCTTGAGCAAAATGACCCCGTCAATTTCGCAAAGTGTTAATTCGCTTCTGAAAATCGGCCATTCATTCATGTTCATTGTGTGTCCATTCGGTTTTTTGAGAAACAGGCGGCCAACTTCGTATTTGTAATTGTACACCTAATTACGCAAGCATACTTTCCCTATAGCCGAGCTCGGGAAAACGATTTCGTGCATGCGGAAACAAACATAACTTGTATTCATTCAAAATAGCAGGTTACGTCACAGAATTCCAAACCTGATACAGAATCGTATAAATTCACACTGGAATGAATGAGATGATATTCTTCATTGGATATTCGATTCGCATCAACCTGTACGTGATATCATGATGAACCTCTATTGTTGATCGAAACCGTCTCATTGATGCAGTTGAAAATGATGCAGACTGTCTGCAACTTGCCGACATTCTAGGCATAATTCGTTTCACTGCCATAACAGTTACTATAGGAACATTTCTTTACGTGAAGGCCAGAGAATGGCCGTGAAGGCCGGAGGATGGCCCAGACAAGCGCAACCCCGGCACACGTTTTAGATGCTAGAAGTGATTATGCCAACTGGTTCCTTCGGGAGGGTGTAATACTCAGTATAGGGCACACCGTCTACATAGACGAGAAATTCGAGAATAGAAACATAATATTATGAACTTGATGATCACAGAAGACAGCTCCTTGTGGATAACCAGCCAAATGCGTTGTCCATCATCAGAGGGGTAAAAACGTTAACGTTACATTTGTTGTGTCCGATGAGGTTGCGCATGTTAACTTCAGAATCTCTTCAGAAGCTGATGTTACTAGAGCTACACTTGAGGACTTCCTCACCTCAATAGTTGAAGAGTGCCGCAGGCAAGGGCGGATCCAGAACACAATTTTTGGGGGGGCTAAAAAAAATTTGGTCCCCCCAAAAAGTGGGTCTAAAAAATTACGGCGTGGGGTTCGGGGCCCGCTTAAGGGCCCCGAAAAATTTGTGGATTCTAGATGCTCTGTGGTGCGATCTGAGGTAATTTCTGACCACTTTAACCAATTTATTTTGAGGAAAAGATGGTGGTGTACTCATTGCCTGCCTTTATTGCGATGTCACATAAAAAAAAAAAAATTGGTTTCGTTTTTTTTGGGGGGGGGCCATGGCCCCCTTTGGCCCCCCCCCCTGGATCCGCCCTTGGCCGCAGGCAGTGGCGTAGCCACGGGGGCGTGGGGGGGGGGGGGGAGAGAGCCCCCCCCCCAAACCTTGTCGCCCCCCAGTCGCCCCCCCCCCCCCCACTGAGATTTTGAGTTTCTAAAAAAATTATCATTGATCTACATGACGCCTCCCCATGAAATGTTCCAGCCCCCCCCCCCCCCCCCCCCCCCACTGAAAAATTCCTGGCTACGCCACTGGCCGCAGGCTATGCCCTGAAACGTATACTTCATAAAGCTCGCCCATACATCATAGCTCAACTACCACTGGATGCTCAAAACTTTGTCATCAATCAAGCTTCTTCATAATACAGTAATTAAACCCGACTGAAATGGGGCCGTATCGTAAGTCCGACGCCTTATAACACCGACGCCTCATAAGTCCGAAATTCCGGAATTACGAGGCGTCGGATTTATGAGGCATCGGACTTATGTATTCCGCCTCATGCATAGCTCCGACGCCTCGTAAGTCCGACGCCTCGTAAATCCGACGCCTCGTCGGACTAACAAGAAAAAGTGCACAAGATGGTACGCTCATGCACAAACGTATCTCCCTCGATGCCCGGCCAGAGAACCTATTGAGTTCGAAAGTCTAATGTCAGAAAATGAACTTGACCTTTGATTGATATAGGCCTAGTCAGTGGTGGCTCTGAGGGGAGGGGGAATTTGACCTGATGTAATGTAAAGAGTTTATCATAGAATGAAGAGAAGTTCATTTAAAGATATCTAGGTAAATAATGAAAAGGGAGAACTGAAAACAAATCGAAAGGAGAAAAAGACTAAAGGTCGCATAACTGTCTCAAGACACTACAGGGTACATGGGTCAAAAAAGTGACCGCCTTCGAAAAAAAATATTATAAAATAACATAGGAATGAAGTTATTGACTATTAACTGCAAATTCAACGTAAATTGCGCACTCTATTCACAAGTGTTTTCGATTTTAACATAAATGCTACAAAATTCAGCTGTCCACCACTGATCATTTACCGATACGCATTGATTAATGCCCTTTAATTTATACAATGAACTAAGGAGGTTTGCCTATATACCTCCACGAATGAACGAAAAGCTAGCAATTGATGTGGAAAACAGATAAAAGTCATCATTTCAGAAAAAGACTGGATTTGTTCCTCATATACAAGTAATGTTTCAGTCTTGACCAAATTATTAAAATTTCATTTGTATTTGAATGTCTGCGTGTAATCTCTGGTTCTCACACATTCCATGGACAGCTGTGCAATTGGGTTCTTTTACTAAAACAAGCATGCATTCTGATAACATGGATCCCTTTCATTAATTTTTTGTTTTCACATGAGTGGAAGAACATTTTCGTTTAATACATGCTTCATTTGTGTATCAAATTTAATTGATTTTTAATAGAAAAAAAATTAATCCAGCTGGTCACTTTCTTTTTGACATGTCCTGTATTTGATTGGTTGCTTGATAATTTCGACCTCAGTTTGATGTTACTCTTTTCATCTGGATACATTTCCATATATAACCAATAATGAATGATGCAGCTTAGACTTTAATGTTCTAAATTATTTCATGTATATGGCTAAGGATGATCAATGAAAAGGAAAAAAAACTATTAATACATTGGATTTGCTGCATGATGACATTACCTAGTAAAAGTGAAATAGAATGATTCATGTTCTTAACGCTGTTAAGAAAGCATTTACGAATCCGATTGGACATAAACGAAGCGCTCTGCGCAAACATTTCACTGATTGAACTGAAATGGAATCGAATGCTCTTGTAGCGAAAATGAATCGAGTATGCAGAACGATTTGAAAATTCTTTCTAGCGGAATTGAACGCACATTGTACAACGGCGGATCCGGGGGGGGGGCAACGGGGGCCATGGGTACCCCCCCCCCAAAAAAAAAACACCCACAATTTTTCTTTTTAAGTGACGTCGCCAAAAAGGCAACCACTGCGTACACCACTATCTTTTGCTAAAACAATATGGTTAAAGTGGTCAGAAATTGCCTCAGATCGCACAACAGAGCATCTAGAATCCACAAATTTTCCGGGGCCTTTAAGCGGGCCCCGAATCCCACGCCGTAAATTTTTGAATCACCTTTTTGGGGGAACAAATTATTTGTTGCCCCCCAAAAAAAATGTGTTCTGGATACGCCCTTGACACTGTATCGAAATTAATTAACGCTTTGCGAAATTGGCCCGGAAAACCTATATTTCTCACGCGCACCCTGAAATTGATCCCTCGCAACCAAAAACATTAATTATGACCACACATTCACAAAGTCGTTCAAACACATCAATTAAAGACAAAAAAGCATTAACATGACATCTAATTGCAGAGCAATGTTTATTATTAGGAAAATTAAAAGCAGTGCAACACTTTTTTTTCTATCTAACTGTGCTCAGGAAAACAAATGTAAATGATCTTCTAAAGTTTGATTCCAATGATTGAATGATACAATTTTATAAATTGATTCGACAAAACTTTTCAGTCCCATTAACTGAAGCTGAAAGGCCATATTGTCATTGTTCATTCACAATGGCTAGCAAACTGCATCGATGCGTCGAAGTATTTTGATCTTTTGAATGAAAGGCTATCCTTAAATAACCACTGTAACCTAGACCGGAAATTGCAAAATGAAATTAGTTTTTGATAAGGCGGACACAATGGTTGATTCTATGTCCGTCCACCATTATATCTGCGAAAAGGCTAAGTACACCCCTTCAAATTATGAAAAGGTGCATTCTTTTAGAATTTCATTTCCAAATGTGGTTTTTTTTTTTGGGGGGGGGGGCTTCAATGTGTGGAACAAATTTAATATGGAATATCAATCATGAAAATGATTATACTAACAGCTTCGTGATAGCGAATGCAAAGTTAGAATAGACATGGACTAAAGAACACATTTTCTACTTTAATATAAGCACTGTTATAGAAATACATTTGAGCATGGTACGCTTTCGGTAAATTAGTAACAACTGCTCTTATGTTGTTTAATCTCAACTACATGTATTAGTCAATTAAACTATATTCTTTAAATCAAAAGACGCTTTTTTCCCCTCATCTTACATTCATAAGCGATTATCAAAAATAAAACTATCGTGACGCTGAGAATTTAAGCCTCTAAACACCGCAATATTGCAATAATGTAACAAAAAAGAGCAAGAGATGAAAGAATTAAAAGGAAAAATATTATTGAATTGCAGAAAACTATTGACTTAATTCGGATAGGATGACTAGGAGATAACATGTTGACTTGGGTTAAAAAAAAATAAGACTGCACCTTTTGGAGCGCACTTCTTGCATGGAATATCCGGATATACAAACATATCGGAGCAATACATGAGAAAATAGTTGTAAACCAGTGAAATTCTCTAATCAAATGTATTAACAACGACTACACCGTGGACTACACATTCTATAAAAAGTAGACAACATGTGGATTGCATGCGACCCAAACCGTTGAAATTATGGTTTGTAAGTAATCTGAAGCACTGCAATTAGTAATCTCAAGTTAAAAAGAGCTGAGACGTATTTTTAATATCCCATGTATATTTGTTTCACGATATCAATATTACGCATATTTTGTAAGGACACCGACTACCAAACAGAACTTTGTTGGTATTGGTCCTTCTTAGGAAAAGTGTTCTTTCGCAAACCGCATTGTGAATTAGACAAGGAAGAAATCTAGTTTGTCTTTGTAGGAATCAACATGCTACATAACACACGGCTTATGAAGCAAGATATATTTAACACAGCGAGTACAGGAATTTATAAGAAAAAAAATCTTAAAATGAACCAAATTTGCAAACGCTCAAAATAAAACTGTCAAACTAATTATCATGAAATATCCTACGTGAATAAGTACGTATATGATAGGATTATGCATTCTGTGAAATCGTTGCGCTCAGTATGCTGTCATTTTAGAGAAAAGAGGAGTTACCATCATTTCCTCGCGATGGTTAGGACCGAACTTTTGCGCTTTAAACGGAAACATAATGTTTTCATCGAGAAAAATGAAGATGTATTTTCACAGTTTTCTAAAATTAAAAGTATAATATCTTCAGTGAGATGACAATTTTGCCTTTTTTTTTTTAAATAACCTGCCTCGGATTTATCATATTGTTGTTCCTTGCATCTGTAAAAACATCTTTTTATTTTGCACATGGCGTCATTACCATATGTGATACAAGATGAAAGAAAAAGGATGCTCTCAAATTAAAAAAAAAGGACGACCTATGCGAGACTACAAATAACCTTATTTGTTAATTATTTAAATGAACTGTAAACACTTCCCCTCACCACCACTTCCTGTGCTACATGGCATGACAGTGTATAGCGCCCTCTGCAAGATAGAATAGGCTACCTGAAGAGGGCGTTACGAGGGTCATACCATTCTTACTTTGTCTTGATGTACTCATCCTGCATGGCTGGGATAAGCCCCTTCCTGAAGGTGATATCCAGCAATTCATCCACGGTTTCGGTCATTGGGTACTGGTGGAGAGCCCACTTCAGGTAGGTTTCGAACTCGTTCCAATCCACCATGCCGTCTGCATCCATGTCGATGGCCTGTAGAGCTTTCATGGTGTCGTTGCAGCGGTAGCAGGAGAAGTAGGGTGCCAGGAAGCCGTTGTAGAAGGTGTCGAACTGCAGCATGTTGTCTCCCTTCACCTTGTCCTTCAGATCCCATTCATCCCAGATCTTACGGACTTCTTCTAGCAGATACTTGGCATGCGGGCTTCTAACCTCGAACTGGTCGATAGCATCTCTCATTGGCTGATTCAGACTCCCTCCAGCACGATCAAACAGCAGGGCCAGGCCAACCATGCTCATGTACTCCTCCTTTCTGTACATTCAAAGCAATGGGACGAAAGTGCCATAAGCAAATACATAAGCCTAGCCTTTAATCTATGCCAACTCATGCATGCGGATGAGAACAGGCTTTTCCAACATAATGGGAACGATTTGGAAACAGTGCTGCCGTCCTAAAGACAGGTACAGTGGATCGAAGGATTTCAAATTGTCTTGAAATATTATTAAGTCTGTATAGAAAGTCTCCTCGGTGAAAATATTATTCATACGCCGATTCCTAGAAAGGGTAAGAGTGACATTTCAAATTAGTTTTAGGGGCCTACATGCATGGGCGTACAATTTGTATAAAAGAAATAACTTTTTGTACCTTCCCGTTCGGAGGTCTTCCAGAATAAGCTCCTTCATCTTGTGGGTCAGCTCCAAAGTGAATTGTGGGTCGTTCCCGAAGAGATTGATTAGGCGCTGCTGGATCATCTCTTTGCTGGCCATGGTGGTGATTCGCACAGGAGCTTCCTCCCCGAAGAAGCTTGCCAGGTCAAACTCCTCAGGATTGAGATCAAAGACGAAGTCAGTTGCTCGGGCACCGAAGATCGGCTGCCTGCTGTGTGGCTCCATGCCAGTGGTGATCTTAGTCACGTTGATGGCAGCCTTCCTCAGGTAGGTGCAGTTAAACTTCTTCAGGACCTTCTTGTTGCCCAGGCGGATGAGATTCAGCAAGGTGACACAGGAAGGGGCGTTACCCATAGCGGCACCTTCAGAGCAGACACTGGCCCAAATGCCATCAGCTCCATCCATGAGAACCTGAATATAAATTAATTCATTATACAAGTATAATTCATGCATTTTAGAAGAATTTCAGTCAAATGATGCTTTATAAACAAGCACGCCTGTATAAAACAGCTTGGTCAAACTAAAGTATTGTTTTTGATTTTACAATTTGTAAATGGTGCAGGCTGAGTTGATATTGATCATTATTTCCACCATACAGTATGACTGTGCTTTTAAAAAGCTCCAGAATTATTTCACATCTTTAATTCTAACACATACCTTTTTTAAGATTTGAATATAAGAAAATGAAGAATATTGAACTTTAAAGCAGCCATATTTACACTTTCATCTTTTCTGGACAGGTACGAAGTTACCATGCAGCTACGCTAGGGTCAACTTTGATTGGTACATTGGGTTTTGGGTCAGTTAATTTCTAGGTAAAATGTCTCACTTTAACTAACCTGCAGGGCTGTGACATCACAGTAGCCAAACTTCTCGTGAACGTGGACCAGCAGGTGCCCTTTCCATTTGTGATCATCCATAACCTTACGGATGTACCTGGCCCACATGCCACACTCTTCTGGCATTGACTTCCCTCGGGGCTCTTCAAACATCATGCCGAAGGGGCGACGATTGGGCGGCAGGTTGGCCAGGAAGGAAACTACCTCAAACGCCCGGTCAGAATGGTCAGGCATGGTGTCTGGTAGGTCACGGAAGCTGTACATCACCTTGGCTTTCGGGCTGAGATTCTCGAAGCACCAGTTGTTCCACTTGTTGAGCAACTCGCACATGTCCTTGATGGTGAACTTGTTGAAGTCGTAGACCCCATCACCCAGATCCACCTCGAAGATCACAGAGTACAGGCCAGCAGGTTTCAATTTCCGGATGCCCACGGGTACATTTTCGGTGTCTGGGATCTTATTTTTGATACCTAGAGGTTAAACAAAAAATACTTCAGGATAAATGTACTTAGATTTTCCCCCTTTATTTGTTGTTGGTTTAATGTGAAATTTAATTTACCCGAAACAGGGTAAGCAATGAATCATCTATTGATGCTGCTGTCATAATATTGATGACAATGCAGACAAAATGATAATGGCTATAAGAAGAAGATAAAAGCACCTCAATATGGATGTTGCACAACATGTTTATGTACCTTCAGTGATCTCAGAGAAAGCCCACAGGCCTTCTGGGTCCTCTCCTCTCTCCTTCAGTTGCATGATGAAGACGTCGTCCACGCGAGTCATGTGCGAGAAGGAGGCCACGATGGTGTTCTTGAAGCCGCATTGCTTGACCTCATTGTAGATCTTCCACTTGCTCTCCAGGGTGTGGCCCCGTAGCTGCCCCACGGTGCTCTCACGGATGGAGTTGTCCAGCACGAAGATGTCCAGATCGCGAAGGACTTGGTACTTCTCCAGCGCCTTGGCAGAATCCTTCTTGTAGTTTTGAACCAACTGCTGCATTTTCGAAGCCATTTTTCTTCCACTGACAGCTACGTACGTTGATCAAATATTCCTGCATTTGGAATGAAACAGAGTCCAACAAAAGAAGATTAAAGTCTGCTGATTCCAACGAACTCACTCTGTGTTAAAAAAAAAAAACACACCCCCAAAACTGTGCAATATAGACAGCTGTCCAGGCGGATGGGCCTGATGCTGAAAAGTGAACATGAAAAACTGCAGCAGAGTGTAACATTAACATCATGGAAGTGACTACTTGCGGGTTTCAAACAACCGAAATTAAAAAAATAAAAAAAATAAACACCATCCCAACACTGAATGTGTTGGCAAACAGGATGATTGGGACAAAGTTATGAATAATTCAGTGGTTTCGATCGGGTCAGTATGTTTATTCATGAAACAGAACAATGATATCAAGAGCAGTGTTATTATTTAGTCAACCTGTTACATTAAAGCATCTTAAAGAACGGTTGTCGTCGAGCCACCACACGGTAGCGAGATGAGCTATGGATACAAAGATCCCTGGTTCAAATCCATGTCGTTGCTGCTAATTTTCATCGACTATTTTTCTTCTCTAAATTTACCGTTGAGATAATTTCAATTGAAGGGAAAAAGAGAACGAGAACTTAAGTATCTTGCAATGATTCAAAGGAAAAACTGAATTATGCATGACTTGGCCTCAACCCCCCCCCCCCTCCTAGGAAAAAATACGCGCCCCGCTGAGCCCATGTTAAATCTTTTGACTGTTTTCATAATTAACCTAGAGTCGGCGATGATATCGGCGAAAATGAATAAATATATTTTTAACCAAAAAAAAATCAAAAACTTTGTGAAAAAAATGTATAAAGGAACTTTAACTGCCACGAACAAAACACTTGCTATAGCGTATACGAAAGTCATCACGGGTTTCGCAACTTCTAAGCCACCTGTACGTACGTGCAGGGGTTGAAAAAAATTGCTGTGTGCAAACAAGACCAATACAATCATGTTTTCAGTTTTTGCATGTAAGTTGGTAATGCGTTAACGGCGAAGGCGACATGTTGCTTTTGTTATTCAATACGTCGTTCATTCATAAATCAGTACAACAAAATGACAACCGCTTTCCATCGAAACACTCATCTTTTAACCAATCAGTTTTTTTCAACGCTTGATCTAGCGGTGGCTGCGCAGCCAGCTTGCGATTGCAGCGTATGTGGCACTTTGGGTATAGGCCCTATGTGTGACGTTGTTTGCGCGTCAATTTTGTTTTACTAATAAACTCATAATTATGCACGCATTCGCACAAACTGGTCCAAAAATCGTCATAGGCATTACTTTCTGGCCTAAGTGGTTTTTTTAGGGCACAAAATAAACACTTTAAAGATTGCTTTACGGTCCCGTGCGCAGGAGGGTGAAGGAAATCAGCAGGGCTCCTTTCCGCACAACTGGGATAAAAGAATAACCTTATGTTTGGGGGAACCCATGCACCCAATTTCACGCCGAATCGCCTCTTTGAATCGCGCACTGCGGAATCAGCCCGTGGTCCAGCCACCGTGAAGCCTTGTTATCACAGGATGAGTAATAACAAAAACGAAACCCAAATGTCGGGACTATTGTTTTAGTGAAGTTCTGCATGTTGCACTTTTAAAATCTAGGATATGAAAGCCCAATTCATAAGCTTTCTTTTAGTACAAGAATCATTCAAATCACTCATGTACTTTTCAACTTACGGAAATTTAAACACAACCAGCGTCTAAAGTTCTGTCCATGGATCACATAAAGGTGTGCGTGCTTTCAGCAGAACGAAAACAATTCACACACGTGATTTGTTTTCCTTTTTCTGAAAGAACACTTACCCTTTTTTTTTACAGGTTTCTGCCTGAAATGACATCACAATTTTGCTATATGGAAATTCACATTAGCATTAAAACCAAAAAGGCACCAAAATACCCTTGAAAATGGCAAACCGAAAATTGAAAATAGGGATACATGGGACACAAAATGTACATTTTGAAACTTTGCATTGTGGTAGTGTGAACTAGTGAGATTTGCGGTGACACCATGTGGAAAATCTCTTTTGAGAAGAAGTGTGAATCTGAAAAGAACCGGGCTTTTTTCTGGATTGCATAAAAAAAAATACATTGCATGGGTCCTTCAAAGCGCCTTTTAAAAACTGTCAATTGATTGCATGAAGATTCAAGCACATTAAAAAACTAATGTTGACGTGTGTCGGATACCTTGACGGCGGAGTTATTTGGAACCATGGGCGTCGCGAAGGGGGGGGGGGGGCAAGGGGCGCTTAACAAAAAGGAAAAAGAGGTGCGAAGCAATATTGTTATTATTTTAATGGGGGGGGGGGTGTTCCCCTGTCCGCCCTCGGTAAAACGATCAATTGAAAATATGTGGAAAAAGTTGAGGAATTTTGGGGGGAAATGTGCTTTGCCCTCCCCCCCCCCGAAAAAAATCCTGGCGACGCCCAAGCTTGGAAATTGGAACCGTTCACTTTTGGTGGGTACAGTTTTACACTGTTATTTTGGTTGTGTACTATATGAACCTAGCAACCAGTTGTGTAAAAAAATTGAAAAAGTTGTGTAATATTTTACGCAAGATGTGTAAACAACAGTTTACACAACGGGTTGGCAAAAACGTTCAATCTTCTTTCCCAGAAAGCAGAAAACTGAAATGGAATGGCAACGACTTCAACAGGATGTCAACAGCCAAACTTTGCGGGATGTACAAGTGAATAATCCGGTGCCCAGATCCGGGTTCGTTGACACTTCGATATGTTCGTGATAGCGCGGGTACTTCTGGTGTGAAAATGTTACTTCTTTTTTTACAACGAAGTGCCCATCATGTTTGCTATCAATCCTTAAAAAATGGATATACATGTATTTAAGGCTTGCATTTAAGAATTTCAACACCAGGCATTATAATGAACAGATAGACGTCCTGCCGAGGATATGCACTCATGCGAGGGTACAGCTTTGCTGCATTATATTTTTAATGTGACGGTTACCCGATCTGTGATCCATTGTAAGCAGTCAGGATAGTCTAGTCTTACCAATTAAATGTCATCATCCTGAGATAAATATGCCAGGATCTCAAGTCTGATGGCACCTCCAGATTATAATAGGGTAAACGGTAAAGGGTTCGTTTTTCCTCTTTCTTTTGACGATTTTAAAACGATAATTGATTGGACGGTATATGTACACGGATCTACACATGACCGATGTGATGTGCAAATGTCAACGTATGAATGATCGGAGACTCTCGCTTGTGCATGCATTTGGAAATGGTTCGGGTTATTTAATACGGTCGTTTTTGTGGAATTGTGTTCGGAGTTACACAAAATATTTATGTCCCTTGCGTTCAGTGGCGTAGCCACGGGGGGGGGGGGGGCGACAGCCCCCCCCCCCCCATGAAACCTTGTCGCCCCCCCAGTCGCCCCCCGCCCCCTGAGATTTTGAGTTTCTAAAATAATTATCCAATGTTCCAGCGCCCCCCACTGAAAAATTCCTGGCTACGCCACTGCTTGTGTTGCGTTGGTAGTGTGCCCTCACCTCGACATTCGTGCACGTTGCGGTTTTTGTTCTCTGTTTGTGGCAGGTTTAGGGGTAAGGCTTTGCGGGTACAGAATTTTAACAAACCGTATAGACACGCCTAGCTCATGGCCTCTAACACTTCTGGAGCAACAGTGCATTTTGTGTGGTTTACAGTTTCCAATAAAACATATCGTCAACGTGAAGTTCACACAGTTCACTTGAACTTGAAGGGAGGGCAGGGGCACAGCTCCCATAACAAACTTTATCTGTGACGTCAGATTTGTCTCTCTTTCTTCACTCACGGTGGGTTCTTATTTACATTATTTTAGCCCAAAGAAATCTTAGCCACCCTTGCCGCCTACATGATCTTCAGACATCGAACAGAAATGAATCTCACGCATTCAGGATATGACAGTAACTCCACAAAGTCAACCATGAGATACAATACTTATGTTTCGCCAGCTTCACACCTTCGTTTCCCTTTGCCTACATGTATTTTAAAACAAACGGCCCTTAACGTTTCTCTTTCCACATGGCAAATTCTAACATTATACCCGATGTATAGACCGATTCATACATCATGCGAATTAAAGCGCCAGGCGAAATGGTTCTAGGTCACGGTAAAGGGCACAATTGAACCACATTTATTTTGAACCAGACTTGGATTCGGGTACTTGAACTTGTCGTAAATAAACATAATAGCACATGTATGTGACTAGCATACCAGTACAAGGCTAGTGCTTTGACGACCGTTCATACAATCATATGCAAATATGTTTTTGTACCAGAATGGCCTGTTTGCAGAGTAAGCAGACAATATAGTTTGTAGGCCTACCCTAGTAATTTTCAGAAGTGTAAATAGGACTTTATCCTTTGGATTTTGCTCGTCTGTAATTTTGCAGGATTTTATCAGTAGGATTTTACACACATTTTGCCCTTTAGAGATCGGTTCTTCCAATTGTCCCAAATAGGCCTATAAATAACGGAGTCTGTAATGCGAGTCAAGTTCAATGAAAGGTCAAAAAATGTAACAACGGTCTCACACAAATTACACCACCCCTGTAAACATCGGGTAGGCTTCCTGTTCATGTGTATAGTCAGAGTTATCCAATGAGCAAGTCTCCTGTATAACGTCTGATATGTCTAGACATGCACTGAGCCGCGCGCCAGCCAATCGGAGTCGACTTTACTAAATCGTGACGTCATTTTATTCCCAAATCAGGACCAAATTGTTTGATTGGTCAATTCGAACGCAGTGTTTTGTAATACAACAACAGCCGGGCGCATTATCGCGTAACATGATACAGAGCGCGTGACAGAGGTGATTTTTTATTTCATATTTATAAGAATATGTAGCACCAAAAATAATAATGACTGGAAAGCCAATTTCATGAGCTACTTTTGGATGAAGAAAGTTACTGAAATTGGTCAATCCGTTGAAAAAATCACCATTTAAACACAATGACTCTAAAACCTGTCTCGTCCAAAAATGCGATTTTAACAATCGTCGTCACAACTGTCTTCAAACATCACCAGCAATGAAATCTTCCTTTAAACGTTAACAATATGCAACAAAGTCCTTTTGAAGGCCCGTCTTTTAAAACAGTAGATTTTATAAATCATATTTTTTGCCTAACCAGGGTTGTTAATCAAAAAATTGTGTGCTACAGTTACAGTGACAGTTGTTGAAACAAATATTCTGTGTCATTTTCTTTGTTGTTCAAAACAGTTAAAACACACAATAAATATATTTTTTGGACGAGACAGGTTTTACGGTGATGATATTCTTTGAACGGATTGACCAATTTCAGTAATTTTTTCATCTAAAAGTAGCTTTTGAAATTGGCTTTTCAGTCATTATTATTTTTGGCGCTACATATTTTATTTTAAAATATGAAATACATTTTTTGGGGTTTGGGTTCCGCTTTTTTTGACTCACCCTGTACAACACGTAGCGTTTTCAGGGCCAACTGTGTTGCGGAAGAATTACACTGAAAAGTGTGGACCACCGGCATGCTATAGTGCGAAAAGCTTCTTTCACTGTAACCCCGGCCTACACACATAGCTTAGCATTGCATGAACGCTTTTACCGAACATTCAATGAAACCGACAGTCGAAAAAAACTCTTTAGTATAACACTACATGAATATCGAGAAGTAGATTTTCATTCCAATGTGTTTTTGAAGGAAACCTTGTGTGTGCACAGTGTTCTGAAAGAAAAATGGGGAAAACACTGATTCAAATTTTTATTTGGCAATTTGACTATTTGAGGGGGGGGGCGGGAAACAGTCTGGTATGCTTTTTTAAAACCGTCGTGATTCGTCGGCGAATTGCCATGACTACTGGATAACTATACCGCTAAAGGCACAGAATTCAACGGGTTTTTTTTTTCCCAATTTAGCGGTCACACTATCGCTGGGGTGATTTTCAAGCGAATAAATAATTTCGATCTTAAATTGATTTTCGGCTCCCCTAGCAACGGAACTATCCATGCACAGGCCATATGTACAAAGTGTGACTGATAATATGGAGGTAGTCCAGTATTTCAGTCACATGAGACTAGCAGACAGTGGTCTATGTGATAAAAGAACAGTTATTTAGAAGATACATTTATGCCACAAAGGATAAGGCTTACTAGACAGAGGGAGAACATTTTTACATGGTAAAAATATTGTCCCTTCAAAGTGATTTTAGTTAGGCCTACAGATCACTTGGCCCTATTTTCGTGTTACAAATGAGCACGGTTTACAAATGAGTACGGTTTGGGAGAAAATGTGCTTTGCCCCCCCCCCCCCCCGGAAAAAAATCCTGGCGACGCCCAAGCTTGGAAATTGGAACCGTTCACTTTTGGTGGGTACAGTTTTACACTGTTATTTTGGTTGTGTACTATATGAACCTAGCAACCAGTTGTGTAAAAAAATTGAAAAAGTTGTGTAATATTTTACGCAAGATGTGTAAACAACAGTTTACACAACGGGTTGGCAAAAACGTTCAATCTTCTTTCCCAGAAAGCAGAAAACTGAAATGGAATGGCAACGACTTCAACAGGATGTCAACAGCCAAACTTTGCGGGATGTACAAGTGAATAATCCGGTGCCCAGATCCGGGTTCGTTGACACTTCGATATGTTCGTGATAGCGCGGGTACTTCTGGTGTGCATTATCGCGTAACATGATACAGAGCGCGTGACACATGTGATTTTTGTATCCATTGTCTATGACGCGCAACGGGTGAATGACCAAGACCCGATATAGAAAGCGCCCGCTGATTGGACAAAATCTAGAGGTCAAGCGGCGGTTGTCTTGCCTATTAATCAGCGAATCTGCTCACATATATACATAGACTAGTTCATGTGTGTGCTGGAGTGTAGGTTTGTACAGGGTGAGTCCAAAAAAGCGGAACCCAAACCCCCCAAAAATATCTTTCATATTTAAAAAAATATGTAGCACCAAAAATAATAATGACTGGAAAGCCAATTTCATAAGCTACTTTTGGATGAAAAAAGTTACTGAAATTTGTCAATCCGTTGAAAAACATCACCATTTAAACACAATGACCCTAAAACCTGTCGTCGTCACAATTGTCTTCAAACATCACCAGCAATAAAATCTTCCTTTAAACGTTAACAATATGCAACAAAGTCCTTCTGAAGGCCCGTCTTTTAAAACAGTAGATTTTATAAATCATATTTTTTGCCTAACCAGGGTTGTTAATCAAACAATTGGGGGCGGGAAACAGTCTGGTAAATATCAGAGACGATATATGCTTTTTTAAAACCGTCGTGATTCGTCGGCGAATTGCCATGACTACTGGATAAACTATACCTCTAAAGGTACATAATTCAACGTTTTTTTTTCCTATTTAGCGGTCACACTATCGCTGGGGTGATTTTCAAGTGACAAAATAATTTTGATCTCAAATTGATTTTCGGCTCCCCCCTAGCAACGGGACTATCCATGCCAGGCCATATGTACAAAGTGTGACTGATAATATGGAGGTAGTCCAGTATTTCAGTCACATTAGACTAGCAGACAGTGGTCGATGTGAAGATACATTTAGAAGATACATTTATGCCACAAAGAATAAGGCTTACTACTTACTAGACAGAGAGAGAACATTTTTAAGTTGTGAATGCGGCTAGGGGTTGACTATAGCAGCAGTCTATATAATTACACAAGACGTCTTCTTCGGAAGTGGTGAGTCGCACCCGCTGAAGTCTAAGGTTGAACAGCACTCAAAGAGTAAACATGCACACACATTGAATTCAGGAATACGACTGGCGTGACCGTGGCTTGCATCGAGCTGATGTGCGCCCCGGACACGCCCCGGACCGTGGTTTATTGTACTCATGTTACGTAATCGCACTTTACTACATTCCTCCCCGTTATATTTAGTTGTTTTTTGTTTATTAAACACGAAAGTTAACTTTGTACCTTCAAAATACATAAGTAAGTTTTTGGTTGTCGATTCATTTTCTCGAAATCGAAATCTCTGTTTTTAAAACACAAAAGTTTACTTTACACCTTCACAATAAAATAGTAAAAAGTAAAAATATTGTCCCTTCAAAGTGATTTTAGTTAGCCTACAGATCACTTGGCCCCATTTTCGTGTTACAAATGAGCACGGTTTACAGCATTAAAAACACACATTATGGAGGCACTTACGTGTTCTGTAAACTGCTGTGTTAAGCGCCTGTGCTCGAAAGGTATGACGACGTGGCCTACGCAACTGAAATGTAAGGATGAATCTTTGGAGTACATCCTATATATCGTCAATCGTCAAGGCAAATCCTTGTTCATAACAATGACGGGACCTTGCAGTACCAGTTCATGAGGGAGGTCATGACACTTTTAATACCCTAAAATCCGGGGTCATCCTTTTGCTCAGTTTTCATTGTACCTCTCTTACCGGCACAGACGGGGTTGATTTGAGGCCCAGTCATGGATAATTAAGTAATTTCCATCTGGCCAGTATGTTTATTCATGAGAACAGAACAATGAATGATATCAAGAGCATTGTTGTTATTTAATCAACAAGTTACAAAGCATTTAGAGAACGGTTGTCGTCGAGCAACAGTGGCACACCCAAGAAGGGGGAGGGGGGGGGGCTCGGGGGATTGAGTTCCCTTAATTTACGAAATTTGTGCAATGTGTTAGTTACGGTTTTACACACATTTTTAAGGGGTTTATTGGTTAAATTAACATTTTGGAAACACCATCCTGATATGCCGTATCTATCCACCATATGTTCGTTAAAATATTTCTAGGATCATTGAGAATAAACCTTATGCGTTAAGGCGGAGCCAGAGGGGACGCTCTCACTGGTGGTTTGAAACAACTTCCCCAAGAAGGACGGATGTCCGAAAGCTCGGGTGCAACTACTATCCGGTGAGCACGGTTCCACATTTTTTTTTATATTTTCATGCCAGAGGGCAATGGTTTTGTATCGCTTGATGGATATGGGCACAATGCATTCATTGTTACGAAATTGAAGTAACAAAGCACACCCACAACGGATGAGGTCTATATCATTCGACATCTCGCGCGAGTGGTTATACATCGGTAGGTACGTTTGCACGTACCGTTTCCAGGAACCTACGTGCCTTGAAGGCTTGCCGGCTACTGGACTAGGATCGCGTGACTTGTATTGTTCATCCATAAATTGCTTCGTTAAGGCGAGTTGGCACATTCTTGAGGGTAAAAAAAAATGATTTGGCTTGTACAAAAATGGACTATGCCTTTTTAGCTTCGGTATGACGGAGAAGTGGTTTCCCGTTTCAAAGTGTTTTTGAAGGAAACCTAGTGTTGGCCGAGAGAAAAATGGAGAAAAACAAATGCAGATTATGTTTTGCATGCCATTTACTAATTTAAAGTATGTTCAACAGTGCTTCAGGTTTTCCTGATAACATTTTGTTTTAAAAACTTCGCAAAATTAGTTTCTACTTGCCACCCTCTGCGGCATCTTCAAGACTACATGTATAAACTGTTTATTCTCTATAACATTTTTTAAGTAACAAAATAGGCTGTAACAAACCATCATTACAGTCACATTACATGGAGGTCACGAGAAACGAAACTGGAATTTTCAAAAGCAAGAAATAAATGCAAGACAGGCAAACTAACGAATTGGGATGGACGATCAAATATAACAAGCACTACTAATGACGGAATGACGAACAGTAACAGACAGTGATCGATGTAAGAACAGTACTTCAGACGATACAATAAAGCATTTTAAATACCACAAAGAATAAGGCATTTGACAGAGGGACAAACTTTTCACGAAAGAAAAAAGAATCCTAAATCGATTTTGATTTTGCCTATACAGAGAACTTAGCCCCATTTCGAGTTACACAATTAGTAAGGTTTATATCAGCAAAGCTATTACCATAAAAAATCTATTTTAATGGTTGAACTTACGTGTAAGCGCCTACCTTGCTCGAAATGGAAATTAACGCTGTTATTATATGATGACGTGTCCTATAGCTGCGTTCAACTGAAATGTAAGGATAATTCTCCCGACTCAATCACTTATATCACGCCACGCGAACAGCCTCCCACCGTCAAGGTGTGTCAGACAGCTAATAAAAGAAGGAATTTTAATAACAATCAGGACGGACATTTGCATACCAATTCACGCATAGCGGTGAAGGCCACTTTACCCTAGCTCTATATAACAAAGTTCTCAAGGACTACGGTATAGGCTAAACCAGTCAGCCGCAAATCCGGCCGACTCTTAAAGGGAATATACAACATTTGCAAACATCGAAAAATAAAACTACCAAGTTTTTGCGAAATACCTTAATAGGATGTTGGTAAATGACAGTCTAAAGCATCCTGTAAAATTATGGAACCAGGTATACTGTCATTTTCAAGAAAAGTGGTATTTTGTATCAATTTCCAACGCTGATCGGCCGATCAGCGTTGGAAACAACTAGCTTTTTTTTCAAATACTGGCCCCAATTGACCATTGCACTTGTTTGCAATCGATTACAAACCTATGAACGGGTACGAACCAGCTAGACTGGTTCCCTGACCTTACAATTCCCCAATGTATGTAAACTGCTCTGTTTCTTCTTATATGGAGTCAGGGAGCCAGACTACAGGAAAATGATCGTTTTTCTTGGTTTTTATAGCATTTTCGAACCCAAAACCTCCAAAAAGTCAGTGTAACTATATTTGCTTTATATTTCCAACCCCCCAATTCCATCCATTTCTGAAAATTACAGCAAAAGCAAATGATGTATATTCCCTTTAAACTATTCATCGATTTGTCTTACAAGGGCGCAACACTTAAGGACTCTCCAAAACTTAAAGGTACACATCATTTGCCTTTGCTGTAATTTTCAGAAATGGGCGGATTTGGGGGTTTAGTTGTAGCAAATATCGCTCCACTGACCTGTTTATTAAAGGTTTGTGTACATGGATGCAGGAAAAATTAGACAAAACGCTGTTCTCGTAGTCTGGTTCACTGACCCGACGCTTCAGACCAAACCATCGAGATATATATGTTTTCAATATATAAAAATAACTCTATGGACGAAACTGAACAATTATTATTTAAAGACGCCAGGGAATAGTCAAGGCAGTGACGAGGTAGATCATGTCAGGAATAAAATTCAAAGAAAGAACGATGCACGTCCCCTACACCAATCGGCCGCTCCGCACGGCGGAAGCTCACATGCGGGCAAACGGCAGCATTCCAAGCGAAATTAAAGCGCCAAGCGAAATGGTACCAGGTAACGATGAAGTATGAAGCCCGGGAAGGGACAGGGTGGAATTTTTTTTTGGCATTTGCTAATTCGTTCGCACGAATTACTAATTCGTTCGCACGAATTAGTAATTCGTTCGCACGAATTAGTAATTCGTGGGAACGAATTAGTAATTCGTTCGCACGAATTAGTAATTCGTGCGAACGAATTAGTATTTCGTGCGAACGAATTAGGAATTCGTGCGAACGAATTAGGAATTCGTGCGAACGAAATGGTAATTCGTGCGAACGAATTAGCAAATGCCAAAACAAATTTCCACCCTGTCCCTTCCCGGGCTTCATAGTGAAGGGCACTATGGAACCTCATCATTTATGTTGAACCAGACTTGGATTCAGAGCATAATAGCACTTGTACGTGACTAGCGTACCAGTACAAGGCTAGTGCTTTGACGACCGTTCATACAATCATATGCAAATATGTTTTTGTACCAGAATGGCCTGTTTGCAGAGTAAGCAGACAATATAGTTTGTAGGCCTACCCTAGTAATTCTCAGAAGCGTAAATAGGACTTTATCCTTTGGATTTTGCTCGTCTGTAGTTTTGCGGGATCTCATCAGTAGGATTTTACACACATTTTGCCCTTTAGAGATCGGTTCTTCCAATTGTCCCAAATAGGCCTATAAATAACGGAGTCTGTAATGCGAGTCAAGTTCAATGAAAGGTCAAAAAATGTAACAACGGTCTCACACAAATTACACCACCCCTGTAAACATCGGGTAGGCTTCCTGTTCATGTGTAGTCAGAGTTATCCAAGGAGCAAGTCTCCTATATAATGTCGGATATGTCTAGACATGCACTGAGCCGCGCGCCAGCCAATCGGAGTCGACTTTACTAAATCGTGTACTAAATTTTATTCCCAAATCAGGACCAAATGGTTTGATTGGTCAATTCGAATGCAGTGTTTTGTAATACAACAACAGCCGGGCGCATTATCGCGTAACATGATACAGAGCGCGTGACAGAGGTGATTTTTTTTATCCATTGTCTATGACGCGCAACGGGTGAATGACCAAGACCCGATATAGAAAGCGCCCGCTGATTGGTCAAAATCTAGAGGTCAAGCAGCGGTTGTCTTGCCTATTAATCAGCGAATCTGCTCACATATACATAGACTAGTTCACGTGTGTGCTGGATTGTAAGTTTGTACAGGGTGAGTCAAAAAAAGCGGAACCCAAACCCCCTAAAAATATATTTCATATTTAAAAAAATATGTAGCACCAAAAATAATAATGACTGGAAAGCCAATTTCATAAGCTACTTTTGGATGAAAAAAAATTATTGAAATTGGTCAATCCGTTGAAAATCATCACCATTTAAACACAATGACCCTAAAACCTGTCTCGTCCAAAAAATGCGATTTTAACAATCGTCGTCACAATTGTCTTCAAACATCAATAAACAATATAACAATATGCAACAAAGTCCTTTTGAAGGCCCGTCTTTTAAAACAGTAGATTTTATAAATCATATTGTTTGCCTAACCAGGGATGTTAATCAAAAAATTGTGTTCTACAGTTACGGTGACAGTTGTTGAAACAAGTATTCTGTGTCATTTTCTTTGTTGTTCAAAACAGTTAAAACACACAATAAATATTTTTTTTGGACGAGACAGGTTTTACGGTGATGATATTCTTTGAACAGATTGACCAATTTCAGTAACATTTTCATCTAAAAGTAGCTTTTGAAATTGGCTTTCCAGTCATTATTATTTTTGGCGCTACATATTTTTTAAAATATGAAATACATTTTTTGGGGTTTGGGTTCCGCTTTTTTTGACTCACCCTGTACAATACGCAGCGTTTTCAGGGCCAACTGTGTTGCGGAAGAATTACACTGAAAAGTGCGGACAACCGGCATGCTATAGTGCGAAAAGCTTCTTTCACTGTAACCCCGGCCTACACACATAGCGTAGCATTGCATGAACGCTTTTACCGAACATTCAATGAAACCGACAGTCGAAAATAACTGTTTAGTATAACACTACATGAATATCAAGCCAACACACAAAATAGGCCTCCCGCGCAAGTTAGTATGCGCAATTTGGCGAAAAATAAACACGCAATGTTTGGAAATTTCGTATGCAAAAAAAGACCCAATTCAGAAGAACAACTTCCCCAAGAAGGACGGATGTCCGAAAGCTTGGGTGCAACTACTATCCGGTGAGCACTGTTCCACATTTACTTTTTATATTTTCATGCCAGAGGGCAATGGTTTTGTATTGCTTGATGGATATGGGCACGATGCATTCATTGTTACGAAATTGAATATTAACAAAGAACACCCGCAACGGATGAGGTCTATATCATTCGACATCTCGCGCGAGTGGTTATACAGTACATCGGTAGGTACGTTTGTACGTACCGTTTCCAGGAACCTACGTACCTTGCTTGCCGCCTACGGACAAGCCTTGAAAGCTTGCCGGCTACTGGACTAGGGTCGCGTGACTTGTACTGTTCATCCATAAATTGCTTCGTTTAGGGGAATTGGCACATTCTTGAGGGTAAAAAAAATGATTTGGCTTATACAAAAATGGACTATGCTTTTTAGCTTCGGTATGACAGAGAAGCGGTTTTTCGTTTCAATGTAATTTTGAAGGAAACCTTGTGTTGGCCAAGAGAAAAATGGAGAAAAACAAATGCAGATTATCTTTTGCCATTTACTAATTTAAAGTATGTTCAACAGTGCTTCAGGTTTTCCTGATAACATTTTGTTTTAAAAACTTCGCAAAATTAGTTTCTACTTGCCATTTATCTTCAAGACTACATGTATAAACTGTTTATTCTCTATAGCATTTTTAAGTAACAAAGTAGGCTATGACAAACCATCATTACAGTCACATTACATGGGAGTCACGAGAAACGGAACTGGAATTTTCAAAAGCAAGAAATAAATGCAAGACAGGCAAACTAACGAATTGGGATGGACGATCAAATATAACAAGCACTACTAAATAATGACGGAATGACGAACAGTAACAGACAGTGATCGATGTAAGAACAGTACTTAAAGCCAGAGTCCATCAGTTGCAGCTATCCAAAAAATAACTGGAGTATTTATTGTTGAAAAACATGCTTTGTTGAGAGATAGTAAGTGGACTAAACTCCATGTTAAATTATTCTTTCTGGCAAGCTGTCATTTTGAAGAAATCAACGAAAGAAGGCCCTTTCCAACGGTGCGTCTTAAGAAGCACTGTTGGAAATTTCCGTTAGTAGTTCGTTTTTTTCAATAGGCGAAGTGTGCGCAAGCGTTGGTACCGACGCACACGCGCGCACGGTTGCTATAATTCGTCGGATCGGTGCGTGACATCGCGTAGCTGCAATCGGCTCAGTGAGAACGTGTCTCGGGCGCTGAATTCAGGCACAATTCAAAACATGATTCAGGAACTTTTGATTTGAAATCGAGATCCTAGAATGTTGTTTTTCTCGAAATATACAGCTGAAGCTGAGCTGAAATGTCACCAGGTTAGCTGTTCAGCACCCTTCTTTAGAATTTGAGCAGTTTGTTGCTTCAAACGAACAAAATGCGCAAATTACAAATGATGGACTATACCTTTAAGACGATACAATAGAGCATTTTAAATACCACAAAGAATAAGGCATTTGACAGAGGGAGAAACTTTTCACAAAAGAAAAAAGAATCCTAAATCGATTTTGATTTTGCCTATACAGAGAACTTAGCCCCATTTCGAGTTACACAATTAGTAAGGTTTATATCAGCAAGGCTGTTACCATAAAAAATCTATTCTAATGGTTGAACTTATTTGTAAGCGCCTACCTTGCTCGAAATGGAAATTAACGCTGTTATTATATGATGACGTGTCCTATAGCTGCGTTCAACTGAAATGTAAGGATAATTCCCCCGACTCAATCACTTATATCACGCCACGCGAACAGCCTCCCACCGTCAAGGTGTGTCAGACAGCTGCAAAAAGGAATTTAGATAACAATCAGGACGGACATTTGCATACCAATTCATGCATAGCAGTGAAGGCCACTTTACCCTAGAATTGAACTTGCCATAGCTCGGTGTTTTTTCGTAGTGCACTTTACTCCATTTTTACATAATACTGTGCAGGGGCGCAGTCTGGGGCAGGGGGTTAACATTTCTTTAAAAGGGCACTTACAAATCTTTGCTGAAATCTAGACCCTGTTTTTCTTCGTACAATAGGGGGAGGGGGGCTGGTACCATCTTCCGATGGGGCGCTGTTCAAAATCGACGATTGTGCAATTTACTCAATCTTTACGCATAATGTTCCATCGCATTAATCGTATCTCTTCTTCGCTGGCAGCAAGCAATTCGTTTAAGACCGAGCACAGTAATAGAACGATTGCATTCAGCAGCCATCTTTGAGGTCACGTGTTTTGTTATGTTAATCAGTTAACAATCAATTTACAAGAAGTCTATAATCGGTTTCTTCCTCGGATTGCTGCAGTGTGCGAACGATCTATAGCTAAAGTTATGATACCGGTTCTGCAAACGAGTGTCCAGTGTTATTGTCCGGAATATTTGTAGCTGTATCAATTTAGTTTTGTTTGTTTGGCCCGCCATATGCGGGCTCTAATTTGCATAATCTGCATTCCTTGTGGGCTTAAGACCGCACCCATACCATGTGTTTGATTGTCCAAGTTATTCAAGCGTATCTCTATATAAATGAAGCGCTTTCTCAGCCTCCCCATCAGGTGAACTCACACACACCGAGTACGTATATCCTGCATCCTTGCGCAATTCCAACTTGACTTGGTGCCCTCCCGCCCTCCCGATCCCCGGGCAAAGTGTATAATGTACATACATGTATAAATATTTTTAATTTTTGGTATGTTTTGTGGCCGCTCCTTTTCTCTCTCGTTCCGAATTTTGTTTTCAGGCATGTCGTCTTTTGAGTCGTGCTTCTCCTGCGGAATGTCGGGCCATTGGTCCAGAAATTGCCCCTACTCCTTTGGATCCAACACCTACTCGCGCTTCCGGACCCAGGCAAGATCCACTCCAGCCGTCCCTTTCACCGGGTACAGACCACCATTCTCGTCATGGCACGCCCCATCTTACCAGATGCAGAGAGCATTGCCTCAAGCAAGCCAGCATGGAACCACCTCGACAGGGCCGTTTGACACCGCCAGTACTAGCAACGCCTCAGCATTGCCCAAGGCACAGTAGAGACAATGTTTGCAAGAAGTTTGATGACGTTCTTAAGGTACATTGTTTCCCCCGAATGGCACCCTTACAGTCTGATAATTTTCCAGTCAAAGGGAGTTTAAAACAACATGTTCAATTCTGGCGTGATATCGGTTCCCCTGACATGATTTTGTCTATCATTGGGTATGGTTATGTAATCCCTTTCATAGAGGAACCCCCTCCGATGTTTCTCCGAAATAATAAGTCGGCCTTACGCGAGGCCAAATTTGTAACAAATTCCATTTTAGATTTGCTGGCTTCATCCCGAATTTCAGAAAAGTCTCACCCTTCCTATGTAACCAGCCCCTTATCTGTCGCATGTTCGGCTTCCAAGAAAAATAGACTTATTCTTGATCTTAGTGCCCTCAACAAATTCATACCAAAAAGGCACTTTAAATTAGATGATTGAAAGTCGGCTATTCAATTTCTCTCGGCAAATGCTCTCATGATATCTTTTGACTTGAAATCGGGTTATCATCATTTCGACATCGCCCCTGCTTCTTAACGTTATTTAGGATTTTCTTGGCGCATTAACGGGGTGGACAGATATTTCGAATTTACTGTCTTGCCCTTCGGGCTCACATCTGCCCCTTACATATTCACCAAAGCTCTCAAACCATTGGTCACTCATTGGAGGTCATGCGGAATTTTAATAGCTCTCTACTTGGATGATGGTTTTGTTGTCATCCCTCGCCCTAAGCAATCCTCAGAACACGACCGGATCGCGTTAGGTGTCGCTAACCATATTCGTTCTGATCTTCTAGAAGCAGGATTCGTTTACAACATTTCCAAGAGTAATTGGAGTCCTGTCTTTACTATCGACTGGCTGGGTATGAGATGGGATACCGCGCAGGGTACTCTTAAGGTACTTGATCATAGGATTGATAAGATTAAGAGATCCATAGAACTACTTTTACAGCAACCTTCAATTCTCACAATTAGGGACTTGCATTCATTCGTAGGTCAAATTATTTCGTTGTCACCTGTTGTAGGTAGTATTACGAGATTAATGACTCGTCATTGTCAGATGACAATCGCAGCCGCTTTCGATGAAAGTGATCCAGTCGTTCTTACAAATATCTGTTTATCTGAAGTTAAGTTTTGGAGAGATAATGCCCAAAATTTGAATGTTCGTTTTGTTTTCGCTCACCGAGTTGTGAACAAGATCGTTTGCTCAGACGCCAGTTCCACCGGTGCTGGTGCTATAATTTGTAACGACGTCCACACAGCCCACAAATTGTGGAACGATACAGAATCAGTACAAAGTTCCACTTGGCGCGAGCTTGAAGCTGTTCGTTTTGCTCTGTTGTCCTTTCTACCTTTGATTCATGCCTCCGAGTTGAAATTACTTACCGATAGTCAGTGTGCAGCAAAAATTATCGAATCCGGGAGTATGAAACCAAATCTAAACAATCTGGCCGTTGATATTTTCAATATTTGTCTCCGTAATTCAATTCGCATTGACGTCGAGTGGATACCCAGGGCAAAAAATGATCAAGCCGATTTTGTCAGCAGAATTCTTGACACAGATGACTAGTCTCTTACAGATGAATTTTTCTCCGTCATTAACGCTCGTTGGGGTCCTTTCACAATTGATTGCTTCGCTACCTTTTACAATGCTCAGCTGCCTCGATTTTATTCCCGTTTTTGGAACCCAGGCTCGTTGGGCGTAGACGCTTTTGCTCAGAACTGGCATGGTGAAAATGCCTTGTTGGTCCCCCCTGTAGTTTTAGTGTCATCCACCCTTAAACACATGCATCATTGCCAATGTAAAGGGGTCCTAATTTTTCCTTGGTGGCCTTTGCAACCTTTCTGGCCTTTACTGTGGTCCCATTACCGAACCTGGGTCAAGGACCTCATTACTGAAGTAGGTTATCTCGCACTTAAACATGGCAGAAATCAAAACAGTCTACTTGGTTCAAGTGATTTCGTCGGCTCCGTAGCAGCAGCATATTTAGATTTTGCTTCAATTTAATCCTTTCTTATTTTAGTTGATGTTAATATTGCAACTTTCATTTAACTTTTCTTTTTCTTTGTGCATACAGATCGTTCGCAACCACCCCTTTTGGCTTGATTTTCCACGCCATTTTCAAGCTCAGAAAGAATTAATCCTGTTAGACGCAATTTTTGCTAAATCTGAGGGTACGGTTAAAGCTTATTTCTACAAATGTCGTCAATTTTTGTCCTGGTTAGAGTCACAAGGTATTCCTCTGGTGCTCCCCGTTTCTGAAGAAGTGTTAGCAATTTATCTGTCGCACACAAAATCACACTCAGACTCTGATAGTGTTTTAATTTCTACCGCTGCCTCATTAAGATGGTTGCATTCATTGGTTAATATAAAAAGTAACCCACTTGATTCACCCATTATTCAACATGTCATCGTTAGCGGTAGGCGTGAACTACATCATCCGCCTGTACAAAAACAGCCAATTTCACTTAGTCGGGTTAAAGCAATTATCGACCTTTTCGCAGGTCCTGAGGCCTCGCTTTTAGAGCTTAGATCAGCCTGCTACGTCTCTCTCAAATACGCTCTCCTTTTTCGACATAACGAGATGGCCGGGATGAAAGCTAACCACTTATCTGAACTGGCTAACAAAAAAGGTATTTCTATTTTTATACCAAAATCCAAAACCGACGTTTTCAGAGACGGTAGTACTGCCTTTCTTTGCGATACATTGGACAACTACTCACCTGTTGCGATTTTACGTCGATTTTTAGAAGCTGCTGGTATTAATTTGGGTCAAGACAAATATTTGTTCACCCCTGTTAGATATTTGTCCGGTACGAAAACGTACAAAATTGGTGCTGATAGACCCTTAAGTAACACTAGGTGTAGAGAGTTGTTTTTTTGAAGCCCTTAGGCGCATAGGTGTAAGCGATCCAAAGGTATATGGTCTTCACAGTCTGAGATCAGGCGGGGCTTCCCACCTAGCTAACAAACATGTTCCTGAAGCATTGATAATGCAACATGGTCGCTGGAAGACCTCCGAGGCTAAAAACAGATACGTCAAATGGGATACCAAAGAAAGATTAGACCTGTCACATACACTTTTCAAAGAGTAATTGTCGAATATTTCACTTCTGGTTATACAATGTATACAATATTCTATATGTTCTTTAGGGGTTTTCCTTTTTGGTTGTGTGTAATAATTTGCATTACTACTATTGATAGTCAGCAGTACTTATTAAAATTAGGTGAGATTTTTGTATTAACAAGTATAAGGATCAGATGATCCGAAACGGTCAAGTGACCGGTCCAGTATACGAGTTATATTTATTATTTATGATTAGAGAGTCAGCAATACTTAATTTAAATTCAGTGAAATTCTGCATTAACGAAGTAAGGATTAGATGATCCGAAACGGCCAAGTGACCGGTCCAGTATATGAGTTATATTTATTATTTATGATTAGAGAGTCAGCAGTAATTAATTTAAATTCAGTGAAATTCTGCATTAACGAAGTAAGGATCAGATGATCTGATACGGTCAGATGACCGGTAACGTGTTTAAAAAAAAAACAAAACACACACACAATTTAGTGGTCAGATGACCAGGAGTTTGCTAAACATCAGCGAATCAAGTTGGTGATGAGTGGTTCAGGAGGATCAGATGATCCAATATGGACAATTAAGATGAACAGTTAAATGTATAATTCAAATTCATGGACAGAATTTCTTTATTTTGGACGTTAAATCATAATTTTCATGTCTATCATAAGTGGCATCTCAAAGAAGAAGAAGAAGTAGAAGAAGTAGAAGAAGTAAAACTATCAGTGAAAACTCGGTGTTTGTGATCCCACCATTAACCCATGCTGCAAATAAATAATTAGAAACAAATCCAATTGCCTCCGTTTCCTTATTATGGCGGTCCATTAATACTAAACTGCTTTTCATGCGTATGAGCGAAGCGAAGAAGCATGAAACACAAAGTTCTCAAGAACTATGGTATAGCCTAAACCAGTCAGCCGCAAAATCCGGCCGACTCCTAAACTATTCATCGATTTGTCTTACAAGGGCGCAACACCTAAGGACTCTCCAAAACTTAAAGGTACACATCATTTGCCTATGCTGTAATTTTCAGAAATGGGCGGATTTGGGGGTTTAGTTGTAGCAAATATCGCTCCACTGACCTTTTTATTAAAGGTTTGTGTACATGGATGCAGGACAAATTAGACAAAACGCTGTTCTCGTAGTCTGGTTCACTGACCCGACGCTTCAGACAAAACCATCGAGATATATATCTTTTTATAAATATATAAAAATAACTCTATGGACGAAACTGAACAATTATTTATTTTCGACGTCAGGGAATAGTCAAGGCAGTGACGAGGTAGATCATGTTAGGAATAAAATTCAAAGAAAGAACGATGCGCGTCCCCTACACCAATCGTCCGCTCCGCACGGCGGAAGCTCACATGCGGGCAAACGGCAGCATTCCAAGCGAAATTAAAGCGCCAAGCGAAATGGTACCAGGTAACGGTGAAGGGCACTATGGAACCTCATCATTTATGTTGAACCAGACTTGGATTCAGACCATAATAGCACTTGTACGTGACTAGCATACCAGTACAAAGCTAGTGCTTTGACGACCGTTCATACAATCATATGCAAATATGTTTTTGTACCAGAATGGCCTGTTTGCAGAGTAAGCAGACAATATAGTTTGTAGGCCTACCCTAGTAATTCTCAGAAGCGTAAATAGGACTTTATCCTTTGGATTTTGCTCGTCTGTAATTTTGCAGGATTTTACCAGTAGGATTTTACACACATTTTGCCCTTTAGAGATCGGTTCTTCCAATTGTCCCAAATAGGCCTATAAATAACGGAGTCTGTAATGCGAGTCAAGTTCAATGAAAGGTCAAAAAATGTAACAACGGTCTCACACAAATTACACCACCCCTGTAAACATCGGGTAGGCTTCCTGTTCATGTGTATAGTCAGAGTTATCCAAGGAGCAAGTCTCCTGTATAACGTCTGATATATGTCTAGACATGCACTGAGCCGCGCGCCAGCCAATCGGAGTCGACTTTACTGAATCGTGACGTCATTTTATTCCCAAATCAGGACCAAATGGTTTGATTGGTCAATTCGAATGCAGTGTTTTGTAATACAACAACAGCCGGGCGCATTATCGCGTAACATGATACAGAGCGCGTGACAGAGGTGATTTTTTTATCCATTAGTATAGTATATTATGTCACATTTTTGACCTTTGCATTTTTTTTTGCTAAAGAAGGAATTTTTGTCATATTTGGGTAGAGTTTACCTTCCTAAGCCAGAAATCCATTGGTAACATTTTTTTCCATCTACCATGTGGCGGCCATCTTGGATTTCAAAATGGCGTCCATTTCGGACCGAATTCGTATCATAATTTCGGACCTGATTGTCACATGAAGTTCATTTTGGTGGCAAACCTAATGTTTTTTATACCAAGGAACCCAAGTAAGGTGTTGTTGATGGGATACTCCCAATGGATGGCAGCCATCTTGGATATTTCAAAATGGCCGCCATTTAGTACCTAATTTGTATCATAACTTCGGACCTGATTGTCATATGAAGTCCATTTTGGTGGCAAACCCCATGTTTTTGATACCAAGGAACCCAAGAAAATCATTGTTGATGGGGTACTCCCAATGGATGGCAGCCATCTTGGATATTTCAAAATGGTCGCCATTTCGGACCTAATTTGTATCATAACTTCGGACCTCATTGTCATATAAGTCCATTTTGGTGGCAAACCCCATGTTTTTTATACCAAAGAATCCAAGTAAATCATTGTTGACGGGATACTCCCATCTTGGATATTTCAAAATAGCCGCCATCTTGGATTTCATTTAAATAATAACGTTGCACCTGAATGTCGTACGAAGTTCATTTTGGGTGGCAAACGTCATATTATTGATACCGAGTAACCCCATAAATTTGATACCAAGGAATCTACACATTGTTACCCCGATGGATGGCAGGTTTCTCTATGTTTCAAACCACATGGAATAATACTTGGAGTGTAATTACCTCATGGGCATCAACAGCAAGATCATAATGACTGCTGGATATGATTGGACTGACTGTAACCTGACTGTACGGATCAGAAGCAACCCATGCAGGCTTGGTCTAAACCACTTTGTTCAACCGTCTTTCCCAGGCACCTGATAGCACAGAAACTGGTGTGAATCAGAATAGTAACGAGTCACGAATTTGTGTGACTCGAGTCGAGAAGAGTCGAGTCAAGTCATTTTAAAGAAGTGAGTCGAGTTGAGTCATTAGTTTAATTTGAATCGAGTCGGGTGGAGTCAAATGTTTACCTTGAGTCAATTTGAGTTACGAATATTTGAAAACTACACAACAAAGACAAGAGAGAAAGTCATTTGTATCACTAACAGTTAACAAGAAGTGAAACTTCGATCTTATAAAGGCTATCTGGTTGGGCTTCGGGTCTAGATTTTATTTCGCTGATACGCTGACATAAAAACCAAATTGTATTATACAAAACTGTTTCTGATTATTTAAGGGTCGGTATGTTTCTATTTAATTTTTAAAAGGAGGGCATAAATTTAGCCGGCGTTCGTATCCAAGAACTTTATAAGAAATCGCCCAAAGCCAATGATGAAACAACAAATTGGAAAATGTGTTTAAAATCCGGTTCCTCGGTGGATAGTAGTTTGTGTCTTCCAGAATGATGATGTGGTATGGGAGTCTGTGACACGTGTACATTACAAGCGGCTGCTGTAACTGTATTTGCAAAGCGGCATGAACATAAATGTTGCATCGTAAGTCAATGCAATTATTTTTCGCAAAGTTTTGCTTTTATATAGGACTCGAGCCTAAATATCCTTCGCTCGAGTCGAGTTGAGTCTTCTGATGAGAACTCGAGTCGTTTGCTCGCCGTCGAGTCGAGACATTTACCCTTAGGGACTTGAGTCGAGTCAAGTCACCAAAAGTTGTGACTCTGCTTTCATATCTAGCCTAGCCATGACAGGACCAGGGTTGTCTGGGCATGTGATGCAGTTGATGCAGAGAGCCACTTACGAACAAATATAAATGCAGGCACACACATAACCTGAAGTGGACTTACTAATTGCTAACTATAGACAGCATTCACACTTACTGGTAGTGGAGCGGCATAGCCCCAATAATACCAAGAATTGTGCAATCTGCGATAAAATCATGAATTAAACTTCGCATGTTGGTTCTTCATGCCTTGAAGACAATTTTTAGATATACGAGGCATTTCATAATTGACTTCTGGTGACCTCTGACAGTCAACAACCTTTAACAATTATTCTTCAAAACTTCACTTTCCTGTGATATCTATCATATTTATTCCATAGTCATGTATTGAATTCAGACCCCATGCAAAAAAATGTTAAGGTGACCTCTGAACTCAATTTTCTTTTTCTTTTTTAATTAGTGGCAGACTCAACATGCTGCGATTGGAATGCAATGGAATATATTAACAAATGTCAAGCAGCATTCATTATTTTGTTCTTATTACACTCTGCTATCCAGATGGACTTGGGTAACCACATTTTTAACCTTTTTACACAGCCCACTAGCTGGTCACTGTTAGAGTGTGATGCTTGTCCGATGTACCTCTTATATTCTTAAAACAGGGAAATGGAGATCAGAGGTCATGACAAATTGTATTTGGGTCTGAATCATTACATACTATAGAATAATTAAATCTAATAATTAATGTGGCCTGACGTTGCGAACTTAGCAAGTTCTTCTTCAGAGGCTAAAACAGAAATGACAGAGGTACATACATTAACATGGGGGTGCACACAAACATGCAGGGATGAAAGAAGAAACACAAAAGGAGGATTAGGTGGGAAAGGTGTGGAAAGATGCAGGGGAGGGTGGATGAGAGAACAAAGAAACAAAGGGAGATGGCAAACCACAAGGGGTCTGGTATGAACAGGGGAGGGACCATAAAGGGGAAGGATCAAAGGTCACAGGGAGTGGGAACGGACAAAAGAGTGTGGGAGTGAAGGGGGATTATGCGGGGGGGGGGAACAGTATGGCGGTGGAAAGGGATGAAAGATGGGGAAACACAAACAATGAAGACCAGGTGGATTATCTGTAACAGAAGACAATGGAGGAAGAAAAATATTAATCATTTCCAAGTTGGATGTTGAGACCATGTGGTTGAATAGTTCGAAGACGATTCATCCACACTTTCTCTCTGCTGAGGCGAACTGAGTCCTTGCGATGGCCAAGAGATTCAATGCCCTGCAAAATCATATCAGAAATGGAGTGGTTAGGCAGGTTGAAGTGATGACCAACAGGGGTGTCTAGTTTCTTGGTGTTGACCGTTGACCGGTGGGCATAGAAACGCTTCTTGAGCGTATTCTTAGTCTCACCTACATACTGCACTCCACAGACCCTGCAAGAAATAAGATATATGACATTAGGGGTGTTACAAGTGATGTTACCAATGGTTCTGTGGGTAGTGACAGAAGAGTGGCCAGAAAAGGAGTCAGACTCCTGGATATGAATCTGGCAGACAACACATCTGGAACTG